TACAACATATTTAACTGTTGGCCTATATATAAAACTATATTTCTCAACTGTCTATATAAACATGCAATGTAACCTTTTGCAGTTAGCTAATAACAATGTTTTAGAATTTATTAAGGTTTAAGAAAATCACAATAATCAGTCATGGTTTTCATGATAATGCAGCATTTAAAAGATAATACTGTCAGAAAACTGACCATGCTTTACCTTCAAACTAGTAATCAGAACTAGTCCTTACCTATATTCTTACATATAGTTCTTCATAGATATGAATATATATTATGTCAGTGAAGAAAACTGTCCTTTTTTAGGCTGTTTGCTACATTTTCTCAATATTTGAGTTTGTAATAAAAAGATCTAGAATCAGAGTCAGTCTTAATATGGCAAAAATGAATCAATTGTAAATGTGACTTCATCTAGTGCTTAGATGTTTATGCTAGAAATTAGCACATACTTAATGGACAATGCCTCATTTGCAGATTAGACAAAGGTTTAGAAAACCTTCTAATGTCCAAACTGTAAAAAACACTGGGTTCCATACAATTCCTTCAAGTTGTCCCCACATAACTTGATTGAGTCAACTTAAATCATTTTTACACATCTAAGTGGATTGAATATAGATAATTAAGCTGTCTCCTCTCAAATTCAACTAATTTTAAATAAGTAGTTTAAACAAGCAGAAGTAATTTTTAATGTTGGTAAATATGCTGATAACATGTAAAAATAAGTATGCTGTCTGGCCTAAAGGAAATGAAAATTATGTCATCATTCACTCACTTTTTGACTTTCTTTGATGAGATTAAAAGATTTGTTCTGGTCAATCTCATTCTTGGAGTTAAAATGAAGCTTTTAGGAAAAGCACAAAGTGATCCATACTCCTCAGACTCTGTACTCTATTATTGTTATTGTTATTATTAAAAATTTTAATAAGTTTTATGAAGTAATAAATTAGCTTTTAGTGCAAAAGCTGTAATTCATCATGAATGATTCCATGAAAAATGTGCTTTACAAAGCCTGATTAATGAATCAAAATGACTCCGTGTTCTGGTCACAGCATGTAAAAGTTCACTGGAGGTAAAGATTTTCACTAAACAACATGATAAATATTAGTTTGTCACCTAAACAATGTTTGTTGTTTACAGATTTTAAATGTAGATAGCAAGTTGTCTGGAAAGTGCTTTTGTGTCCTTGTAGAAGCTTGAAAGATTCAATCTTCATTTATTGCAGTTTCAAAAACAAAAAGGAATCAGTAAAATGTTTTGTGTTTAGCTGAAGAAAGTCATAAAAAGTCATAAAGATTAAGAACACCACAAGATTAGAAGTCCTTTTCCACCATGGAACACGTAATAAAAATAAAAGGCCAATTATGCCACTTTACTACTCAATTCTGATTTTTTTCCCCTCCCAATTCTTTATGGCTTTATATGCCGAGCTTATATCGCGTAAATGAAATAACATTTAATTAATTAATTTTGATGAAACATGTATTGAGTTTCCTTAGAATACCCACTCTTTAAAATTCATTTTTAAGCTTTTTTTTCCAACTTAAAATTTTTTTCTATAAATTGCTAAATGAAAGTTTGATTTTGCAGAATTATAATTTTGACTTTTGTTTTCTCTGCTCCCCCCACAATTCTGATTTCATGATCTCACAGTTTGTTTGTTTTTTCAATTCAGGCACCATTTCTTGTGAGTCTGAGTAAATATTTAGAAATCATATACAACTTGAGAACAATTTACTTTATTTCCAACAGAATTGACTTTCAGAACGGTAAAATAATAGCTAAAAAATTCATAACTCAAAACTGCAAGATACCAACTCACAAGTCTTTTTTTTAAGACTGTCAACTTGTGAATCACAACGTTCCATGTAATATTTTGCAATTATCATTTAAATTATAGCAGTTATCTTTCAAATTTTATTTCACTCCACAGAAGAAACAAGCTTCCATGAGGGAGAGTAACGAAACAAACAAAAAACTGAATGTGAACTCAAAATTAAACAAAATGAAATGAAAAACAAAAAAACAAAAAAGAAAAATGAAAATAAACTAAACGGAAAACAAAACAAATAAAACAAACAAAATGGAAAGTCAGAACTAAATATTTAAAATGAAAAACGAAATGAAATTAAAACAAAAACAAAAGGGAAACCAAACCAAAAATTAAAACAATAAAAAAAAAACAAATCGAATCAAAAATAAACAGAACAATGAAAGAAACAAAACTGAAGAACAAAAAAACTAATCTGAAACAAAAGAAAACTTAATAAAGCAGAAAATCAAATAAAAAAGAAAAAAATTGCATAACAAAACAAAATAGTTGTTTTGAAAAACAAAAAATAAAAATGAAATAAAAAATAATTCTATTAAAATAAACAAAACAAATCAAACCAAAATTGAATCAAAAGCCAAATAACATGAAAACGAAACAGAAAAACAGCGAATCAAAATTAAGCAAACAAAATGAAATGAAAAAAAAAAAACTAAATAAAATAAAAACAACAAAAAAGGAAATCGAAACAAAACAAAATAAAGCAGAAAAACAAAACAAATAAAAGAACTAAATTAAAAGACAGAACTAAATAATTAAAATGAAAAAAAAAAGAAATTAATAAAAAAACAAAACAAAAACAAAACTAATCGAATCAAAATAAAAACGAAACAATGAAATGAAAGAAACTAAACTGAAAAACAAAAAACTAAAATGAAAACCAAAAACAGACCAAAATGAAACAATAAACAAAAGAGTCAGAGGTGAAATCTCCTTTAACCAGTGTATAATATCTGGCCATTGTGCTTGCCACTTCCTTTTGTCACTGCTGACTTTGCTATCCAGCGCAGAGCAGCAGATTTAGCACAAGCATCCCAGAGCAAACATGTGTCCTTCTCTCTCTCTCTCTCTCTCTCTCTCTCTCTCTCTCTTAGCAGGACCGAACACCCATGTGTTTCACAGACACCACTCACGCAGCACACAGTCTTCAAAGCGTTCAGTGCATCAAGAGCAAAAAAAAAAAAAAAAAAAAAAAAGAAAAGAAAAGAAAGAAAATCAAGCCAAAAATTCCAATGGTAACACAGACAGAACTGTGGCCCCAGCCAACAAACACATTCACAGGACAATTAAGACTAGCTGGTGTACGTTTCACATTTTACAAATAGTTCCATAATTACAGCAAAAGAAAAAAACACAGTTGAGGCACTTTGCGGAGTTTAAAAAAAATGAATAAAACTTCTATTAAGATTCAGAATTGCTGTAAATGAGCTTGAAAGCTAAAACAGCATGCCGAAGTGCAGTACAAAAGCAAGCCAAAAGCATTTCACATCAAGTGCAATTTCTGCGAAAGCGCCGCCTTGCAGTGGAAGAACAAACCAGTGCACTTTTTTCTCTTGTTAATGTTGTGATGAATGTGCAAACACACTGGCAGGAAAGGCACTTCCCTTTTTATAACATATAAGAGGATATGAAAGATTTAAACGATTTGCAAGACAGATAAAAGTGTGCCAGTGTGGAAAAAGAAAAAGAATTGGTTTACATCAGCAGGACCTAATTCACTTACAGATATTTCACCCAAAAATGAAGATTAGGACTGTTAGAGTGTTTTTTAATCTTCTTTCAAAATTCAAACATTTAGAAAACGTGTCTCTATACATTTTTTTTATCAGAAATAAATATATGCAAGTAAGAGACAACTTGACAGATCTCAGTTTCTCTGGATTTACTAGGGATAGGATTGAGTGGAATTGTAATATTTGTTTCACACTGTAAAAAGTGCTCAGTTGACTTTACTTAAAAAAGTGAGTAAACGCATTGTAGGGCTGCACGATATCGGAAAAATCTGATATTGCAATATTTTCTGTGATATATATTGTAATATACTTTGTTACACTGTACAACCCAACATATATGGTTAACACAATATGGTTAAATGGTTTGTAGCAACCGGTTTTCTCAAACATTTTGAGTTGCCTTAACTTATTAGGGTTTACAGTACCCAATTGGCTTGAGTTCTCTTCATTTATTGGGTTTTTGTTTTTTTACTGTGATAAAATTGCTTCATTTACTCAAATGGATTAAGTTCACAGTACTCATTAGGATTAGTTTTTGAACTTAAATAGTTTGTTGCAATCAGTTTCCTCAAATGGTTTAAGTTACCTTAACTTTTTGGGTTTTACAGTTTATACTTGAAATAATTTTTAGTCACTTTATTTTAAAGGTTCAGTTCTTGCTCTTGGCATCCATTTAAACTTAAATTTTGTTTTAATAAACTCCTAATTTGCTCCTTATTAAGAGTTATTAAGGTTTCGGTTTTGGGTGGGATTAGGAATGTAGAATACGATCATGCAGAACATCTGCTTTTTAAGTACACTGTAAAGAAATCCTGGTTGCCTTACATTTTTAAGCTGAATTAAATGAACTTTATGAGTACATTGAACTTATAATGACTTAAACAGCTTGCATAACTCATAAAATAGCTTAGAAAATGGTTAACTTAGTTTAATAAGTTACAATGAACAAAAAAACGTAACTAAATGATCATGTCATTTTTCTGCTAATAAGCAGCCAATATGCTAATAAGCAATTAGTTAATAGTGAGAATTAGTCATAAAGTATTATGGTATGTATTCCTTTTGATTGACAGGGATGATTCTGTAAGGGAGTGAATCATAACATGCAATAAACAAACTACAAGCATATATAAATCAAGCAAAGCAAATTTAAAAGGGAAATATCAGTGCATGCATTATGGTTCTGTATATGTAAATGTATAATTATGGGACTACAAAGACAACTCAACATTGCATATCTTTGCATTGTGATTATAGCGGATGCACAGATTGTGATATTAATGCTGAAACAATATATTGTGCAGCCCTAACCCATTGCCTTAAAATAATTAAGTAAGTAAACTATGCACATAATTATAGCATTTTATAAATTGTCAACAATGGGTAATTTTTTTTTTAAGTAAAACAACTCTAGCAATGAATTTTGTAAAAGTCTAATAGCTGTTGATCCAAGTTTTTATTCAATTTGTCATTTAGAGGAATTTTATTTTCAGAAAATGACATTCGGTCAAGAGAACAAATGTTTTCATTGATTGTACTACACGGTAAAAAAGGTAACATTTTAAAATAATGGTCAATTAGCTTATGCTATTTAATGTATTAACTAACATCATTAATACTTTTATTACAGTATTTTTGTTTATTTCATGTTAACTCACTTTGCATTAACAAATGCTAGCAAGCGCAACTTTGAATTCTAATAATGTTGAACTATGATTAATAAATGCTTTACAAGATTATTTATACGTAGTATTAACTAACATTAACTAATGGACCATTATTCTAAAGCAGCGGTGCCCAAACTTATTTGTATGAAAAGTCAAAAACGTATTTATATTTATACAGCACACAAACACACAGGCTGCGTCTAAAACCCCACACTTCCATACTATAAAGTACGCTAAAATTAGTATGGGAGAAGAGTAGTTTGTCCAAATTGAATTTGAAAATCAGTATACGAGAAGTACCCAGATGATTTATTATTTCCGACGAGATTCTGAAGTGCGCATCCTATGCAAGCTGTGCTACCCCATGATGCCCCGTGAAAGAATTCATGAATGGGAGTAAAGCAACGAAACTGACACAGGTAGGTCACGTAACAATGACAAAATTGCGGATATAGTCTGTCCGAATTCCATTCATACTTTTTACATTCATACTGTATAGAACTTACTTTTCTAATGGCCAAGTAGTATGTTTAAATTCAAATGCAGTACCTACTGAGTAGTTGGCGGTATCTTGTAGTTGGAGTCTTGTTTTACTGATTGTGAACATTACAACGCATTTCCTTGCCTTGTCTTGTCTTGCCATGTTTTGACTCTCGCCTTGTTTGTTTTTGTGCTGTGTAAATAGTCTAACTAATCAGTCTTTGAGCAGCTTCAGCTGTGTGAGTGTAATCAATGGAGACCTGGAGCAGGTGTGTGTTGCATGACAGGACTTGTAGTCCATCCTGGCGTAATTGTAGTTCTTTTAAATGTGAATGTTCTCCAGCGATCTATGAACTCTAGATTGCTGGTGATTGTGACACTGTGGGCCGAAGGTAAATATACCAGACTATATTACATTAATAAACAATATTACAAAATAAATAGAAACATTACTTTAAATTGCATTATCTATTGCATTATACCTTTTTAATAATAACGTTTTGCAATAAAACATAAACAATCCCATTTATAACACAGTGGAGCTCAATGTTGAATACACTAGTCAAGCAGAATCTGCCTTTGACTTGATCTCATCAAATTCTCTGCACTGTCGGATGACTATGTACATTTAAAATGAATATGATTAATTTACACCATTTGATTGAAACATTCTCTCTCTTCTTAGATGGCATGGCAGGCCAAATCAAAGGTTACCAGCTTTGGCCGGTGGACCCTAGTTTGGGCATCTCTGTTCTAAAGTGTTACCAAAAAATTTTGCTTTTTAATTTCATCATTTAAATTTTTTTTTTTTTGTTGAATCAAATTAACTTTTTTTATTCACCTCAACTTACATCAATCAAACTGAAAAAATACATTAAGTTAAACTTAATGTATAACTTAATAGAAAATTAAGTGAAAAAGAAATAAGTTAGAGCAACATAAAAATACTTGTTGTCTTGACTTTTTGTCAACATTTTGTTTACAGTGTGGAAAGCAGGGTTATTTCACTTAATTATTAATATAACTAATATATTTTGAAGTTAAAAGCATTAGTATTGTTCCTAAAACAGTATAAGAAAGGGGTTTGGGTAAAATGGATCTAAACATCCCCAAAAGAAACACTAAATAACAGCCTTTTTTTAAATCTGGAAGTAGAGCCATTAGTAATTTACAGAATAAACCAGAAATGGTGACAATTTATCATAAATACTAAGAAAATAAGAATTTTCAAGTTGTCTCTTTATGTTTTTTTATATATGTATACACAGACATGGACAAAATACCCTTTAATTTTATCCTGGTCAAAGTACTAACAGATTTTTAACATTTTATTTTCTGTCATTTTTTATTAATAACTACTATTTTAGGTTTCAGTTGTTTCTTCAATGCAGGGGCACCAACAATTTTGTCCACGTCTGTATATAGTGGTTACAAAAAATCATTTTAAGGTGAACTATCCCTTTAACATATCTGACATAATAATAAATCACAATTATGGCCGTTTCCATTGTTTACCTGTTTTAAGGCACCAGAGGTACTGAATTAAGTCTCAAAGCGCTTTACAACACAAGAGTCAAAGGATCTTGCTCCAATTTAGGCGTCACATTAATTATTGCGGTACACAAAGCAATACAAACACCCACACCCATACCCACACATACAGACACAGAGAGAGCCCAAACTTCTCTGTTGGTGCCTGTGGAAAAATCCAGCTTGGTAAACTTAACATACGAAGGTTTTCAAGTGTCAGCCGGAGTACCAGTGTTGCAGAGCTGACCGGCATCAGCAGATCACAATAGAAAGGTCTCCTACAATATAAAACAACTCCAGTGGTGATGCTTTGTCACTCAGTGACAGCAAATGAAGTCTGTGTGATTCACAGGACAGAGCAAACTGCTTTAGCCCAAAACGCTGATCAAAAATCTTTGGAATGTTTGTTTGTTAAAAGCAGTATACACCATAGCATCGTCTCTTTCCTTTACGTTAAAAGTGCACAGCGTGTGTTCCCTTGATGCTCTCTCTTGTTCCCGAGCTCAGTTTGAGGATGGCAGGCTGATGTTTTTCCTCTCCTGTCGAAGCACAGGTCCTGCTGAAGGCACAGAGGGCTCATTTAGCAGGGGCCTCTACAGGGTTGTACTCGGTCTCTCCTGAAGACACCTGGGAGATTCTGCGTGTGGAGCCCCACAGTCGGCGGGAGAACTGGCCTGACCGCACCTGAAGGAGGACAAACATGCAGTATTTAACCAGCATATAAGCTGTTTTAACCTTTCACACTGGAATTAGCAGAACTCTAATAGAACTGAACCGTTTTTTCTGACTGCCCAGATAAAAACTGTTCTCAACAGAATTTTAGTCAGATCCTTTTTACATTTAATTTAGTCAATTTGTAGATCCTTTTTTTTCTTACAAAGCGACTTACAATAAAGGTGGCTTTGAGAGATTCATCAAGAAAAGGCAATACAAACAAAAAGAGTTAATTATACAGAGAAACTGTTTGTGCTCAGTGAATTTAGTGTTAGAGAAAGGAGAGGCGAGTTTTTATTTTACATTTACACTCAAAACTTCTATTGAGACTTCAGAATTAAACTTTGAATGTCTGTCATCATATTTTATGAAGTTCATTCATTCATTTTCCTTCCGCTTAGTCCAGGGGTCAGCAACCGCATGCGGCTCTTTAACGCTGCCCTTGTGGCTCCCTGGAGCTTTTTAAAAAATGTTTGAAAATGGAAAAAGATGGGGGAGGTTAATATATTTTTTTGTTTTAATATGATATTAATGATATTATGATTCTATAGAAGGACAAACATTTTAACATTTTCAAATGCTGTAAAAGTGTGTAGAATTAATATTTAATTTCAACATTTCTGCCAGTGAAGATTTGCGTCATAGCCTGCGACACACGTTTCTATCAGCAGGGCGGGATACCAGGCAGGTGGCTGTTCACAGATGGTGACTACATGAAGGAGTCATTCATCAACATATTAGAACACCTATTTGCAGACTTCAAAAACAAAACCAAGATAAAACAAAAAATTAAAGACATACCTCTCTCCGCTACGACAGTAAGGAAAGGGCTATTAAAATGGCAGGTAATATCACCGATCAGCAAACCAAGGACATTAATTCAGTCCCCGCATACTCAATTGCCTGTGATGTGACCGATATTCAACGCGCAGGTATGTGAACTCTGATGGGCCGCAAGAAGAAATGATAAAATTAATACCACTGAAAGACCAGAGGCTGTGCTGTGTAAATAAACACCAAACACCTGATTTCAGTGGCTATTTAATCATGAAGGCTTATTATGTATTTTTAGCCAACTTAGTCATTTTTATAGTAGGCTAATATAGCTAATATAGATACATACAGCATGTGTTTCCTTCATTATAAGGCTTATATAAGGCTTTACATTTTTTGCGGCTCCAGATATATTTGTTTCTTTGTTTTTTGTGGTCCAATATGGCTCTTTCAACATTTTGGGTTGCCGACCCCTGGCTTAGTCTCTATTTCAGGTCGACACAGCTGAATGAACCGCCAACTATTCAGCATGTTTTATGCAGTGGATGGCCTTCCAACTGCAATCCAGTTTTGGGAAACACCCATACACACTCATACACTAGGGACATTTTAGCTTACCCAATTCACTTATAGCGCATGCCTTTGGACTGGGGTGGAAACCCACTCCAACATACGGAAAACATGCAAACTCCACACAGAAATGCCAACTAGCCCAGCCGGAACTTGAACCAGCAACCTTCTTGCTGTGAGGTGACAGTGCTAACTAGGGATGTCCCGATCAGGCTTCTTTTTTGCCCTCGAGTCTGAGTCTAAATCATTTGATTTTGAGTATCTACCAATACCGAAACCTGATCAGAAAATTCTAGAGTACACAAAAAAAGAATAAAGAAGTGCAATGAAACAGATCCAGGATGTTCCAGATTTTTTATTTAATTCACCTTATTTTAACATTCAACTACTCTGTTTACAAGCAGAACACTTCTATGAGGTATCTTGAACAGTCAAGTAGTAAATAACATTAATTCTTCACTTTTGGAATTTAGGGCAACAGTAAATATGAAAAAAATATCTAATATAAAAACAATCAGCACCTCAGCTTAAAATATTCGGCAGGCAATTCCAAGTTTACATTTCTCACAGTTTGCTATGGCAATGTTGTCGTCATCAACTTTATAATACCTATTGACAGCAGATATACTCATGCTTTCCACTTCAAGCTGCTTCTGTGCTCTACTTTGCTGGGATTTAACTAATAGCGGCTCTGCAACAAAGTGCTGCAAGCGTTGCTGTTTCTGTGTGAAGTCAAGAAAGAGGTCTAACACTGTGCCACCACATAACTATAGATGTGTCAAAAATAATGAGAATATACATATATTTGAGTCCTGATTGGGAGGTATCGTCCGATTCCAATCAAGTCTAAAACCATGTGATCAGGTCCCATTTCAGTTCACAATGGTCAGATCTGGACATCCCTAGTGCTAACCACCTCAGGCCCTGTTTACACTAATAAGTTTTAGTTTTAAAACGCATTTTAGACTGAAAAAGATCCGCGTCCACACTGGCATTTCACCCAGTGTTTCTCCGTCCACACTACACCACTGGAAACACACATCATGTGCACTACAGCGTATGTGCATGTCTGAGCTCCAGGCAGACAGTGGGTTTGTTGCCTTGCTCAAGGGACTACCTTTGAGGGTGGTGAGAATGGCTGGTCATTCATTTACACCACCTACAATCCCTGCAGTGCCGAGACTTGAATCTGCAACCTTCCGATCACAATGTGTAACGTGCCTTTATAAATTACATAATACATAATATATGAGATACTGGCACCTATTAAATACATTAGTTGTAATTTAGAACTTGGCTACTAGTAGAGCTGCACGATTCTGGCTAAAATGAAAGATCTAAAAATAAAAAAAAATAAAGATCACGATTTTCTCATGATTCTGTAGATGTAAAATACAGGTTAATATGAGTGGGCTATTATTATTGTTATTCTCAAACATGTGGTAAAACAGCAATAGGCTTTGTGTAGGTCCTGGTTAAAATGCAAAATTTTGTATAGACTTGGCATGGTGGACTTGAACAGACTTTAGATTTGTCCTGGTCATTAATGCTGATGATAATTGGCCTATTCTGCCGCCCTAGACGCAGCTATAACTGAGGCGCGGGTGGCGAGGGTACTTTAGGGGACGCCACCCTCTCTATTCTGCCGCGCTTGATGCGGATATGACTGAGGCGCGGGTGGAGAGGGTAGTTTCGGGGACGCCGCTCTCTATATTCTGCCACCCTAGACGCTGATATAATTGTGGGCGCGGGTGGCGAGGATAGTTTCGGGGACGCCGCTCTCTCTATTCTGCCACCCTAGACGCAGATGAGGGCGCGGGTGGCGAGGGTATTTTCGGGGACGCCGCCCTGTCTATTCTGCCGCCCTAGGCGGCCGCCTAGGTCGCCTCTATGGAAGCGCCGGCCCTGCTAGTAAATCATTTGGGTAGTTTAACTTGCCGTTATTCTGAACTTCTAACACTGCAGTTGCACAGAAGTTTCATCTGTCACCCCTTTAATGAGCAGTATGCATTTTATTTCTGTCAGTATGAGATTATTGGCTTAAAGGCCTAAGCATGCATGCACACACTCACCTCCTCTGGTTTTCCTGCTCCCACCACGATGAGTTTGCCATCCTCCAGACCCACCAGAATATGACTGCTCTCTTTTGTGACAGACACACAGCGTACTGGGACCTTCAGGGCCAAAGGAGCCACGGCCAAATTCAAGCTGCACACCAAACACACACACACATAAAGAAAGAGACGTGGGAATGAGATATGTAAACATGGACACAGCTGCTTGAGGTTTACTGTGATGACACAAAGGATTTTTTAAGAATGCTTAAATTGAATACAATTACAATAATAGTAATAATATGATTAACCAGAACATTCCATTCTCAGCAGCTGTACGACAGGAAAACCGTTCAAATGTTTCAGCTTGGTGAGCTTTTTTGTTTTATGTTTTTGAAAGTCTCCACATTTGTGCACCAATAGACAATTATTTGACCAAAATATGCTAAAATTATGGGTCACACTTTACGATAAGGTTACATTAGTTAATGTATACTAACATGAACTAAGCTTGAAAGATACCTGCACAGCATTTATTAAACAGTTCAAACAAGGGATGTTCCAATGAGGTTTTTTGCCCTCGAATCCGAGTCCAAGTCATTTGATTTTGAGTATCTACTGATACTGAAACACGATCAGATACTTCTACATGAAAAAGAATAAAAAAGAGCGAAGAAGCAGATCGAGGATGTTCCTTATTTTTAAATTTAATTCACCTTATTTTAACATTCAACATCTCTGTTAACAAACAGAGCACTTATGTAAAGTAGCTTGAACAATCAAGTAATAAATAACATCATTTCCCCACTTTTGGAATTTAGTGCAAAAGAACACACACAAATACTGTATTAAATGTATTGTTCATTGTTTGTTTACGTTAGTAAATGTGTTGCCTAACATAACCTTATTGCAACGTGTTCCCAAATTATGAGAGACTGCGGTTTTATTTCAAATAATCAAAAGATAAAAAGGTTTTTAATCAGAATTAATTGTACACATTTAGTTGTTTTTTTCTGTATTAAATCCTTTATTTATTTGATTTATTGCCAAAAGGCATAATTGTCTGGAATTGTCTGGACGCATTTGTACACACAAACTTAAATGCATAAATTATTCCGATCATTATAAAGAGTTAAATAGAAGTGTTTAAAACCCAAACCATCCTATAATAGGTGCAGTTTTTCAGTTTTGATACCTCTAAATCGTCGTCGGCCTGGGGGTAAAGGTGTGAAAAGATGTCTAGCTAGGTGTGTGGCATCTCTAAGTATTATCAAACCATTTTTTTGCTAACGTGAGACATAAAGACCATCTACAGAAGTTAGATTGTGGCCTATCATTTTTGAGGTAGTTCGCATTATCCTACGAATTTGACTCTTTTGTTGAACCGAGGAGCTGCCAAACCACACTATTATTAAGTCAGCACACTTTCAACAACTGCTCTATAAAACCTGAAAATACTCGCCATAGATACTACACATTTTTGAAGCTGCTTTAAAAGGCACCTATGATGAAAATTAACTATTGTAAGCTGTGTGGACAGATTTGTGAGTAGGTATGGTGTTATATTAGAGTGATATAAACTCAACAAGTCTCTTTTTAACAATTTCCTGATGTTAAAATAGAATGCAAATGCCAGTGATTTTGAAGCCCCACCGCCATGTGATGGAGGAGTGCGGTTTCCCCGCCCACCAAATTGATTGACAGGCGCCATGTGTGCAAAATATGTTTTATAACTTAAATAGGGTTTACAAGTTTAAAACGTTTTTAGAACAGAACATGTTTGTAATAAAGACAGTAAAATCACTAATTCTTAACTCCTATAATCACCACAGCCCCATGGACTCTGTAAACACTAATATTTGTGTGTGTGTGTGTGTGTACTGCAAATGGCATTTGTGTGACTCATCATTTCAGAAAGTCTTGAATAAATTAGACCACAAATATATAAAATACACTTTCATGGTATTTTTTTTTTACTAATGAGCTGTATTTCAGCTTCATCTGAGTCTGTCTCTGTCACTGTACTGTTTATCTGATGTAACACAGGAGATGCAGACACAAACGTGGGGCGTGGGCAGAGAGAAGCAGCTCATTTGGATTTAAGGCCACAGACTACAACAACAGCTACAATGTATTCAGACACCAAAAATGGGCAGATTCTGGAGGCTATAATAAATGTTCTGATGGGTATTTTGAGTTACAACTACACAGACACATTCTTTCACAGTCACAAAACTTTACAGACAACAAAGCATTATCTTACATCTTGTACAAAGACTAAAAATAGGTGCCTTTTTAAAAAAATTGTGTCAATGTCATTACCGAAAACAACTTTATATCTTGTGGACCTTTTGATAGCTTTTTTTGAAGGATTGTTTGATGGGATGTAGATGACATTTCTTTAAAAAACCTTTGCATAATATTGTGTGTTTAAAAGAAATTTGTTTTAGTCTTACCTGTACAAGTCTCTAATGTGGAGGTTTCCCTGTTGTGTGCCCACAATGAGGTAGTCAGGCACCAAGTACAAAGCTGAAATCTTCTCATCCAAGGTCTCAGATGCTAGCAGAGTGCCATTTACAGAATACACATGCAGAGCATACCTCTCCTACAAACAGAACATAAAAAAAAAACATCCATATTATGGTTTTTGGGTGAAATATTAAAATAAGGGATAAAAAAGAAATCAATATTGTGATTTTTGGGTGAAAACTTTGTACATTCAAAACCACCACTTTTCCAGAAAAACCTTGTACATTACAACTAGCTAAACTCTGTGTTGTCAAAGGTGATAGTCTGGCTGTAAAATAGTTAGAGACTTAGATGTGTGTCACAAGAGTTGGTAAGACCTTAGTTATATTACATATATATATATATATATATCCACACACAAGACAATCACAGACGCGGTGAATACAAATGCTGAATTGAAACTTTTGAAAATCCAGAATCAATATTGGAGTTACTTTTGCATGCTGGAGGAAGGATGACACCATAGCTGAAGTTTTACTGTTGGGTGATGTTCTGTTTTAAAACTTTTTTAGTCAGGCTAAGCTTATGTTGGATTGTGTTGTGTTATGAATGGCTTATGCTCCTATATTTTACCAATATTCTTATTTAGCTTAACAACAAAACATCAGTAAATAGCGCTATTCTGCCTAACCTGCTGTATTGAGCTGAAGTTGCTTTTATATTTGAATTGGTTCATTTTTGAACAATGACAGCCTTTCTATACTGTTTACCATGCTACTCTGAATATTTGCTCTGAAATAGCATGTGAGTGTGGCTTAGTAATAAATGTAATTCCTGGACGAAACACTAACTAACTGGCGAATAACATGAACTAGTGGGTTGTCTGATGTTGTGACGCGGTGCGCACATTTGCAATTTCAGGAGGCGTGGCTTTGAATCATGGTCCCTCCCCGCCGTACAAAGATAATATGCCTAGCGGTTAGCATTTTGGCAGATCACCTACTGCACCTTTATTTAAATGTTTGCAACTAAATGAAAAAGTGCAAAAACTGAATCTTTCTCAATCAAAGACAGATTTGAATGCATTGCTTTAAAGGATTATTAAAAATATGCTGATCATTATCATTTATTTTTCATGTTGTGCGAGTTTGAATTGAGATCACAATCTTTTAATGTTTACTTGTCCAGCTTTACACTGAATGCATTAGGCTCCAAAGAAGTGATATAAAACACCATTAAATATTACCCCAAGAAAGCATTTAGGTCCATCATTTTTTCTATCATCGTTATATTTTACAAGAAAGCCAAAATGGTTTTATACAAATGATTTGAATGACGTGGGAGGCGATCTCAAGGCCCACAAGGAAATTGCACACATAGAAATCTACATATCTTTAGCCCATCATTGAGTCGATGTATTTACTTGTGTAAATTTATATTTATTCAGTTTTTTAATTAATTTCAGAAATGTTATTGACTAATATGAAATTGTGCAATTGATTTATTTACAGTACAGTTTGTAAAGTAATATTTTCTGTCTGTTAGTAGACTTATTATATGAGAGACTTGCTTTGTTTACCAAATAAGTGGATCTAATTGGATTTGCATTGTAAACATTAAATAAAAGTTAAAAAGCTATTATTTTTATTTCATATATTAAGTTTTTAGTTATGATACTTCTAAAATCATTTTGCATAAACCGCTGATTTTTTACAAAATAGCAAAAAAATTCCACAAATTCTGTTTAGCCCTAGCGATCTCTCTGCAGTTGTTATAAATGTTGGATTAACCTACAAGTTAAAAAAAAAACTTTATTAATCCGCGGGTTGCATGCATTCTGAACTGTGGGTTGTGATCCATATGGATCACAGGTTAACCGTGATCCGTTACACCCCTATTATATGGTGTCATGGCTTTGAAATCAAAAAATGTCATTATAATGGAAGTCAATGAGGTAAAAACAGTCACTAACATAACAAAAGTGTAGTAAATTTACAGAGTGTATTGCTGACTTTTCAAAGAATTTTCCTATAATATATGTGAAAACAAGATTTGTCACCAAAAATCCTTCAATTTGCTGAAACGCAGAGAAAGTTGTGGCCAAATGAAGACTCAAAATCTCCATAGAGTGGATTAAACACAAGGGTTAAGGGCCTTAAACGTCTCTAAATTGATTGATCAACTTTGAATACTTTTTAAGACCCCGCAGACACCCTGAATTGCTTAAATGCAGTAATAAAGAGGCATAAAGTTGTGATCTGTGGCGACAGTTTACAGCATTATTCTCTCTTTAACTTTCTAAAGTCAATTAGCACCTTTCCAGCAGAGCGGCCCTCCAATACAGTCTGCATCACTATGTGGCCTTCCATGCCGACCTCCAGTTGTGCCACAGGAGCTGAAACACAGTTCTCACACGGTGGTCTTAATGTCCACAGGTACTGCCCACGACGAACACTGTGCACGATCACTGTGCCATCCTGAGTGGAAGAGAAAACCCATCATCCCTGACAGTAATGCAATAAAGCTCAACTCTGATTGATTTGATTTAGACTGACCTTCGACCCCGAGATGGCCATATCTAACTCAGTGCTGATGGCCACACACGTGACCTCCTGATCATGCCCACAGAGCACCTGAATGGGCCGTGGAGACAAGCCGCTGGAGAAACCACCCTGGTGGAAGAAAGATCATATATTCGATAAAATAGTTTTATATTCATCTGTATTTTTTAGTTCAGACATTTGTGTTGTATAATCAACCTTTCAAAATTGAAAATATTTGAAATATAAGGTGCAAAAAATACAGTAAATATTAAAATATTTTCATTTAAATTAAAGAATTTCAATTGGAGAATATTTGAAAATATAATTTTTTTCTGTATCATCACAGCTGAATTTTTCGCAGTATTACTGCCACATTTGGTGTCACACGATCCTTCTTTGATCAAGAAATATTCGATTTTTATGTTGAAAATTTCATAATGCACAATATTTTGCTGAATAATTTACAAAAACATTTTTAACCAAGCTTTTTACAAGCTTCATTGGTGAAAAGAAAGTTAAAAATAATACCTTTTATTTAATAGAAACATCATTTGTAACTTTATACATTGTACATTACTAAGTCACTTCAATTTCTTGAAAAAAAGCAAGAATTTAAATAAAAAACTAACCCTAAATGGTGACAAAAAAAAAAAAATAGTTTGGATGTTTTCTTTATCAGCAGTGCACAGTTTAAATATTCTAATAAAATAAAGACTGTATATATAATATAGATATAACGTCTGTTTTTTTTTTCCTGTAATGTACATCTTATTTCATGTCTATTCAATTTAATTTGAATTCAATTATTTAATTGATATCTATTAACACATATTTCTAATCCTAATCATACTTTATTTTTTTCCCTTGCAAAATACATATTATTCCTTAGACCTATCTAACATACAAACATCAAGCTTTCTTTGGTATTATGTAGGTTAATTCAGGTTTTATACCATGCCACAATACTGACTGATTGGCAGTCAGAACTGCACTGGTGTGAGTGTGTGTGTGTGTGTATGTGAGTGTGTGTGTGTGTGTATGTGTATGTGTGTGTGTGAGTGAGTTCACTTCTGTGTGTGCTTGCTTAAATGGGTTAAATGTAGTGTACAGATTTTGAGTACACCAAACCTAGCTATTTTCAATTTCAATTGCTTTCAGTTATTATTTATAACAAATGCAATACTAACTAACCATTCACAGTGGTAACCGCTAACAAATGTCTACCCCATATCTTTGAGATGTACAAGCTAGGGTTGGGCATCTAAGCTATAATGCCGATCCGATACGCATCTCGATACAAAGAATACGATCCGATATATTAGCGATACATTTGTGACATATTGCGATGCAACACGATACGATTCACACCCATATCACGATACGATGCGATATTTCAGCACTAACTAATTAGATCAAGTTTATGAGATGATGTGAAAGAGGATGCTGTGCCATTGAATGAGTTTGATTATTTATAATCCAAGCAAAACCAAGACTTTTTTACAAACTGGCTCTTCTCTCAGAGCCAGAGTGTCAGTTTACAGAAGAGGGCCATTTTAGAACATATAGCACATATTATTTAAGTATTTTCAAGATAAACAGAATGTATAAGTGCAATATATATTAAAAATATGTATATATTTGCACTCTTTCAACATAAATAAATTTAGCATTGCACAACAAGAATTGTGATTTAACTTTTCAACTATAAAAAAAAACAAGTTTTACAAAGATATATTTTGCCACTGATTATTCAAAACTTAAGGTTGTGAACTAGCAGTGTTATGCTGCTTTGAAACATCACTGTCACTGTAAACAACAGGCTAATAAAAATATAACAAACCAGCAATCTTCTTGCTGTGAGGTGGTCAAACTACCCACTGTGCCACTGTGACACCCAATTATTTTTATCATTATTATTATTAATATTATTATTATTATAATTATAATTAAATAAAAATTAACAGGAGGAGGTGTTTAAAACCTTCGTTCTCCGTGACACTAGGCTGAATATCTTTGCAGATGAACAATGCAATAGCATTCGTTATTGGCGTAGAGCGAGCAGAACTGTTGCGCATGGGAAAAAAACTTGCAATGCTTTTCTCACCACTTTTGGAGCTGGTTGAAGCAGTGCGAAAGCCGGGGATGCAGAAACACTGGAAGATGCTTTCACAACAACACCGTGGCGCCGCTTCAAGTGAGATTTCAGATTACTCGTACTGCCCGCGTATTTTACAGATGCGCGGCACATTTTGCAAATTGCATCTGTCCTGTCATGTCGTCCATCCTTAAATCCATAATGTTGCTTGCCATACTTTAGATTTAAAACTCAGTGGGGAATAAAATGTTTGTTTTGCTTCTCGCGCTTTCTGAGGGCGCTCCACTAGCTTCATCCGCACACCTGATACACTGAGTTGTAGTGTGTGCACATCCGCAAATCCGTTGCTAAGGCTTACTTTATGTAGGTCGATTAAATTATGCGCCAAAAACAGGTTGACAACACTTGTTAAAAATAAAAAATACATTCTATATTAAAAATATAAGCTGTATCTCGGAAAAATCGATGCATCTCGCAAAAACCGATGCATCTCGATTTGCTTCCAAAATTTCATTCATCCTCTGCTGCTCAACCGATGCACTCGCATCGTGCACGCGGATGACCGCGTATCGATACATATCGGTTAATCTTCCCATCCCTAGTACAAGCAGGAAACAGCAAACTGATCTGGTGTGCGTTTCCAAAACAATGATGTAACTCGTGGCTGAACTATCATAGTACAATGCATCGTTTGAGTAAAGAACAATGTAGTGACGAGTGTTTCCCAATACCCGTAGTTTCTCTGTCCCAGATCCATCGTTTAAACCACGTTAGTTATAACGTAAAATGCCCATAATGATGCTCTAAACAGGGTGAAGTAACAACTTCTTTAGAAAAGAACCCTATCATTTCTTTGTGCAAATTATATGGTTTTACATGAACACGCATTAAAAAATCCAATATTAATTTTGGTAAAAACATGCACTCGCTTTTCATATTAATTAAAATATAAGTAAATGGCACACATAGAGCCTATGTTTCCTCTACCAATATTTTTGAGAATATTACACATAAATCATACAAAAACTTACACATACTCTAATCTAATATATAAATCATATAAATAAACAAACAATGAGGCGATTTATTAAGAAATGAAATTTAATATGTATTATTTATTAGGAAATAAAAAAACATACTTTAATAATAACATTAGTAATAATAATGATGATGATAATGATGATAATAATGATTATTATTATTATTATTATTAAGTAAGATATTGTTTATTTATTTATTGAATAGTCTACTTTTACAATTTGACACATGGAAACCACTACAGAAATGTTCTAACCAACAGGACTATGTCAAATACAGTTCAGATACTTAATAAATAGCCTACTATAAATTAAAAGCATAAACATATGCTATGTTTTTTGCTTTCACAAGTTTAAAGACGCAACATAAATTCCGCTTTTAAATAATAGGTCACCAATAGCTTTCGTCAAAAGCCACGACTGTTTTCAAAATGACATGAATGTTTTCAAAGTGCACTGCGAAGGGAGTGCAATTGTAAACACGAAGATCGCTAAAACCTAATACCTCAGAGAGATGACTTTAATTTTTTTTTTTTCAATTCCAAGTTTAAATTTCAGAATGTTCTAAACAAATAGGGGGGATAACGCCAAATAGAACATGGCCAGGAACTATGTTTCTAACTACAGCTCCAGAGGTGTAGTTGCAAGTGTACAAGTTTGTGAATGTTTATTGGAACGATGGATTTGATAACACCAAATCAACAAACTATGTTTGTAATGACGGAACTTGCAACCTTAGTTGGCTAACAATGGTTTTCGGAAACGAACCCCTGGTTATGTGACATTAAAACATTTCAAATTTTTTATTTAAACAAAGAATTACTTGCCCAATGCCAACAACAGCACTTTAAGATTTTCCATTACAAAAAAGACAGTCATCACTGGGATTAAATGGATGAATCCTCATTGTCTTTTGGTATTTATTATATTATATAAAAGCACATGTATTTTGGGATAACAAACCTGCTGTAGGACCTGCCAGACCATGCAGGTGGTGTCCCGTGAGCCAGAGATGAGGTAGATTCCACACAGATCCAAAGCCAGGCAGGTGACCACATCTGTAACCCACAAAAGTGCACATCAAGACTTAATCTGATTATATGTTTACTAGCCACTATATTAAATACACCTGTTCTACTTCTGGCTAATATCAAGGCTCACTAAAACGTGACAGAGGGACATTGTGAAATGGTCGTCTTGTCTGATGAGTTTTGATTTCGGCTGCATGTTTGGTTTCTTGTTGGTTTGGTCAGAGTTTGGCAGGAACAACATGAAAAAGTTCAGTAGATCTACTTTGCCTTATTTCATTGTTTAGGATGCTGCTGCGGGTATGCTGTTTGAGGAATATCATTCTAGCACAGTACCCTTAGTACCAGCAATGCTGCATTCCACACATTTTCTTCATGTTGTTTTAACACAAATTGAATAAGTTAATTTGGTTTTTAAGTTAAGTTTGAGTGGCTTGACCATAAAACAATTATGTTGTCCCCCCCAATAATTAAAGATTGTGTTGTTTCAACTCATTTTATGCAAGTAGCTTGAACAAGCAGCAAAAGTCCTAGTGTAGCATTGCCTGTCTATCTGAGTATTACTGCTGACAAGTGTTGGAGGTGACGCATTACAACGCGAGCTACGTAATAATATTGCTTTTCCAAGTAACGAGTAAAGTAACATATAACTTTTAAAAACTAACTAATAATATTTGAGTTACTTTTAAAAAAATGTAATGACTTACTTTTATTTTAATTAGTTTACAAAAATATCTAGTTGAATTAAAATTAAAGTAGTCACAATGAATCACGCAGTCATTGACAGAATGAGTACATTATTTTGAACACATCAAAGAAAAGGAAAAGGGGATTGTGTCAATGATATTACAAATAGAACAAAAGTGGCAAACACTTAATCTGTATATATATACAGCATATACAGTATAGCTCTGGGGTCAGAAAGTTCTCAGTTAAAAATATAAATGTAGGTGCAGGTTATAGAGCGTGTTTATAATTGCAGAGCTTCTCTATTTAAAAAAATAAATAAAGAAAGAAAGAAAAGGTTCTGAAAGAGACCAAGCTTCAGCCAGGTAGTAAAAAGTAACGCAAAACTAACTTATAAGTAACATCACGTATTACTTACCATAAAAAGTAAATAAATAACAAAACTAGTTACTTTTTTGTGGAGTAACTCAATATTGAAATGCATTACTTTCAAAAGTAACTTTCCCCAACACTGCTGCTGACCATGGCCATCTGCTTAAATAACAAAGTGCACACATCTTGTAATGGCTACATCTAATTGCTCTATTTTGGGGAAAAAATATCATAATGATGATTATTTCAGTTATATTTAAATTTTTAAAAATAGTTATTTATGGAACTGAAGACCCACAGTTCAAAGTCTGGTTACAAAAAGGTCTCACCACATTACATGAATTGTTTGATGGAAATATTTTAATATCTTTTGACAAACTGACCAATAAATATAATATTCCGCAACAAGATTTTTTTCTCTACTTGCAACTAAGAGACTTTGTGAAAAAAAGACACTACAATACTCGAAAATCAGGACAATTCAGTTGTGGAAAGGCAACTTTTTTCATACAGGGACAATTCCACAAGCTGTTTCTACAAAGTCCTTAAGGATTTTGTCTCTTTAAATACGGGCTCCTTGAAAGAGACATGGGAAAGGACCCTTGATATACAAATCGAATCACAAATTTCCAAGAAGCCTGAAAAAATGCAATGTCCCTAAGTGTATGTAACAGAGTAAAAGCAATGCAACTGAATTTTCTACATCAAGCTCACATCTCTCCCTCACGGAGGCACAAGTTTAAAGAGGAGTTGTCACCAATGTGTCTGAAATGTAAAACTGAGGAAGGAGACCTTGTTCACTGTTTTTGGCTTTGCAGGGAAATTCAAAAGTTCTGGGCCATGATTGAACAAGAAATTAATGGAATTTTATCTATTAAAATTGGTTGTGACCCTAAGCAGATATTCGACTAGATTAATATGGACAAACATAAAAAAAAAAAAACACTTTGTAAGTTCCTGACAATTTGTGCAAGAAAACGTATTCTCCTGAACTGGATAACGGACAAAACTCCTACAAAGTCTTTATGGCACAGGGTAATACTTGAATATGTACCACTGGACGACTTAACTTGTGTCTCAAATGGCAAAGATGTTTTATTCCATGAGAGGTGGGATCCATTTTTGTTACATATGGGTTTAAACATAACCTCCATAATCATCAGAGGGATGATTTAACAAGGTCAGATCTTGTGAAGGTTTGTGGTGCATGAATATCCAATATCGCTACTTTTATTAACGCCCCCCTTTTTTTAATACATTTTTTTTCTTTCCCTCCATGTTCTGTTCACTTGTTTGTTCCGTATTGCTTAAAAATTTATTAAAGACATTATTAAAAAAAAAAAGTTGTTTATGAGTGGGCCATAAGACCTAACATTTTTTGATTGACTTTTTTCATTTAAAGGGGATGCATCAAATTTTGGGCCGCTGAAAATTATTGGCTGGAAATGTCTGTTTTTGTTTTTGACCTAAAGAGAAAAACTGAGGAAAATATGTTAATAACTTCACTGTCAATAACACTTTATTATTTTTTCAAAGTAAATTCCACTAAATTAGAAAAGTAAATAAAGTTTTTGAGTTAAAATTATAAGTCTTTAAAAATGTAATAAAGTGACTAACCAAAATAGTAAATAATTATATATAAAAAGAGTTGTTTCAGTTTTAAGCCAAGTGCACCCAGAAATGTCAGTTTCGGACAAGAATTTTCATTTCATTACATCGCTAGTAAACTATCCATTTAAAGCAATCCAGTAAAGCAGGTTGTACCTAATAAAGCGAATGCAATTTTCACCATCCATCTGAAGAGCTGTTTACTGACTGACCACAGATCAGTTTATTTAGGATAAATTTCAACAACTCCATCAAGCTCATTCCAAAGCCTACAACTGGCATCTCAACACTATTTTGAGTATGTGTGTGTAGCTCAGAGTCTTTTCTCACCTATGTGCCGGCAGATCCTGCCTACCAGCTTGGCCTTGCCTAACATAGTGACCCTCAGGCTGCAGTCCCAGTGCCCCCCGCTGAACAGCAGACGGCCGTCACTGGACACCACCAGCACCTGGGACCCCATCTCCACCCCTGGGGAGAACGGCCCGCTGAGGAACCGCTGGGTCCTAAAAACAGATCAAACAAAAGGTTAGTACCAACAAACGTGCAGGCAAGAACAGCAGGAGAACATTTTGAAATAGATGAATGCTGTGTTCAAGCATCAGAGGCGACACATGTAAGCAGACCGCTCATAAATAACTAGAATGGCTTGGCAAAACAAATGAGCTTTTACTACAAAGGACGCAGTTTCGACTGAAAAACATTCAGCCAAACCACCAGAGCTTAATGTCAAAGAGCTGCTGTTTATATGCTGCTATAAAGCTTTTGATTATTTGTCCAAAAATCAATGTTGTCGCCATAAAAAAACTATTTTCTGCCAAAACAGAGCCTCTTGGCTTTTAAAATAATATGACATCACTGTGGATAGTTATGTCATCTGTTTCAACAACAAAAAAAAGTATATGTGCATGTTCACACTTACTTTGGGTTGCTGACAGAAGGGTCTCTGGTGAAGGTGAAGTAATTGGCTATGTTCTTGTCGTAGGGCAGCCAGCTATGAGTGCCTATCATTCCATTAGCACTCACTGTCACCTTAGCAAAACAGCACAAGAACCATTTAAAACACACTCAAGGCCTGACATCTACACCACAGGTGTAAACAGGCCCTTAGGCCTCGTTTAGACTAGTGCGTTTTAGTTTTAAAACGGCGTTTTAGAATGAAAACAATCTGCGTTAAGCATCTCCCGCTAGATCTAATCTCATTATGTTTGTTAAATGTGATATTTTATTCATCTTGTTGTCTCTGTCTAACGATATATTCCCCGACTTTGGTCTTTTGAATCTATTTTTTTTCTCAGGTAACGTGTTTCGGCTGAGCGCAATTAGTTAATAATTAATGTAACCATGTACATTCTGTATATTGACTGATTGCTTGACTTTATTTCCTATAATGTATAAACTTAGAGTACGTTATACTTTTATAATGGCCATTATTGATTATTAAAAATGATATTCAGCGAAAGAAAAATTAATGCGACTAAATATCAACTTCAATATAAAAACGATGCTTGGAGTAAGAATGAATGTATAGTAAGATTAAAGACATTTCAATTGTTTTTCTTTTACACTTGTTATACATCAATTAATTTACTAAATTGATAATTAAAATGAAATACATTTCAGAAGGAACATGTAATACTGAAGACTGAAGTCTTTTTTTTAAATATGGTTTACACTTTGCTAGCATGGATTTTCTCACGTTTCATTTTCTTGTTTTTAGCATTAATTAAAGTTGCTAGCATTTTTATCATGTCATCACCTTAGAATTGTAAGGTTCTATCTGACATTTTTTCAAAATTGAGTTATTGACATATTCTTATTAAATGACAACTTATTTACATTATTGGATGTTTTTTTGGAAGTTACATTATTGGAAGTTGTTTGCATTTTAGGACTTTATATAAAAAAAATGTTATGTTTGCTATATGGAATGCAAAAACTTTTAAGCTAATTATCTCAAAATCACTCAGAACGCAGATATAATTCCAAGGTGACGATGCTTGCATGTTTTAACAAGATGCAAACATTAATTTAAATGTTGATTTCCTTTTTTAACACAACATATTTTTAGCTGTTGCAGTTAATGTTTTAGCATAATTGCTGCTGGCATGTTTCACAGTTTGCTAGCATGAATTTTGTATCGTTTGTAATATGGATCACAACGCTAACATGAATTGACATTGCTTAACATGTTAAAAGCATTATTTACTTTCTTTGAAGGAGATTAATAACTTCATTTAAACTTTTCAATAAATGCATATGTACATTTTAAGTAAAAAAACAGTGATCTTTAACAAAACCTTGCTATTGATAAAAGATGGAAAAAATTATATTATCTTTTAAGTCATTACAATCAAACATTTACAGGGCAAATGTTGTTTATAATTGCTCAAAAACTATACTTTAAATGTAAAACCTTAACATTGCCACTGTGATGACAGACACTTAATGAAAAAAAGAAAAAAAAGAAAAAGAAAATTACTTAAAATTACTGTAATAATTTTTTTAAACTGAGTCACATTCTACATTAATGCATAAATATTAATATTTAATTCAGTTCCATTTTACTTTTACAATGCTTTCTTAATCCTTTAACTGCCCCACCAACAACAACCAAAATTTTGCCCAAGCGCCGCTTCTGGTGTGCGACCTGCTTAACAGTCATTATTTAAAACAGTCAAAATATGGTTAACCATTAGGTAAAGGAAGCAGTTAAAAGGTTAATAAATTTTGCTTCAAGGCAGTTGTACTAGGATTACTGATTTCCAATGAAACATTCATTCATACATTTTCTTTTCGGCTTAGTCCCTTTATTAATCTGGGATCACCACAGCAAAATGAACCGTCAACTTATCCAGCATGTATTTTACGCAGCAGATGCCCTTACAGCTGCAACCCATCACAGGAAATCATCCATACACACTCATTCATACTCATACACTACGGACAATTTAGCCTACCCAATTACTCTATACTGCATAACTTTGGACTGTGGGGGAAACTAGAGCACCCGGAGGAAACCCACACGAAAGAGGGAAGAACATGCAAACTACACACAGAAACGCTAACTGCCCCAGCCGATCCTCAAACCGGCGACCTTCTTGCTGTGAGGCAACAGCACTACCTACTGCGCCACCGCGTCGCCCCCCAATGAAACAACCCAAATATTGCTATTCTAATAAAATGCTTTTTAAAACACTGTAAAATCTCATTATGTTATCGCGTCAAATTATTGAGCATTCTATAGAAAGTGTTATGATAAATACGGCATCATTATACAATGTGTGAGTGCATTTGTATAATATTGTCAACTCATTGTTTTTTAATGTTAAATTATTGTATTATTTTAAACATGGCATAAAATGAGCCTATGGTCCAAATTTTACATCTCTTTAAAGCCACTGTATTAGCATTTGTTTACACAATACAAATCCAGGACTATGTGCTTGTTTTTGATCCCTCTCAAGCAATACACAAGAGAATCCATCCGTTAAATAATCCTACCAGTATGTCAGAGCCTGGGATGATGAAGGAGCGGGTTTGATTTCTGGGCACCACAGCTTGCACTAATGCCAGGCCATCACTCACCACCTACAAGAAAAACATCAAAACTCATTGCAAAACAGATCACAAACTCATTCACAGAGAAACTTCATACATCAAACCATTACAGATACACTGTTCATTATACAATTCAAATAAAAATATTGAGAAACGTAGATTTACCTCCTTGAAAGATCTGAGTTTACTGAGCTGATCAAAGAGGTTTGGTGGCAGTATGTCGAGACGGGCCGCACGCCTGAATGCGTTCTCTGCTGACATACGTGGAGGATGAGGCTCCTGGATAATACAAAGAGAGTTCATTGAGGCTATATTATCTACAATACTGTAGATTGTTCACTGGAAATCCATATAAAACTATAACGGTTTCATGAAAAACAAATATGTAATGTAATATAATATACTGTAATGCGTATTTATGTATAAAAAAATCCAAAGTGCTTCACAATCATGAGGGAGGTCTCTCCACACCACCACCAGTGTGCAGCATCCACTTGGATGATGCGACGGAAGCCACAGGACAACGTTGCCAGTGCGCTCACCACACACCAGCTATTGGTTGAATAAAGTGACAGTGATAGAGCCAATTTGGTGGATGGGGATGGCCAAGGTAAGGGCCGATGGAGAGATTTTGGCCAGGACACCGGGGTTACACCCCTACTCCTTAAAAGAGGTGGCATGGGATTTTTAATGACCACAGAGAGCCAGGACCTCGGTTTTACTTCTCATCCGAAAGATGGAAATGACAAATCAGAAATATCAGAATATCAGAATTATTAGAAATGACAAAAGCACAAAGAAATTACTAGACAATAAAACAAAGTAAACCACCACAAAAATAAAACAAAAAATATCACAAAAAATAAGATGAAAATAGCAAGAAAGAGATAAAATTATTAAACAGTATTATTTAGCATGTTGCTGACATGTCTACACTTTTGCTAACATGAACTAATGTTTTTAATTAATTTTGTTAGCACTTTTGTAGTATAAATTGACAAGTTTTGGCATTTAAACATATTATTAGCATGAATTAAGGTGGCTAGTTTTATACCATTTTTATGCTAGAATTAATTAACATGTTGATCGTAATTATAGTAACATTCTTAATATGGATTACATTGCTAACATTTATTCACATGTTAGCATGTTTAACATGTTACATGTAAGAATTACCTTGTTAGTAGCATACTTTGGCAGACTGAGTGGATTTTAAACACATTGTTAACATAGTTTAGCTTTTGCTAGCACATTTTAATGTTATTTTTAAACACTTCCCTAAATTAGCATGTCATCACTAGTTAACACGTTGCATGTTTAACATATTGTTAGCAAGGCCAAAACGTTTCTATAATCAATTTGCTTCTTGCTAACAGTTATCATGTTACAAGCAAGTTTTAGCACTATGGCTCATGAATTAATGGAATGATAAATGTCTTGCTAACATGTTATTGTGCTATATGTGTTGCTAGCACAATTTAACACATTAGCAAGTCTTGCCAAGCTGTTAGATTGGCAAGACTTGTTTTTTGGTAGATGCAAGCTAGATAAAAAAAACTGGTTAAACTCACTGTGAGATTTAAATTTTTATTTTTTTATTAATTTTTTTTTAAAACTCTAACAAGTCTAAAGGACATTTTTATTGCCTAAATCTGATCAATTACAATAAAATCAGCACACAAAGTCTTGAAGGTCTGAAACATGTTTTGTGGTGACAACTTGAAAGCTAAGTGTAAAGAAATCTGTTCCAAGAAATCTGTACCTGTAACAAGAAATAGAAAATGACAACAAAGCTTAGTAGTAGTAGTAGTAGTAGTAGTAGTAGATATTCTGACCTTCTTAAGCCAATAAAACATCACTATCCAGACTTGGGAGCTCAAGTAATATGAGGCTTATGATAACTAGAGATGGAAACATCTGTCTGAAGTCTCACCTTTAAAAGCTGACAGGGTGTTTGGCCAAAGTTGCTGATAATGCCTTCCAGGGCTTTGCGCTCAGTCTCATTAGCAATGGCATCCAGATCGACTGCACCTGACGGCCAAAAAACACACCAATCAGTCATATTTTCCATTCAGGAAACAGCTAATGTGAACTCATAAGAGGTCTCTTACCCTCATAAGTGCAGTAGTAGAAGACATTAAGAGCCTCCACTGCTTCAGGTCCCCGTTGCTTATATCCGAATATGAGATCGATCCATTCATGCAGGTGAGCAGACACATGTTCACTCTCCTTTAAACATACATATACACAAGAAAAGTGCTTATTAGGTGGAAAACAAGAGAATATTTATAACAATATCATCCATGCCAAAAAATTTTCTCCATTGGTAGACTACATAATATATATTTTACAATTAGTATTTTTCATCAGAATTCCAAGATATAAACAGCAATTTTACAGATACATTCACAATTCTGAGATTTTTAACTTGTGATTCAGCCCTTTTCTAGTAATTCTGAGTTCACAGCTCACAATTCTAACTTTTCCCCCACACAATTATGAGTTATAAAAGATTCAATAAATAATAAAACTGTTCTCACTGTTAACTCACCCTCACCTTTTTCATCGGTTGAACACTAAAGAGGTTTTGAAGAAAGCTGGAAACCTTTAACCACTGATTATATAGTTTTTGTTTGTCTTACTATGGAAATCATTGGTTAGAGGTTGTCAGCTTTCTTCAAAACTTCTTCTTTCATGTTCAACAGATGAAACAAGTAAAATGTGAGTAAATGATGACAGAAAGTTCATTTTGGTTGAACAATCCCTTCAGTTTTTTTCCTTCTTAGAATTACAACTCTGCTCCACACAAAGCTGCAAATTTATGGGCTTTCATGTGACTTTGACTATATTACTTACAAGTAAGTTTGTCACATTTTAAATTTAACAGTCATGTAGGTTTAAAAGTTGAAATTGTGATACACTAAGTGGTAATTCTGAGGAGACAAAAACTGAATTTAGCTGTTAATTTGCAGCTACATGTTAGCTGTTTCTTCTTGAATTTTAAAATCCATTTATAGTATACATATATGTACTACATTTCAGATTTTTTTCTGCAGTTTCAAGCTTTTATTCCACAATTTATCCTTTCTGACGTTTTATCTCACAATTATTTGTTTATTAAATAGTAATTATTTGCTATATATATATATATATATATATCATATATCAGCTCTGACATTGTTCTCAGAATTCAGAGTAAACATCTCAGGATTCTGACTGTTTTATTTCAGACTTGTGACTTTATTTCCTGTAACTGTGAGTTTTATTATCTTTCTTGCAATCTGACCTCTTTGTTTAATTCTAACTTTTTCCTTTAGGACTGTGAGGTACCAGGACTGGTACAATCATGCAATGATTAGTTCATGATTTTGAGATACACCAGAAAATAAAAAAGACTTAAATTTGAAGTAGAAAGTAAGATTTGAAAAATGAAATACTTTATTTGCACTCACGGCAGAGATATTGTTATACAACAAAAATGCAGTGAAAAATGTAATATTGATCTTGTGACTTTGTCTTAACACACTGCATTGAATAATTAGTGAACCAATTTCCCATTCTCACTAAATGTTTCTCAAATGTTGTTTAGGTCCATTTGCAATGTCTGAGGCAAAGTAGCCATCAAAAAAGTTTAACCTAACTGATTTTGAAAAAAATAAGCAACAATTTCCAAACAAAAAGATCTGAGATAAAAGGAACATACAAAATTATTTATTTTTAAAGTTTAAGATTAATGTTTAGTTCAATTTAAAATGGCACAAGTTTTGTTTAAGGGTAGGAATAAATAGCTTCTGAAAAGCATACAAAGATTTTTTGTAGAAAGACAAGATTGATATAATAGAAAAAAAGAACAATATTTTAACAAGGACAACTTTAAAAAGTTTGTGTAAGTCTATATGTAGGGTGAAATTATGCAATAGTCTGGAACAGATTTTAAAACAGTGTCTAAATAGCAATCAGTTTAAAAAGTAGAATAAAAATATTTTTTAAAGGAATATGTTGATGAATAGAGGTGACTATAAAAAAGTCAGTGGTTGTTTGTAGTACCATGCATATTCTGGGCCTGTGTTATAATAAGAAAAATGTACAAATGTACAAACGGTGAATTGAATATATAATATGTAAAAGACGTAAAAAGGATGAAATAATTTTAATGTAAAGTGACAGTCGAACGATGGGGAATAGTGAGGAAACAGGCTGGGGAAAAGAACTGCTTTTTGAGCTGATTAAATTAATTTGTCATTCTAAGTGCATCTGGATTAGTGAATTATTTTATTTATTAAGATAAACTGTATATTTGTTTGACAAATTGTTTTAAGTATGATATTCTAAATATTCTAAAACATATAAAAATAATAAAATAAGATGCAACTCATCTATTATCAACAGAAAAAAAGAGCTACAGTGGTTTCCCTAGTTGCAACAACTTTCATTTTTGTCTGAGATGGATCCTCACCCCCACATTAAAAATTTGATTTATTCACAAATTATTTAAGCAATATTTCAATTTTTTCAACTATGTATGGAATCATAGTTAGTGAGTATTGTCATTGTGTGGTTTGCTCACCAAGGCTTTACGGTGTTTCCTGATGAAGTCTTCCCGTGAAGATGCCCAAGGTGGAAGCAACACATTATTGACCTTCTCCTGACTTATTTGCAGGCATCCCAGATCAAAACCTGCACACATGGCATTGTATAATTCAAAATTCATTGAAAACATTCCAGACCCAGTGTGATTTCCATCAGAGAAACACACAAACCGTTCATGTTCTCCAGGAATTCTGGGAAGTAGAAGAATTCTGGTATGAGCTCCTTCACATCTGCTGGACTCTCCATCCGTGCCTGCCATGCTGCTGCTATTGAATGAAACTGCCTATCAGCACAGTCAAACCTAAAACACAAAAACACACACACAATCACTAATTAAAAAAGAGCCCTGATATATGACAATGCACATGATTGCCTACAAAACCATTAACAAACAACACTGCAACCTAGTGGCCAATAACAGAGGGTTACAACAAACACGGCATTTAATTATGACGTTAATTATTGTATTGATTGGGTCAAAGATGATTTTTTTGGTGTGTGTGTGTAATGTTTCATTTTAAAGGATTTTATCAGCACAGAATAAAACTTAAGTTAAACTAAAATAAAAAAATGTGGATGAAATAATGTTTCTTCATTCATAGCAAACAATAAATTATTCTGACAGGCACTTATATAATAATATATATTAGGTAATAATACCTGATTATGTAATGTGTAAAACTTTTACATTTATGTAACATTGTTTTCTAAAACATTTACAGTCTTTTAAAATGATTAAAATGGTCTTTCTGTTAACTAAAAGTAATTTAAAAAGATTTAACTAAAAACAAAGTGTTCAAGTGTATTACATTTTCATTGTTTTTATATTTGAACACCTCTTATCATTTCAAACTAATAATATTGAGTGCCAAAAACACAAATAAATAATACTTTAACATTATCAGCTGCCAGAGGTAATGAATCCATCAATATATTTAAACTTTAATTTAGAGAAACCTGGATAACTTAAGGAAGCCATCAGTTACAACTATAGATTTGTATCCATATCGCCACAACATATCTAGATTATTCACAATTCATGTATACTTCATTTTAATATTAAAGACATAATAACCTAGTTTGACTTATCAATACAGGAATATGTAGAGGTATCCTTTCAACACTTACCACTAGGTTCCTACTGTTATGATTAGAACTATAATAATAGTTAATGTAAACTAATAATAACTAGTACTTTTAAAAACATGTTAAACAGCATTCATTTAAAATGTATTAATAAATTACTAAATCAAATTGTATATATAATATTATCATTAAATAAAACAAGCTGATATGAACGAACAATAAATAACTGTAAAAAGCCCAGATTAATAATAAAAAGTTGATGTAAAGGGCTATCAAGAATTTTTTGTGTTGAATTTCTATTTGGAACAAAAAAGCACCCTGTGTACACTAAATTAACACCTACTGTTGGCTTCTGTAACCAATCAAGCTACTTACTTGTAAATACTTTAATATATAGTTTTTATTTCTTATATGTGCAGTCAAAACAGTCAACAAAGCACATATTGCGTAGTTTATTTTTCACTAATTGAAATTTCCTTCTGTCCTCTTGTGTTAATATGTATGTAGGTGTGTACTCTGAACTCCTGTAAAGACAATTCCTTGTGTTTTTGTAAACGCTTGGCGATTACTGCACAATCTGATTCTGAAATTGATACAGAAAATCCTGAAATACAAATGTTGCACAAAGCAGAATAAACAGGCCCTTAAGCCTTAAGAAGGGGTGTCCAATTCTGCTACAGAAGGATCAACATCATGCAGACTTTAGCTTTAATGCCCCAAAATGCCTGACTAGAAATTTCTGGTGATCCTGAAGATCTTGATCAGCAGGTTTAGGTGTGTTTGAGCAGGAAGGTAGTCCTTTAGAAGCAGGCTTAAACACCCCTGGGCTTAACTTGTAGCATTTGAACAGTGGTGTGGTGTGTGTGTACTTACTTGCCACTCTGGAGCTGAATATGCAATGAGGTGAAGGGCTCTGTGCGGATCATGTAGTGCATGACGCCAGCAGCATTAGAGTAGTGTGTGCCATAGTGGAACTTATCAATAGTGCCTGTTGGGTCTTCAAAACTCTCATACCTATGTAAAAAACAACAAGACATAGAGCATAAGCAAAACATTCCACATTTCACTGCTGAACCCTACTAAAAACATTATGTTATTGTGCATTATATACTTTCAAAATTAGAGCAAAAATGACATTGAAACTATCATACTTCTCCCTGACGTTCTGTGCATGGCGAGGGTTGACAACACCGATGGGTTTGGACAGATCTCTGAAAACCGCTGGGTCATCCAGATCCAATTCTGCTGAAGTGTAGTCACACAACACCCATGGAAACTGAAAATATATGCAAAAATAAAAGAGATGACATGAGACAACATTTAGATTTTTTTTTTTTTTTTTTTTTAGAAAAATCAATAATAGATACAGTATTTATCTGTTATTCATTTCATCTATTACTTTCATTCATAATCATCTATCATTTATACATCACCCATTCAAACTGGTTTAATACAATTGTTATTAAACTAAACTAAAGTAAAATAAATGAAGGGAAAAACAGGCCAAAAAACAAAACACAAACCCAATATGAGACAAAACAAATAAACTACAAAAGAAAACCCAAACAAAACATTACCACAAATAAAAAAATAAAAATAAAAGAAAACCAGAAAGAAAAAAACAAAAACAAAAAACAACTCAAAATGAATGAAAAGAAAGAAAACATTAAGCTATCAAACAAAAGCAACACACAACAAAGTCAATAGACAATCCATGAGGAACCTGTTTCAGTAAGGAGGTCCATCCAACTCGGAGTTTAAACTTGAACTCTGAGTTGACTTACCAAGAGATTCAAAATTCAGAGTTTTCGGTTTCAGATCAGCTGTTCTTAGTTAGGTCAATCAAGTCTGAGTAGACTAAATCAGAGTTAATCTTGCACACCACGACTATAAAAAGGCATCATCAATGGAGCGGAGATATTACGAGTCTCCATGGCAACATCTGAAAAAAGAGATCAGCATTCTTTTCCCCTGCTGAACTTGATGTGCTTGATAGCAAATATGCCCATATATTTAAAAAAGCAACACCACTGCATCAGTGAAACGGAGAGAGTTAGGGTGGGAAAACATAGCTGCTCAAGCTAATGTGTAAGCTTACATTTGATGTATTTACATATTTAAGTATGATAAAAAATAAGTCGTGTGATGTGTGACGTTTATTAACTTTTTACAACAAATTTGACAAAACAAGAATGCAAATAACCTTAACTCAATGTTTAGTGGAAATGTTTAATGGTTCCCAATTTTAATGTAAATGTTTAAGGTTCCCAATTTTACACACATTGATCAGTCTAAGAAAACTAAAAAAAATGTTTTTAATAGATTTAAAAGTGCACTTGTGTGTCTGCCTTTATTGATCAAGCGGTAGAGGTTGATATGACATTTGAATGTAAGCAGAAAATGTTTAGAACAAGTAATAATCCCATTAATCTAGTTAGAGTACATGTCCCTGTTGAAGATCAGTGAATTTAAGCTAATTATATTTGTTTTGCATAAATATCAGATATCCAAGAAATATCAAACTTAAAACTATGCAGTTAGTATGCAGTTCAATCAACACACAACAAAAACAAGCACAACAAATAACAAACATAAACTACAAAAAAACAAATCAATACTAGCTCTGAATGCAAACTGATACAAAGTACTACAAGACAAAACCAGATGAAACAAAACAAAAAACACATAAAAAACAATACAAAACACTACAAAACCACAACACAAAATTAAACAAAACAAAGAAAACAAAACAATTCTAAAAAACAAAAGCAACACACAATAAAACAACACACAAGAAAGCAGCCCAAAACAAAATCAACAGACAATGTATGAGAACTCACAATTAAAAACAATTAAATAAATACACAATAAAAACCAACAAAAAAACACAAAACGAAACAAAAAATCAATGCCATCTCTAAGGGCAAAAAGACACAAAATTCTACATAACAAAACGAAAAAACAAACAAACAAAAAAACAGATGAAACAAACAAAAAAACACATCAAAAACCAAACACTACAAAATCACAACACAGCATGAAAAAAAACAACAACAAAAAACTATAAAACAAAAAGCAACACACAATAAATCAGCCCAAAACAAAATCAACAGACAATGTATAAGAACTTGCAATTAAAAGCAAAACAACAAACAAGAAAAACAAAAGCACAGAAATACAAATCAATGCTAGCTCTGAGAGAACTCACCACTGGATATTGAGATAAATCATTGTATGTGCGACCAGCAATGGTGTTGAGCTGCATCAGATATTCAAAATTGGAGATCTCTCGGCAGACCCATCTCTGCAGGAGGAAGAAAAATGACAATAATAACTTGATTTGGATGTTTTTATTGACAGAAACTGTAATTTATTTATTAGCAGATAAGATACAGAGATTCTAAATCTTTCTCCAATATAATCATCAAGAGTGTGTCTGGAGTAAGTGCTAGAGGATAATTTCTTGGAAACGGATTCAAACACAGACCATAGTTTTGCTGGCATAATTCTCAGACTCCTCTCACAAAAAAGAAAAATATTTGCACAATGTGAGTTCTTCATATGAGACATACGTGAGTCAAATTGGAGGCTTTCAGGAGCTCCTGAGGAGAACGGGAACCAAAGTAAAAAAGATTGGGAGGCCTGAGACCCAGGATCCGGGAGTAGACTTTGTTCCGCACCTGTGGGAGGATGAAAACAAATATGAAAACACAGATCGGTGTGCTAGATACCCTTGTTTTTCTCTGTTTGTGTCTGTCTAAGTGTCTCACCCCTTTCCGGAAGTTGATGAAGTAGTGTGACTGGTCGATGAAGAACAGCTCCAGCGCTGACCTCCGCAGGTTGTAGCGCCTCAGATGGACCTCTCTTAACTGGGAAAGTGGCCTCTTGAAATCAAACCCAATGCCTTCAAAGATGAGAAGTCCAGAGAAAACACATTATAATCAGAAATCATATATTATCCTGTACACATATGATAGTACAAAATGTATGGAATAATCATCAAGATTTAATAAGTATTTTAAAAAGGCTTTATGTGGGGAAAAATAAAAGAGTAATACTCTGAAACATTTAGTTTGTATTTTAATAAACAGCTCAAAAAATGGTTTCGAGCTGAAACATGTGATGGAAATTTTAATAAACATCTTGATGGACAACAAATGTTTACATGTACAGTATTTATATCTGCTCCAATATTTGCACAACATCCGTAGTGTACTGGCCGGTATTACGGTTTCTTGTCTTGTCCTGTCTTGTCTGTCCTGTCTTATTTGCACAAACTGCACTTTGCCCTTTTATTCTTATTTATTTTAGTTTAATTTATTTAATTCTCTAGATTTTTATGGTAATGCACAGTCCTGTGTTATGCTTTCATTGTATGTTGTTTGATGTAGCACCTTGGTCCTGGAGGAACAGTGTTTTGTTTCACTGTGTACTGCACTGTATATTGTTAAAATGAGAAGCAGTTTGGTACTGGCCAAGGCCAAAAGACAGACACACTGTAGCACTCCTAGTCAGGAGTTAAAAAAAACACAAGATCTTTTCTTTCCCACCAAAAATGTATCTTTCCTGGAGTTTGGAACAAATGTGTGTGTACCTGTACTGATGGGTATTAAACTGTCTGTTGAAAAGCAAAGACAAAGTCTCTTACACATTCACTCAGTGTGTGTGATAGGTGTCGTCCAGTTTTTAATAAAACTACTTTTTTGCTTTGCTCTAACCCTTGTCTGACTGAAGTCGTTTAAGCAGATTTCCACAACACACATTATTGAGATTTTTTTGGAACAGCTTAATTGTTTTATGTTCAATCCACTTAGATTTGTTAAGTTCACTTAAATGATTTGTGTTGGGAGAACATAACTGGATTGTGTGGAATCTTGCATTTTTTTACAGTGTATACTTGAAAATCTGTTTCATATAATTAATATTACTTGAATTACATACAGGGTTTTTGTAAAAACGTGATACACCAACAAAAATATGTTTTAGTTAAAGTATTAATCATGCTTTTAGTTTTTGAAACTTCACAAAAATAATCTTGAAAAGAACAATTAGCTACATTGAGAGCTGATTGAAATAAGTCGACAAAAATGCATACACTTCGAAAAAAACAAACAAACAAACAAGGTTATTTAGGAAGGACATTAAATCGTTAAGTTAAATGGAATACATTTGATATTAGATTCTTATTGATTTGAATAAATGCCGTTCCTCTGAAATCTCTGTTAATAAGTGATTCCTGAAAAACAGTCTTTTTCACTGAAATATTAAGCAGCTAAAACATTTTCAACATTGACGAGTAATATTAATTGAGCAGAAAATCAGAATGTTAAAATAAGTTATAACTGATTGCAGAAGGATCATGCAACATTAAATCCAGGAATATCAATGGTGAAAATATTGCTTTTAGCATGGGAGGAGTAAGTTACATTTTAACACTAGAACTACCAGAGTTATAGAACAATACTACAATTACCATATAATTAAAATAAAATCTTATTGGTAATACAGCCTTTAAATGTATAGTTAGGCTACTGGACCTCTCATGAATGTCTGCACCTCACTTTTATTTTCACTTTCACAAGCAGGGGAGAAGGCTTTTTTATGACACTGCACTGCAAATTTTAGATAGTAGATTTAACTTCCTTTAGAGTTAAATTTAACACTCTCTCAGAGTTTATATGGGAACCACAATAAAAGTGTTAAAAATAACAAGTTTGAAAGTGTTAACATTATCAACACTGAGAGAGTGTTCATTGGCAAACTCTTATAGTGTAAAATATCTGTTAAATTTACGAAAAAATACCAGCAGCTGTGGTTGCCAGAATTTTCCAGTGAAAAATATTTTATTTTTATATAATATAATATTTATAAAAGTTTTATAGAACTGTATAAATTTATGAAAAATTACCGTATTTCATGAACTGATACAATGTTCAGTTTACAAAATCATAGCTTATTGCACAAAAATGTAAAGTCATTAGATGCATTAATGTGTTCATGTGTGATTGCAATAAACATACAGGGCCCTATCATAAACCCGGCGCAATGTGGCGCAAGGCGTGGCGCAATACTTGTTTGGTAGTTTCAGCTTGGCGCAAGAGTCATTTTGAGGCGTTGCTACGCTGTTTAAATAGTAAATGCATTAGCGCTCATATATGCATCGATAGGCGTTCTGGTCTAAAAAGGAAGGCGTTCTGAGGCAACCGCTGGCGCGTTGGTATTTTGAGAAAATAAAATAGATTTTTCATTAGACCAAAACAAACCAGGTCTAAACTCCAGCGCAGAGTTGCGCCTTGCTTACGCACTGCTTTATACGCACAAGAGAGCAATAGGCAAATATCTTTACATATGAAAAAAAAATTAATATTAAGAATATATATAGGATATAATAAGAATAGATATAGGATATAAATATAAAGGATTAAAATATTACAAAACATTATTTTCTAGCCTACATAAATATGAAAAACCACTGCTTTTATGTCTTCTTCATCTCGGGAGGCTTTTTCAGTTCATTCATAACAATTTGCTTTTGTATAATGTTATTATTATTAGCAGTATTATTTATTATATCCATATTTATATTTATATTATTAAAAACAAGCTTAGATTTGCCCACCTGTCAGGTTTTAGACCATATGGGGCACAGTATGTGTTTTAGGATATAACATAGGTTTTTGAGCACACTTCGTTAATATTGTTCTTTTATTCGTTTGCTGGAAATTAGAACTGAATTTAGAAATAGTTTTGAAACGAATATTTGCGCTTAACAAACGCGACTAATTATTGTCTGTGCGTAAAGGTTTCCCTATCCAAGAGCAAAAGTGAAAGTAGATCCATTATCTCTGATTCTCACACAGAAGATGCTCTGTTTAACAGTTTTCTGTTAAAAAACTGTTAACTGTTTGCTTGTGAAATGCTCAGTTTTTCCACTTAGACTTACTTTACGTCCTGTAAATAGCAAATGCGCTTATGGCACATGTCCAAAGACATGTGCTATAGGTCAATTGGGTAAGCTAAATTGCTCGTAGTGTATGTGTGTGAATGAGTGTGTGTGGATGTTTCCCAGTGATAGTTTGCAGCTGGAAGGGCATCCGCTGGGCATGCTAAATAAGTTGGCGGTTCATTCCGTTGTGGCGACCCCAGCTTAAAAATGATACTAAGCCGAAAATAAAATAAATGAATGAATAAATGAATGAATGAATGAATGAATAAAAACGCTGTTTTGAAAGACATATCTGAAGTAAAGTTATGTTTTTGCCTACAGAAAGTTATGTTTTTTGTAGCCGGAAGTTGCTAGGCAACAGATGTTTTTAAAAAGTAGTAGACACTGATATGTATGCTGTCATTTTGACCGCTATGGAAGTTCTAGGTAGAAATAATCAGAACTCTATTGTTTGTAATTTAAATAAAATAACAATGTCAGAAAGAAATATACATATTTAGTAAAATTCAGGAAATCAGAGATATGAGTGGTAATTTCAACAATGTTATAAAATTGAAAAAATAAGGTCAATTGACAGCCACAGTAGTCCTAGTAAAAAAAAAATATTTAAACAGAAAACAGATATTTTTTACATTTGAATAATATTTCACAATATTACTGTAGTTCTTTATTTTTTACCATGGTGAGCAGAAGAGATTCTTTCACAAAAATCGCTATTATTCTGAACTTTTGACCTGTTTTGTAGACAGCCTTGATTTAGTGAATAATGAATAGAGGCAAATAAATGAGAAGAGCTGAATGTAAAAGGGCTGGGCAGTGTGATGATAGCGCAGTATTCCTCACCCTCCTCCGTCTCCTCTTTCTCACTGCTCCCGTCGTAGAAGTACAGGTGGTGCGTTGTGACCTCCAGACGACCCGGGACTACAGCAACTATAGTGATGAGCTCACAGTCCTCAGAGAGCACCAGCTTCTCCTTCTGGCTCTCCTCCTCAGCCTCCTCCGCCCTGAGGAACCACACACACACATACCCTGCTCAATAACACTCAAGTCTCTGAAGGTCTCAGAAATGAACAGATTCGTTAAATAAAACAGATTTTCATCAGAAACATATAGCAGTGTGCTGCTGAAATAGCGATTAACAAACCATTAACTAAGTACTGTAAAAAATAAACCTTATTTTACAGGTAATTGTCTGTATTTTATTTTTTTTGCATAATTTTCCAGTTTTTTCATTATACAGTGAAATACCTGTTGTTTTACAGATATGTTCTGTAATAACAAATTCTAACATTAAATGTACAGTTATTTCTTGTATTTTGATAATACGTTATTTTTATTCTTTTTAAAGGAAATTTTATAGATTTTTAGAAAGTAACACATAATTTTCCGTTAATATTTACAGATTATTCCTGTAAAAATAGGGAAACAAAAATTAAGTCAAATTGTTTTTAGTAAAGACAGTAAACACATGAAGATTAACTTGAGGTTAATAAAGTGAGACAACAGTCTATTGTTTGTAGGCTGCATATAATGAATGCAGTGTAAACTATGAAATGTTTATTTTACTACTTTAAAAATGTTGCTATGTGAACTGTGACGATCACCAGTGATCTAACGGCTGCAGATCACTGGAAAACTACACAAGTTACTTTAACAAACTACAACTCCCAGCATGCACCACGCACACCCTGGTTCCTAATTCTAACTGACTACACACAACATCAGAAGATCGTTATGGACTAATTTATAAATGCAGCAAACACAGACACATCGTTTCTGAGTCTTAAACTGTTTAGTGAGCATTTTGACGAGGTTTCCCTTTCCTTGCTTTGTTTGACTCCTTTACTTTTGTTATTTTGCTTGCCAACTTTACGATTGGGATTATCTGTATGTATGTATCTTAATAAACTGCTATTTGATCCTCAACTTTGTTGTGCAGGCATCTTCACATGACACTAACCTTGTTTTTGTTGTTAAACCATGACCAAATTTGTTATTTGTTAAAAAAAAGAAATAAAAAAATGAGATAGATAACAGTTTTGGTTTTCTTCAAGAAAATGTTTGGGAGTTTAACCTACATATCCTTAAAATATTTGTTAAACTATATTATAGTTATATTTACAGTGTTTTATGACAACAGTAATTATTTGTAACTAAGCTTTTTTTAATCATTCTTTAAAAGTGTTTTATTTTTTATTTTTTCCAGTTTTAAAGGTATGTTAAAAGTGGAAAATATTATGGAATATTTAACGATTTTATGCATAATTACATAAATTATTCTGTATAATTACATTATTAACCTGCATAATTACAGTAATTATCCTTATAATCAAATTATTCTGTATAATTACCGTAATAACCTGTAAAATTGCAGTAATAATTCTAATATTCACATTAATGATCTGTATAATTACATTAACAAATTATATATTTACAGTAACAATTTGTAAAATGACAGTAATAATCTGTGTATTTGCAATAATAATGAGTAAAATGGCAGTAATAACCTGTACAATTACAGTTAAAATCTGTAAAATGACAATAATAACTTGTAATTATGGAACAAAAAATTACTGTTTTTTTTACAGATTATCTACATTTCTTATTCCGACAGTTTTTTTCCGGTAATCTTTTGTTGCCCAAAAAGATTGCAATGATTGTGCTCACTCGTAAGTGAAGGATTTAGACAATGGGATAGTACTAATAAACAGCCTTATAAAACAACAACAACAACAACAACAAGAACAACAACAATCAGTTATAGTAGGAGACTCACTCTTCAAGGAAAACAATATCCTCGTCTTCTAGTTTGTCATCATCCATGTCACTAACTTTGGCTTCCCTGGCAACAGCAAGCGGAAGAGGTTCGGTTGAGCTGCGAGGACTGTCTGCTCCTACACACACAACACCAACATGTGAGCATTAACAGACACTACACAAAGAGTTAACGTGGACAGAGATAATGCTGAAATATCTGGTGTAAATATATCTGATTTTATAGCGGAGATCAAAATTAGAGAAAAAAGGATTAATACTTCAAAAGTTGAAGGAATTTTAGTTCATTGCCTTGAAAGATTTCACTAGTGACATCACTAGTCTCTCAAACTGCTCTGCCATGATCTTCCCACTTTTCTTCAGTCTTTGCCACAGTTCTCTGTCTCTGTCACAATGGCTATAGTGGCAATAACTTTGTTGCCAAAGAGTTTACGGAAATTTACAATCAGGTTTATATCAGGGCTCTGGGCTGCCATTTAGTTATTTCAGTGTTTTTAGCCTCTAGGTCGATCTATACTGATTTTGTTTGTAAAATGCATGAAAACTGGTGGCTGATTGAGTGATGAGCAAAGGGGAGGAACCATAATTTGCTAAAACAGCTTCTTATAAAAATAAAATGCATTCACTCTTGCATTTGCATTTACTATCACCTTCCAGTGCTTGTAATCTGCTTTCAGTTACATAGAGTTTGTCATGTAGGAAAATTACTACCAAGTGCCAGATTAAAAAAAAAAAATAAAGAAACTGAAAGTGTGTGAGCAACTTTTAATCTGTCTTTTCAAATATCATCATACTGTAAGTGTTTTATACCGTGCAGCAGTGTACATGTAACTAATAACACCTGCTTGAAAAATGATTTTCTTACTTCTGGTGGGATAAATTCAATTTAACCTAAGCAGTGACTTGAAATTTTGGCAACTTCCAAACTGGATGTTTCTCTCATTTTTATCTCCATTGTATGTCTATTACTCACTACTGATTTTTTAATCAGTATACTTATTTCCTGAATATGAATTCTGCACAGTGATATTAACCCATGTTATCTCTCAGGGCACTGGCATCAGAGTGAGAGTCAAAGCTGTAGTTTGGCACCAGCTTCAGACGCATCTTAGAGTATGTCTCTGCACTCGAGAGTTTCCATTTCACCTCTGGCTGAACTCTGAAACACAAACACATCCACTCAGTTCATCATTACACACACCGTAATATAACTTATCTCTATACAGCAACAGCGTATAGCAGCTCACTTCAGCTCAGTATACAGTCGGACACTGCTTTTATTTGACATTTATTTCATTTTACACACAAACACATTACACAGACACACACACACACACACACACACACACATATATATATATATATATATATATATATATATATATATATATATATATATATATATATATATATATATATATATATATATATATATATATAGTATAAGTGGCGATGCATATTACTTGAAATATATATTCTGAAATTAATCCAAAATAAATGCTTTATGGCACTACATTCACAAAAAAATAGAATTTTGTTGTATATATATATATATATATATATACATATATATATATATACATATAAAAATCTATTTTTGTATATATTGTACAAACTATGTACTTTCTTTCATTCATTCATTTTTTAACCGCTTTTCCGAGGCTAGGTTGCAAGCGCAGCAGTCTTAGGAGAGAACTCCAGACTTCCCTCTCTCCAGACTTTTCCTCCAGCTTCTCCGGGGGGATCCTGAGGCATTCCCAGGCCAGCCGAGAGACATAGTCCCTCCAGCATGTCCTGGGTCTTCGCTGAGGCTTCCTCCCGGTGGAACATACCTGGAACACCTCCCTTGGTAGGAGTCCAGGAGGCATCTAAAACAGATGCCTGGGCCACCTCAGCTGACTTCTCTCCATGTGGAGGAACAGCCATTCTACTCCAAGCTCCTCCTGGGTGACAGAGCTTCTCACCTTATCTGTAAGTGTGCACCCTGCCACCCTGCGAAAGAAAACTCTTTTTGGCCGCTTGTATCTGAGATCTTGTCGTTTAGGTCATGACCCAAAGCTCATAACCATAGGTGAGAGTAGGAACGTAGATTGACCGGTAAATCAAAATCAGTGAACAAAACCCCAAAATACTTGAACTCCTCCACCTGGGGTAAGAACTTTTCTCCAACCTGGAGATGGCAAACCACCTTTTTCTGGTGGAGCACCATAGCCTCAGATTGAAGGAGCTGCTTTTCATCCCAGCCTGTCACACTCGGCAGCAAACTGTCCATAACCCCTTTTGAGTTTCTTAACATCGAGGACCGTGACGTTGCCTGGTATGGCGCAGCAGGGGGCCCATTCTGATGCCAGGCTTGGGGATGGGGCTCGTTTGCGAGCGCCTTGTGGCCAGGTTATTTCCCACAGAACCCGGCTGGGCTTAACCCGAAGGAGCGACATGAGACCATCCACCTGCAGGGGGAACCATAAGGGACCGATGCATTGTGAAACGGGTAATGGTCGAAGGTTAGGACCACGACAACCCAATCGTCAGGCACAGAAACTGGCACTTGGGACATAGAACTATATACAAAAATTGTATGCAATTATTTATTAAAAAAGTGATAAAAAACATCAATGCAAAATAAAGGAGAAATAAATATTAAATAATTATTAAATATTTGATCATTTCAATATATGTATTATAATATTTTGTAATATTTCAATAATAAAAAACTAAATAAATAAACGAATGAGAAATCAAAAAACACTAATTCATTGCAATTAAATTCATATACAATTGATTTATTCTGCATATGTTATTGAAAATAAATTAATAAATAAATAAAGATGATTGAAAATACCAATAAAGTAATAAAAGTTACTTTTATTATATATACATTATATATATATATATATATATATATAGTATTATTTATTATCTACTATTTATATAGTATATATTATTTATATAGTATTATTTATTATAGCTAATGGTGTTACTTATGAACATTATTTATAAGACTTAATATATGAATAATAATTCATATGTACACATAATGCACACATAATTAATGAACAATATTTCTGAACCTACTGTAATAATAGGTAAAAAAAGGAAGACAGACAGACAGACAGACAGACATACAGACATACAGATAGATAGATAGATAGATAGATAGATAGATAGATAGATAGATAGTTAACCCTAACCCAAAAATAAAAGCTTCATACATTTACTTTACCAGTTAATATTGGCCAATTTTTATGCTTGCTAATAATAATAATGCTGCAAACTAAATGAGCCAAAAAAAGAAAAAAAAAAAAACAGCCCTTGAGTGCATCGTGCTGTGTGTGAGTGAGAGTGTTTGAAGACATCCAAACCTGAGGGGCCAGGCTCCTCTGTCACTGCTCAGTAATCTGCGTAATGACCTCCAGTGCCTCCACACCACAGTCTGCTGGCCGTTGATCATCTTCTGCACACTGTGGTAGCGGCTGTTCTCTGTGCGCACACGCTTCAGGTACGGATCTACGATCACCTCCTGTACACATCACAACACACAACAAAGCCGGTTACAAACTTATACATCACTCATAAACACGTATGGTTTGCCATTTACCTGTGAAAATTTTGCCCACAATTAGAACTATTTGGTATATATTAATAATACTAAAACCTATCATCTGGAATCTGCTCCACAATCAGTAAGTGCAACAACAAACTGGTAACTTCATTATAAATATACTTCATTTGATAAAATTACCCAGGACGCTCAAAGACAAACCATGATAACAATATTTAATTATGTTTTCCATATCTACAGCATTGGCTATATTCATGGCAAAACCCATGCCAAAAAAACAATGTATAACTTGCAATCATATCAGTTTCTTAATTAACATTCATTGTACAAAACATAACAAAAACACTGAAGAGTCATATACAATCCTTTAACTTGATTAATGATAAACATTCTAAAATTCCACCAGAAGACACTTTTTTAAACATTTCCCTTAAAATATTTATCTAAATGTTCTCTAATATAATTTAAAGATCAGTTTTAACGTCGAAATATTCGTACACAAGTCACAAATATGAGTGTCAAAGTCTTGAATGGCCAATTATATGTCTTGTATGTAAAACCTGATCATGTCGATTTTCAAAATGTTATATGATAACAATAAATGATAGGTAGGGCTAGACAAAATCTTTGGACATTTTTAGCTATTTCTATGGAGAATTTTTTTTAAAAATATGCGAATTTATGCGGAATGATTTTGGTAGTATCGTAACTAAAATAAAAATATTACCTTTTATTTAATGTTTACAACGCAAATCCAATTAGATCCACTTATTTGGTAAACAAAGCAAGTCTCTCATATAATATTTCAACTAAAAGACAGAAAGTTACTTTACAAACTGTATTGTAAATAAATCATGAACATTTTAATATTACTTTTATTATTTCACAAAAATATTAGTGAAATTAATTAAAAACTGGATAAATATAAATTTACACACACTTACACAAGTAAATACATAGATTCAATGATGGGCTAAAATCTGCGGATTTCTGCGCGTGCAAATTTCATGTGGGCCTAATGATGGGCTGTTAAATTATATAATAATATAATATAACCAATATTTAACTTCTTAAAATTCAGATGTATTATAATAATATTAAGAAATGAAAATTCAAAAAATTTTAAGAGCATATAAAAATTCAGATTTACTTACAATTGTCAATCATTCAATTTCAGATTGTTTTGGCAACTTATTAGCTCCATAGTTCATGCAGATCGCCCTCCAATGAATCAAGTTTTGATAGCTTTTACTTGACCATGCTTTTTCACAGTTTAAATAAAAAAAGTTTATTTTTTCAAACTCACTGCACTGTATAGTATAGAAAATGTGGAATAGAAAACATATGCATATCACAACGTGTGCACTTTGTTTCTTAGTGGAGTGCACAAGTAGCACATCTTCATTTGAAATAAGGAACTTGAGCATGCAAAAAAATGTGATATGTAAACGGCCCCTTATTATTTTGAGGCTGGCTCCTCATAGGGTGCAGAATGTCCTATGAAGAGCTGGATGTTGACATTTAAAAACAGCAGTTAGATCAAGAAAAATAAAAAGAGGTCACTATGCATTTCTTGTACTTATTCATCAGTCATTCTCAGGATCTACTGATAGCCAGATAAAGATCTACCAGTCAATTGATGGGTTGGTGTTTGATAAGTAATGAGAGACTGCAGTAAGAACAGGAACAACCCTTGTTTTACAATAAATAAGTTTTAGAGACACCTGAAATTTGGCCTTTGAATCAGAGCGTTCCTTGTCTCTCCTCTGACCGGTGCTCATCAGGTCATCAAAGCAGGAGTTCCAGAAGTTGGACATCAAGTCGTGGCTCTTCCCAAAAGTGTCCAGCTCATACTGCTGCATTGTGGGCTCCACCTGCAGGCATACATTAGGAAAAACATTTAAAATTATTATTATTTTTTTACATTTCTACAATACATTATATTCTTACAATAAAATTTTATTGAACGGGCAAAAATATAATATAATATAATATAATATAATATAATATAATATAATATAATATAATATAATATAATATAATATAATATAATATAATATAATATAATATAATATAACATAGGGCGATGGCGCAGTAGGTAGTGCTGTCGCCTCACAGCAAGAAGGTCACTGGTTCGAGCCTCGGCTGCGTCAGTTGGCGTTTCTGTGTGAAGATTCACCCAAAGTCCAAAGACTTCGTACAGGTGGTACAAGTAAATTGGGTGAGCTAAATTGTCCATAGTGTATGAATGTGAATGTATGGATTTTTTTTCAGAAATCGGTTGAAGCTGAAAGGGAATTCGCTGTGTAAAACATATGACGGATAAGTTGGCGGTTCATTCTGCTGTGGCGCCCCAGATTAATAAAGGGACTAAGCCAACACGAAAATGAGTGAATTAATTAATATAATATAATATAATATAATATAATATAATATAATATAATATAATATAATATAATATAATATAATATAATATAATATAATATAATATAATATAATATAATATCGAATCACAATGAAATTTATGTCATCAACAACTATATTAGCGCTGGACTTTTTTTATTGATCTAAGAGTCAATCACACAGAAATGTGCAACAATGGGAATCTAAAATGTATTGATATTAGAGATGTACCAATTTTGAATCATGTTAATATGATATATGTTAATATGTAATTTAATGGACCTTCTAATTTTTATGGCTTCAGTCATTGTTGATGTACTCTTTTAAATCTGGAAGCATTAACAAAATGTATATCGATATGTATATCAAAATAGTTATTGTCTTCGTTCGATATGGAAAATAATTATAGAGAGTGCCTTTCTGCCATTGCACCCAGCCCTAATATTATATAATAGTGTTTATAAATATGTAATATAATATATAAATAATAAATGTAATTTTAAATAAATGTATAACAACAAATGATTAATCAAATCAAATCAAATCAAACTAAACTAAACTAAACTAAACTAAACTAAACTAAACTAAAATGCAACATTACTTTAAGATAAAAAAACCCATAAGATAATCAATAAATTATATAATAAAAGGTATTTCATTTATTGTATTTTATTGAAGACACCTAGATATATGTTTGGACTGGTTTAAGTTGCGTTTTAAAGCCTGCTAATATAGTGTGTGATCTGTATATATGAACAGTCCAAACAGGGCAGATTTACAAGCACTTGCTGTCACACTCCAGCCTTTGCACATCATCTCCAGTTCACTCTGGTTCATTTCAACGCATAGTTAGTTTGTGTTTGGATTAGTGAGATCAGGGGAATAAATCTGGATTTTTCAGTCTTGTTTTTGCATTGTATGAACAAAAGGGTATAAATAAAGAGTTCATCACCACAATGGAAGCAGATTAACTGTCAAAGTGCTAAAAAAAAAAAAACATCTGTCCACTGTGAAGATTATTCAGTGTTTAAAAAAGATGAGTCTACAGGTCTGAATCAGTTGTATGCATAGAAAAAATATATACTATATATTATATTTCAAATAAATATTAGTAATATTATTAATTTTGTGCCAATAATTATTATTTATACATTACTAACAAAGTATTAACATAATTCATTTTTAATGTGTAGTTAATTTCTAGTCTTTTATATATATTTCTGAGTTTTGGTGTTATTTTTTAACACTAAAACCCAACAGTCAACTTTATCAAATGAAATGAGTGTAGCTAACTAAAAGTTTACTGAAAGTTAATTCTACTCATTTGAAAAGAGTTTTGAACTCAGTGTTGAAGGTAACAAGTTAATTAAATACCTCATTAATTTAGCTTAAATAGAGTAAGTTCACAGTACAGTTCATATAGATTAGTTTTTTTACTCAAATGGTCAATTGAAATCGGTTTCCTCAAACAGTTTGAGTTGCCTTGTTTTATTGGGTTCTACAGTACTTAGTTGGCTTGAGTTCTCTTTATTTATTGGGTTTTATCATGCTCAAATTGCTTCATTTACTCAAATGGATTAAGTTCATAGTACTTATATAGATTAGTTTTTGAGCTTAAATGGTTTGTTGTAATCGGTTTCCTCAGATGGTTTAAGTTACCTTAACTTTTTTGGTTTTACAGTGAATGTACAGTTTTAATTCAGTGTTTTTATGGAATTTTTTACACACACACACACACACACACACACACACACACACACACACACACACACACACACACACACACACACACACACACACACACACACGCACATGTGCACATGCACACACGCACGCACGCACACATATATACATATTTAACTATATATAAGCGATGGACAATAGTACGAGGAAACTTAAAAATACGCTATTTCTAAACAACCCCAAAATGTTTTTACCATATATCCTATGCTACAGTTGTCAATAAAGAAATGGGTCATTTCAAAAAACAAATGAGCATAATATCCTCTAGGACTGAGATTTGTGTGAATGATGAACCAATCTTGTGTTTGACTGAGACTGCAGGCAAAGAGACTTATTTTAGTCACTCTACATCCAAAAAAGGTCAAACACAACTGGCTTGTGGTAGCATATACAGACACGGCTATGGCCGAGAAGCTGCCAGCTTATCGTAAAGTAAACAGTCACACTGAGTGTCTGTTAACAATCTTAGAGTATGGCAGTAGCCTACGATTGGAAAACTAGTGAGGTCTGTGGGCTGTTCAGAATTGTGCAATAATAATGTTTTTTTATATAATATGCTTTCTAATAATGATAAATGGAAATCCTATAGACGGTTTAATTTCATGCAACATTTTGTCAATACATTTTGCTGTAATAATTTTCAATAATAAGAATAGGTTTATGAGCAATAAATAATCAGTCAATGGTTACAGATTTTCAACTTTCATCAAAATATCTTCTTTTCGTTTTACACAAGATAAAAAACTCATAAAGGTTTTAAACAATCAAAGGGTGATGACATGATGACGAAATATTTTGGGTGAACTATCCCCACATCTTTTATCCTGGCCAGTGATTTCTTTTGTTCTATATATTTGTCATTATAAGGTTTGTAATGCTACTTTTTAATAGGGTTTGACAGCAAATTCACAGTTCATAATGTGTTTACACACAAAAATGACTCAGTTTACTTACCCTCAAGCCATCCTCTGTGTATATTACTTTTTTTCTTTCAGAAACATTTTGAGTAGTTTTTCATTTTATCCTGGCTCTTCCATGCTGTATAATGGTGTTAAATAGTGGCCCTATTCTTGAAGCATCCGAAAGCACACAATTCTGTCATAAAAACCTGTGAGCTGCCATTGGTAAAGGCATGTCTTTTGAAACAGATCGATATGTTTTTTGTAGCACAAATATTTCAGATTTTCTTATTATAAATTTAAATCGCTGACTTCCGGTGGCTGCCTTCTTTGCTGATCTTTGACTTAAATTGTGGCACATTACATACAACGCTAACACAAACAAACACAATCGCATGTGTTTAACACTTTGTGCTGTTCTAAGATGCCCACCAAACCAGTAAATATGCTGCTGCATGGCGATCCAATATAGCTAAGTTACTGTACAAAATAAACCTGATTTAACATCCACAAACTGGGACTCCTGTTGTATGATTGAAGCATCCTCGTTTATAGTTGTGTACACTATGCAGCTGTGGCGATTGAAGCAGTTATGAATTACATAGCTCAAAAAGTAGTAAAATGATATAAAAAATACAAAGTGCACCACTTACTGCTTCTTAAATTGCAGTTGGATCACAGAGAGTTGGAACAGATCTTTTAATCCCAGTTTATTTGCAAATCCTGTCTTGTGGACATGTTTATATACATTGATTCGGTGACATGTTAATACATGCCTGTCCATTAATATCGGTGGGTGGGAAAACCGCACTACCAGATCATTGTGGTGGACTTCAAGTTCACTGGGATTTGGATGCTATTTTAAGTCCAGATAATTTGTTTTTGTTGTGTTTATCACTCTAATATTACTATGGACACACTATACTACATTTCTGTTCAAACAGCTTACAAAAGTGATTCCACATCATAATTTTGCATGATAGATGCCCTTTTAAGACCCAACAGACACCCTGATATCCCTAGTGTGTCTGTGTGTGTATTTGTATACTGACGTGGTTTTGGTAAAACTGCTGCCATTCAGCTGTGCTGCAGTATATCTGCAGGTCCTGGGCAAAGGATGGGCTGCCGTTGGTTGCGGGGAGGTTTGGCAGCTTCTCCTGCAGGGTGGTGTGGTCTGCATGCTGGTCCAGCAGTGCTCGGACGATGGGAACAAGTGGACTCGGTAAACCCTCAGCACTCGTGTCTGAAGCAGAGTTTGCGGGACAAAGTGGTGCACCAAGACGACCCAGAAGAAAACACACTTCCTCCCAGGACAGACACAAGACTGTCTGCAGCAAACTGTGAAGCTTTAGACATGCCATCTCACACACCTGAGAGAAAAAAAAAAAAAGCAGTTGTTGAAATTTATTCTCATGGTTTTGAAATTATTTGTCTTTAAATGTTTTGTTCGTGCTGAACGTTTATTATTTAATGATTTGTAAAAGCTTTTTAAGTATTCAGAATGGCATAATCACACTGTACAAATTTTCCTTAGTATTTACTATGCTATACATTATTTGATTGCCTAACTACATACTACACAATATTTAATGTGCTAATGTGATGCTGTTTTAATAACAATATAGAATAGTATATTTTTTATATACTATATTTAAAGTATTTACTATAAAATTTAATGTGGAGCAGGATATAGTACTGTATACTATATCATACAACAACAAAAGATTTAAACAGATACAGTACATACTACTATATATTATACCTATAGGACACTACCTAACAAAAGTCCAAGTTCCAGGAACAACAATAATACCTTGACTTCTAGTTGATCATTTGGTATCATGAATGGCTTATATGAAAGGCAAAGACTCCTAGTACTTATTTACCAAAATATAATATGATCATGCATTGATTTTTAATTATTTAATTAGGACAGTAAGGTCTGATTTTGCTTAGACAAAAGTCTTGTCACTTAACAGAAATAATGTACAATAGAATACAAAGTCATGCTGCAGTGGAAAAGGCACCTTGTCCTTCTTTTCTTTTTAGGAACTTTGATGTGGAGGCTGAAGTATGAGAAGGAGCACTGTCCTGCTGAAGAATTTCCCCTCTCCCGTGGTTTGTAATGTAATGGGCTGCACAATTGGCTTGATACCCAAAGCCATGATTTTCTTTCTCCAAACTTGACTGATTTCTGTGAGAGACTTGGGTCCATGTGGGTTCCAATAGGTCTTTTGCAGTATTTGTGATGATTGGGATGCAGTTCAACAGATGGTTCATTCGAAAAATTTACTTTCTGCCACTATTCTAAATGATCAACTAGATGTCAAGTTGTTATTTGTTGCTCAATGACATGACTTTCGTCAGGTAGTGTCCAGTATAAACAGTCAAGCTCAAAATTATTCATACATGGGGTAGGAATAATTTTGAGCTTGACTCTATATAGCACTTTAAACATATACAGTATATAGTATATTGAGTGTAACTAAATATTTTTGCATATATTTTACATACTTTTGTAAATATTTTTAATCTATATATTTATATTCTATAATATTTTGTGTGAAACAGATTATTAAACTCATTTCGATTTTTATTCAGTGTTCCAACATTTCTGTAGTGTTATGATAAATAACTGATACATTCCTTTTAGCTTTTATTTCTAAACATATTTTAGCTTTATTTAAATTTCACAACTTGTTTTAGACATATATAAGTTGAGCTGTTTCATTTAATACAGGTTTTAAAGTTTAATCATTGTGTAATCATTATACTTTATCAATATATTAGTGTGTGCATTATAATTTTAAAATTACATTTAAAATGTTCAGTTTTCTCTTTCAATTTCATTTTTACTGTTATATACCTGTGTCATTTGTTTGCAAAACAAGTAGTAGGTGCAGTAGTAGCCTTCCTCAAACTTATGTTATTTCACTTGGCTCCAATGGCAAGCTTTCTAGTAATAAAGACTGTATAAACTATGTATTGAAATATTTATCATTATATATTGCACTCTGCGTTATGTATATACAGTTGAAGTCAGAATTATTAGCCCCCCTGAATTATTAGCCCCACTGCTTATTTTTCCCCAATTTCTGTTTAACAGAGATCAGATTTTTTTCAACACATTTTTTAAACACAATAGTTTTAATAACTAATTTCTTATAACCAATTTATTTTTTCTTTGCCATGATGACAGTAAATAATATTTGACTAGATATCTTCTATACAGCTTAAAGGGACATTTAAAGGCTCAACTAGGTTAATTAGGTTAACTAGGCAGGTTAGGGTAATTAGGCAAATTATTGTATAACGATTGGTTGTTCTGTAGACTATCAAAAATTTTATTTAATTTAAATTTAATTTAAATCTTAAAATGGCTTTCAGAGAATTAAAAACTGCTTTTATTCAAGCCAAAAAAAAAAAAAAAAACTTATATGACTTTCTCCAGAAGAAAAAATATTGTCAGACATACTGTGAAAATTTCCTTGCTTAAACATCATATAGGAAAAAAAAAAAAAAAAAAAAATTAAAGGGGGTCTAATAATTCTGAATTCAACTGTATATAAAAAATACTAGTCAGTATAAAGTATATACTGAATGATATGGCAAACATACTCTAATCCAGGGGTTTCCAAACCTTTCAGCTCGCCACCCCCAATATAAAAATGACAGTGAATCAAGACCCAGAATATCCTCTGAGGTGGTTATAAATATATAGACCTTGCACACAATGGCACACACAACTGACCCAAGTCTGTTCATCATTTAAACGCGAGTGCCATAAAGGTGTGAGAAATTATAATGACATAAAATGAATCCGCTTTTCTTCTGTAGGATAAAATATGGTAATTCTAATAGTTTAATAAAATCCATTTGATTTTTGAAAATAACCAAGCGACCCTCCCACATTGTTTTGCATCCCCCCAGGGGAGCCCGACCTCCATTTTGGATACCACTGCTTTAATCCACAATTAGTTCATTAGTATTTAATCTAGTGCACTATATACAATAGAGAATAGCACACAGGGTATTGTATCCCACATTGCTTTTCATCTGACTTTCCATCATAAATAAACTGCAAATAATACCAGCCATGATCTCTTTTGCTCATTATTTGATCACATTCCAAAAATGAATTCACATTAAATGATTTTAAAACTCATGCAACAATATAGCCAACAGCAGATACCAGTTGCATGAAGCACAACATATTTCTGTAGCATATATAGCACAAGATGTAGTGAGCAGTTAGCTATTATTCCTTGCTCAACAAAAACAATATGTGAAATCATGTTATACCCGCATGAATCTTTGACTGACGTTGCACACTGAGTCATGTTCACTTGCTAGTCTGGTTTATCCACTCATGGTAGCCTCTTGTCTTTGTGTAGGGTTATTTCTGAAATGCAGCTTTCACTGTGAGTGCCACTTGGCAGTCTGAGATTAATATAGAGTTCCTGAGAGCACAGCAAATATTCATGTGAGCTCATATCCTGAGGAACTTCATTTAGATTTGAAATGATGAATTTATGAATCCTGCTATTAAAAAAAAGCTAGTTTTAACCCACTGTACAATAATTAAGAGTTCTGCTAGCACTAAAATGAATGAACATGTTTCCAGCTAAGCTAACACTATGCTATCTTAAATTAACATGTTGTAAGCAAGTTGTAGTATGTTTACCGTTATAAACATAAGCTAATTAGCATATATTAGCCATGTAGTAAAATATGGTCCTTAGGATGTTTTAAGCATGATGTTGCTAGAATTTTGTAACCCACAGCTGACACATATTAACTGCTGCTAACATATTTAAACGATGTTTTAAGAATTAGCCTTTTGCTATTATATTTAGCATTTAGCTCTATTTGGTTAATTTTCACTATAAAGTGCCTTTGATGTTACACAAGCTAAATCAGTGCTATGTGAACATAATGTGAAATGATTAAACTGTGATGTTTCAATATAATTGGTTAAACCTTTACACACAGGTAGCTAAAATTATAAGTGTTTTGAAATATGTTTAAGTCAATTTTATTGTATAGATGTGAATTTGCCATGTCCCACACACTGCTCAGCCAACTTTAGGGAGTCTAAAAAGTAGGTAAATTAGATTAAAAAATATTATTATTGTCTTAAACAAGTTATTTGATAAAATAAGTATTTTAGATCTTTTTTTTCATGATATTATTAATCATTTTTCAAGTGTCCTTGAAATTACTGTCCACCCTGTCATGATGTGGTGAATATCCCTTTAAGAAACCCTCTGATGTACTGATTGGCATCCCCATGCCAATTTTGCCTTTCTTCAGAAAAGGTTAAAACATCTGCTTTGCACATATTAAGTACCTACACTTATGTTTCCTATTTTTATTAATATTGTGCTTAAAACTGAATGTTGTCAATCTTAACATGTCCACTTAGACATATTTATTTATTTATTTATTGTTAATTAGTTCATGTTTTTATGTGTTTATGTTTTACAACACTTATACACATACTGTATATACAACAGTAGATGTGATACATGAGTGGGCAATACAAACCTTTTGGCAATATATGCCTCAGTCTATATATAAGGCATATCCTTTTAAAGTCTATATAATGGAGTTCATTGACAGTTTGAAATAAAAAATACATGCCAATGTCCACCCTGTGATCTTGTCTTCCACTGTCATGTTTAACTTTTGCTATAAAATAAACAAATAAATAATAACCTCAGCAAAGCATCTTAAGATTTATCAATTAATTAATAAGGGCCAGTTAATATTGTTTGAAAGTTTGACAAAATATTAGATATTTAATCATTTACAAAAAATAGCAACAATTGCATATTTTATTGGGAAATAGATTTTTTGTCCATAATTTCATTAATATAAATAGATTTTCATAATCTAAAAAGTTGGGTTGGTAAAGGGACACGTTACCTTATAAAAATATACATTTTATAATCACACTGCAATGCAATTTCTCTATGAAAGGGTTGACACAATTTGAAGTTTTTTTACTGTTTGTCTGCATGCAGTTTATTTATAAAACAGGCTGGAGCTTGACCAACAATAATTTCTTACAGCCTAAAGTCTAATTAATACAACAACTATGTGGTTAAATCAAAAATTTCTAACTTTTTTTTGCAAGTTCTGACATCTCAAAAGCACTTTATAGTGAATGACCCATTTATACAATGCAATAAAAGATTTCTGCGAATGAGAACATCTATGTCATCTCAAGCCTTAAGGTCAAACAATTACACTATTACTATCTCAATTAAAAACACAAATGCTTCCGGATATTATGTAAAAACTTATATTATCTCTCGCTTTAATCACCATACAGTTGAAACAGAAGTTTACATACACTGTATAAAAAGGCACATAACCATTTAAAAAAGTCAGATGTTAATGTGACTAAACTTTTTCTTTCTTAGGTAGGTTAGGATTATCAAATTTGTTTCTGTTAAGCTTAATAGCAGAATAATGAGAGAGATTTTTTGAGAAATTGTTATAACTTTTCTTGAAAGTCAAGTTTACATAAAATAAGATTATTATCCGTCTGAAAAAGCCAGATTACAATTTGCTAAATTACACTGGGAAAAATAATAATTTTTGCAAACATGTTCTGTGGTCTGATGGAACTAAGATTAAACTGTTTGGCCATAATGACCAGTGTTACATTTGGAGGACAAAGGGGAAAGCTTACAAGCCTAGGGGACACCATCCCAACTGTGCAGTATAGGGGAAGAAGCATCATGTTGTGGGGCTGTTTTGTTGCAGGAGGGACTGGTTCACTTCACAGCATAGATGGCATCATGAAGAAAGTACATCATGCAGAAATACTGAAGCTACATCTCAAGAAATCAGCCAGGAAATTAAAACTTGGCCACAAATGAGTCTTCCAAAAAGACCATGAACCTAAGCATACCGCCAAACTAGTTAACATGGGCTTGAAGGACAACAAAGTGAATGTTTTGAAATGGCCATCACAAAGCCCCGATCTCAATCTTTGTGGGCAGAGTTGAAAAAGCTTGTGCAAGCAAGAGTCAGTTACACCTATTCAGCCAGGAGAAATGGGCCAAAATTCCTTCAAACTATTATTGTGAGAAGGTCATGGAAGGATACCCAAAACATTTGACCAAAGTTATACAGTTAAAAAGCAAAGCTAAAAGAATACTAAGGAAATGTATGTAAACTTTTGACTGTCTAGAAATTTATAAAATATTCTCTAAAAAAAATTATCTTAATTTTCTGGCATTTAGCAAATGTAAATCATTTAGGTTATCCTAACAGACCTAAAATAGTAAACGTTTAGTATGATTCACCATCAGACATTTTTTTTTAAATGGTTATTTTCCTTTTTTAGAGTGTATGTAAACTTCTGGTTTCAACTGTATATAGACCCCAGGACAATTTGTCAATTTTCTAAAAGAGTTTTCTGATTTTATTTCTGACTTACTAGTTAAAACTGATAAATATCCTAGTTATAGGAGACTTTAACATCCACATAGATGACGCTAACAATACATTAGGGCTCACTTTTATAGATTTATTTACCCATCGCTTAAAGCATACATTTGATCTAATTTTGTCTCATGGAATTGAGGTCCTTGATGTAGACATTATACCACAAAGTGATGATATGACAGACCACTACCTTTTACTATACAAGCTGTGTTATACAACCTTTTACAGACATACTGCCCTGGTAGAACTATCGTTTCATGCACTAAAGATGAATTCATAACTTACCTGATCTTTTTCTATTTGTAAAAGCACCTGCTAATGCAAATGACCTTGATGTAGTAACCAGCAGTATGAATGCTATCTTTACTAACACACTAAATACTGTGGCACCCATCAAATAAAAAAAGGCAGGAGAAAATAAATTTACACCATGGTATAACAGTCATACTCACATTCTCAAAACAGTAACCCGTGCACTGGAAAGTAAGTGGGAAAAAAACTAAATTAGAGGTCTTTAGAATTAAAAAGACAGTATGTCGAGCTAAAGGAGAGCTCTAAAATCTGCCAGTGGTGAGCACCTCCGCTAACTGATAGAAAATAATCATAACAATCCTAGATATTATTTAAAAGCATCGCTAAATTAACATATAATCAGTTGTCTTTGATAACGTCTTTGAAACAAAACCACAAAGTAGTAGTGATAACTTCACAAATTTTTTCAGTGATAAATTAGAAGGCTTTAGACAGAAAATAGAAGATGTTAAACATTCTGCACCGCCTTATACTTCAGATCCTTTAAACATTTCAATGAATCAAAATAATTTACAGTGCTTCAAAATCATAGAACAGGAAGAGCTAGATAAAATTATAAATAGCTCTGAACCCACTACGTGTATGTTGGACCCAATACCAACAAAATTACTGAAAGAGCTGCTAACTCTAATAGGAGAACCTCTTCTTAACCTCCTCTCTATCTTTGGGCATGTTCCAAACCCTTTCAAGCTAGCTGTTATTAAGCCTATTATTAAAAAACCACAACTAGACCACACCAACGTATCTAATTACAGGCTTATTTCAAATCTTCTGTTTATGTCTAAAATACTAGAAAATATGTTTTTGCCCAATTATGCTCCTTTCTGCAGGTGAACAATGTTTTTTTAAGTGTTTCAGTCAAGTTTCAGGGCTTACAGAAAAACAAGTACAGAAGTAGCATTAGTGAAAATAACCAACAATTTACTCTTTACTTAGCTGCTGACCAAGGGTGCATCTCATTATTAGTATTACTGGATCTTAGTGCTGCATTTGACACCATCTACAGGTATCCAGGGACAGGCTCTATGGTTTAAGTCATACTCAGCTGACCGTTACCAGTTTGTGAATATTAATGCACAGTTTTCAGAAAAGGCCAGTAAAGTATGGGGTGCCTCAAGGATCACTTTTAGGTCCTTTGCAGCTACACTACACATGCTAACCCTGGGAGACATTATTAGAAGACATGGGATCAGCTTTCATTGCTATGCAGATGATACTCAAAGCATACGCAAGCATACACTCAATGCATCACATAGTGGAATGATGCATTAATATGCTTCACACATCTCGTTTATATACACTATGAACAGCATCTACACTAATTATTCCCTTTATTCTCTATTTCCACCTGGGGATACTCATCCTGAGGCCCCTAGATATAATCTAAACTGAACTGAACCAACACTGAACTGTTTCAATTCACTATAATATTCTATGTAAAGCTGTTTTGACACAATCTACATTGTGAAAGCATTATACAAATAAAGATGATTTGAATTGAATGTGTGAAAAAGACAAAACTTTAATATTTTATATATTTTTTAAAGCTAAATTCAAAACAGGGCTATGGGCTATATTTTGACGATGTAGGCCCAAAGTCCAAAGCGCAGGGCTCAAAAGCATTAAGGGTGTTTTAAAATCCCCTTTTGCTATTTTAAGGATGAAAAAAATCCGCTTTGCCCCATGGCGCATGGTCTAAAAGGTTTGAGCTTATTTTCTTAATGAGTTATAGGTGTTTTGAGAATAAACCAATCAGAGTATCATTTCCCAATAATAACGAAGTTTGCTCAAACAACTGAGTTATATTCAAATACACATGATGTGCCCCATATGGTAAAAAACCTGACAGGTGGGCAAATCTAAGCTTGTTTTTAATAAAAACAAATATAAATATGCATATAATAAATGCTACTACAACTAATAATGACATTATACAAAAGCAAATTGTCATGAACAATGGTTTTTATTTCAGTAGAAAATAATAATTTTTGTAATATTTTAATCCTTTAATTCTTTTTCATTTGTAAAGATATTTGCGTATAGCTGTACATCCTCTGTGTATTAAGCAATGTGAGGTATACAAGTGACACGCTCTGCGCTGAACTTTAGACCTCCTCTTAGCTGGTCTATTGTACAGTCTATTTTAGTTCCGCAAAACAGCAAAATCAATGCGCCTTAACACACCTCCTTTTATAGACCGGAACACCTTTGGCGCACAAATAACCGCAAATGCATTTGCTATTTAAACAGCATGATGCAAAACTTCAAAATGACCCTTGAGTCCAGCTGAAACTAGCAAACAACAATTGTGTCACTCCTTGCACCGAGTGTATAATAGGGCCCTATGTCTTTCATTAAATAAAATTCTAATCATGAATATAACTGCAAGATGAAATTTAACCAAACTGTCATTCGTTATCATAATTACATTTATTATAATTATAAATATGCAGGTTGTACTGCAATTGTTTTATCATTTACTATAACTTTCATCATGGTAATTATTTATTTATAGTCTATTTGTTTACTCAGCTCGTTTTTTTCACAGAAAATAAGATAAGATGGACAGAAGGAAAATACTATATTAATAAAAAAAAATATTTTTTTTTTTTGTTTAATAAATCTGTTTTGTTCAAATGCACCAAAATATATTACCCATATTTACTGAGAAATGTTTAAAAATATTCATTTCCAAAATGGGGTGTACTTTATTATGTTGAGCACTGTATGTTTCTCAGTCAGTTTATATGATCTAATTAGGGCTTTAGATGGGTTTGTTTGAGTCTAGAGGAGTCTGGTTTAAGAACACACACACATGTACACATTAATTTATGAACAACTACACTCCAGTGAAATGAAGTGAAATAAAATAAGCATTTCAAAAGCCGAGAGGCATATCTAATAATCCTGAACATGGCACATGAAAAATATGCATAATTTCAAGTCTGCACCTGTAGCAGGGAGTATAAAGTTGTGCAATTTCAAAACCATGAGTGATTTCTATTTAGTTGTGTTTGACATTTTCAGTTTTCATCCCATATAATCAGCTAATAAAATCACATTTGTAAATGTCAAAAAGCAGGAATGTTATAGGACAGCCCAGGGTTATTTCTTAGGAAGAGTCTGTTTGCGTGTACCTGTGGGTTCTGCTGCTGCTGAATGTATCCAGTAATGATCCGCAGGCCGATCAGAGACATCTCTTTGAGCTCAGCGGAGCCTGCTGACCCGGGGGTTGTGTGCCATGCCTTCAGTCTGTCCAGCAGATTCACCACCCCCTCAAAGATCTGAAACAAACACACACACACACACACACACACACACACACACACACACACACACACACACACACACACACACACACACACACACACACACACGCACACGCACACACACACACACTCCTATACTTCTTCACATATAAACAAACTGTACACAGCCTGCCTAAATAGTGCAAACTGCTTTGAAAGGAAGAAAGAAAGAAAGAAAGATAGATAGATAGAAAGAAAGAAAGTTTATAACACACAGCTCGAACATATTGTATTGTAACAGTAATGGTTAACAATGTTATGTAATTATATAGTTTTTATCATTAAATAACAATTAGCTAGTTTGTTGCTAATACTTTTTAATATAATTAAAGTCCATCTGAAGTCAAAATTTACAATGTTCATTTTGCTAGCGCTTTCACATTGAATTAAATGAAATGAATTAAAGAATGTGTATTTATTGATACTGTTTATGATGTTCCTTTTGTCCCATGATACTACTGATGTTGCATTTTAATGAGTTCTTGTATAGATGTCAGACCTTGCTCCAGACAGACAGACAGACTGACAGATAGGTAGTAGGGATGCACTAAAAACTGAAAATTCCAGGCTGAAACCAAAAATTCTTTTTGCATTTGGCCAAAAAATGCTTTATAATAATTATTTAAAAACAAAAAATTATAGACAGTGAAGGAGCTGAGATGCATAATTTTACCAGCATTTCTATGACGAAAACACAATAGCACTATAAAATGCAGCAAGAACAAGCATGCTACATGTCCTGTTGGCATGTTATTGGAGCAGACTTTTCTTTTAAGGTGAGCTTGTGTGGTTCATGCCTATATGTGTACTTGAGCGAAATATCCACAGAGTGGAATATTGAACTATATTGAACTTTTACCATGATGAGCGAGCAAGCTAGACGACAATGTGCTCTGCTGCTCCTGTTCATTGTTCAGTGTAGCAACAAACTGCACCTATGCAGAACAGGCCATTGAAATGAATGGGTTTCATAGCACATAGCTTTCCATGCCCGGTGTGCGAGCACTACGTGGCACTGCAGAAATTTTTTTTGGCAGAAAAAAACAAAAACTGCTGCAAAGCTAATAGGTAAATAGAAAGACAGACAGATACTTCATAGATATTTGATAGATAGATAGACAGACAGACAGACAGACAGACAGAAAGACATCAATTCCCCACCTTCTCACTCCATAGTGTATGATTGCAAGTGCCCTCTGCAAATAGGAAGTCCTGGAGCAGTCTAAGAAGGCGGAGCAGGGAAGGCACATGGGGCAAAGACACACCCTGAGAGTCCCTCAGATCTGACAAAGATGACTCCAGCATCATCTCCAATAGGCTATGACACACAACAGACACATGATGAATTTAGTACACCCTGACTAGCGTAATATATTTGTTTGCAGCCACAAAACAAAGAGATTACAATGTCTTGAACAACTTCACAGACAGGCACACCCTGAGACTTGAAGAAAAACAAGCTGCATTTCTGGTGATGCAATACTGGAGCCACACAAAAGAAAAGCAACAGCCCAGTAGTGCAAAGAACTTCTGCCCTCCAAGATCCCTGCCCTGCCCTTCTCTGAACCAAAGGAATCCAGAAAACACTTTAATCTACGGTCCCTCCCTTCAGGCTCTGATCTCTACTGGATTTCAGCTGTTCCCATAATGAGGGAGTTTACAACTTAAATTAAGTTTTACAAAGCACAAAATGAAAATATGTCACTGCAACCAGTAGTAGTATTGCTGGGTGTTGAATATGGTGGTTAAGGGCTTAGCCTTTAGGTCCATGTAAAAAATGTTTTGACTTCTTTTTTGCCTGGAGGTATTCCTTTTATTGACACAATCACATTGTAGGTTTTTTATTATTATTTCCAACTGCTATTTACATGTGTTCAAATAAGTCTTCAGAACACTTGTGTTTAGATTTCATAGAGACCTTTCCCTCTAAAATCTGTCATACTCTACATTACTTTTGAGGGCGTTTTCAGTATGACACTGTACTACTGAATGAGCAAACTCATTAAGTGGTAAACTACAAGTAAATCAATACAATCGTTACTTCATATCCTGCTTTTTTTTGGCTAACATGTTTATTTTTGTTTTAGCCTGACTAAATATCTTACTAGCATGTTCTAACAAATAGCTAACATGTTGTAGCATGTTTCTAGCACACTTAACATGTTACTGGCATGTTTTAACACACGTTTAGCATGTTTTAGCATGTTTGTAAAATTTATTAGCAACGCTGCTTGCATGTCTATAGCCCATTTACTGTTTTGCTACCTTGAATTAGCTTGTTTTCAGTATACCTTGCTAACATGACTTAACATGTTGCTACCACTGTTAAAACATTTAACAGGACAGAGCCATGCAAGTTCCTCCTCCATTTTGTTTCTTTTTCCAATTAACTTAATATATTAACTCAATAAGTGATATCGCAAGTGTTATCAGATTTTAATTATTTATGAAGCTATATAAATAGTTCATATCTAAAGTTAATCAAGATAAAAGTGTCTTTAGTTAATTTTAAGATATAAACAAAATAAACATTAAACCACAGTGAACTAAATTTAAATTTTAAAAACATTAAGTCACTATAATCTTTTATGTGTTGCTGCTTTGACACAATCTACACTGTAAAAGCGCTATATACAAAAAAAAAAAAAAAATTATTGAATTGAATAAATAGCTGGTATTTCTCAGTTGTGGTGTGCTGTCATTGTATTGTAATCTGTAAGATCCAAAGCATTAAAGTTTTTTTTTGTTTCTGACCTGCGTTTGATGTCGTCAGGTGGCCGCACCAGCTGGCAGGATGACCCAAGCTTGGTGAGGACAGAAAACACCTGACCTCTTTCTCTCCATATCACATCCTCAGACCCCTCAGTGCCAATCCACAGCACAGAGAAAACGATGTTCGTCAACAAATTACACAACTCCTCTTCTGGAGCCTAATCAGGGAGAGAAAGAAAAGTAAAGTTCTACATTAGGCAACACTGGTTCTTCCACAAGATATAGAATACTAATATTAATACTAATACTACTACTACTACTACTACTAACAATAAAACTAATAATAATATGTATTATATATTAATGTTTATAACAATGTAACATATACTTAGTACACATACTGTACATACATTATAGTATTACAATTGTATGTATAATACAAAACCTAATCGGTCACATTTTATCTTTAAGGTACAATTCCTGCTATTAACAAACCATAAACTATGACTTTTAGCTTAATGAACTCCCAATTTGCTGATTTTTACTGGTAATTAAGGTAGTAGTTGGTATAGGTGTTGGATAGGGATCTAGGAAAAGATCATGCAGAATATGTACTTTATAAGTACTAATAAACAATCAATGGCTGCGTCCGCAACCGCCCACTACTCAGTCGGTACTGCATTTGAATTTGAACTTACTAATCAGTCGTTAGAAAAGTAAGTTCTATACAGTAAGAATTTGAGCACTATGAATGGAATTCAGATGTACTACATCCGCCATTTTGTCATCATCACGTGACCTTTCTGCGTCAGATGTGTTGCTTTACTCCCATTCATGAATTCTTTCGCGGGCATCATGGGATAGCGCAGCGTACATGGGATGCGCACTTCAGAATCTCGCTGGAAGTAGTAAGTCAATGATTTTCGAATTCTATGAATTTGGACATACTACTCAGCTCGCATACTTATTTAGCATACTATACAGTATGGAAGTATGCGGTTTCGGATGCGGCCAATATCTTAAAAATAGACAGGTAATAAGCCACTACTTAAAAGTGATGATTGGTCCCAATACTAGTCACTAGACTTGACCATTTAGTTTTTCCACAATTAGGGTCGAGTTCAGACTGCACGATTTTCAAAGCAGTCGTGTCACAGATGTTTTCACACTGCATGACTATCTGGGATAGCGTTTTGTCGCTTTTAACTGCTCCCCCAACCTCCTCCTCCTAATTTAAGATTAATTATTTACCTGCAGAAAGCAAGAAATATGCTGTTGTGATATAAAAAGTTTTAAATTGACAGAATACTTGTGATAAGTATGATTATCATTTAACCATTATTACATGGCTCTGTTTTTATTAACATTTTAAGAGATCTTGAGGCCTTCTTGGGAGTTTAAGAAGCACTGTCACAGAGCTCTAAAAGTTTTTATAGCCCCACAGGGTATTGGTCTGAGTTCTTAAGGTCTTCAGGGCCTTGAGGAGGTGATTGAAACCAATTTCAGCAAGTACCTGTGGGTTTGATGTATTGGAGATTGTGTCTGTAGGTGGTTCGGTGCTGTAGCTTGTGTCGTCCAGAACATTAGACAGACTGGAGCTCTTGCGGGGTCTCATGCCTAGGAAGGTCTTATTGTGCTCTAGAGGAGAGGGGGTCTCTGGCTGGCTACCCACGGGGGTCTGGGGTCCTTTCTGGTGATTTAATTCCAGCTCAAAGGGTGAGCCGAATGGTGAGAGGGGCTGATACACGGCTTCATCTTCCTCCTGCAGGCGAGATGGTGGAAAGTCCACAGTGTTGGACAAGGTAGACGAATGACTGCTTTGGTCTCCGGAGTCAAATGGCTTAAAGTGGAGGGAATCATTCTTGAGCTGCCCGGTTGACGGAGGAGACTGGGAAAGGTCAGAAAAGCCTTCAGAAGCATCCTGAGTTTCTCCTTCCTCCTCTTCGTACTCTTCTTCGTGGCGGGCAGCGAGGGTGATATAGACGTTCTGCCGAACATCCTCTGTTACGCTGTCATCTCGACGGAAGACGGGTCTGGAAAGGACTGGGTCCAGTGAGGAAGTGGGGCTGGATAAAGAATTGGACTGACTGCGAACACGAGACTCGTATGATTCTTTGACGTAGAGTTTGGTGAGAACATCCTGCCAGCCTGATTGATGAGCCAGCTGCTTCACATACTCTTCGTTGGAGTGGATCAAGCAGAAGAGCTGCAGGGACAAAAAAAAAAAGATAACAAAAATAATTGGTTCATTGTTTTATTAATATTTAATTGCAGGAATGTTTCAACACATACGGTAGGATTAAAAATGGGGTTCACTTTCAATTTTAAGAATTTAAAATGTGCAAGATTTTACAAGTGAATCAATGTTTTTGTCACCAAAATCTCTTCATCAACAGTACACAAATATTTTAGAATGATGAGTCGCGGTCTCTGATCTGGTGCAGGTTTAGGTGTGAGGCCATGGTGAGGTCTGTCTAGTTTGAGCAGCAAGGAAATCAACCAAAAGCTGAGAGTAAAAAAATCATTGGTCGGGTTTGGGTAAGCCCACAATTTGAATGTTTTGGCGCTGGATGCAACTCTCAATATCAAAGACTTCTTTGCTTCCTTTTCTAAATGTCTCGTAACCTTTTCTGTCTATGGAGGATGAGGGAGCTCTCGGATTTCTTTTAAAACATCTTATTTTGTGTTCCGATGATAAATCTCAGGGGACTGGCACAACACAAGAGTAAGTAATTAACAGAATTTAGATTTTTGGGTTGACAAATCCTTTGATAATCCATCACTTACCTTACGAACAATTTCTAGTCGAGCACTGAGATCGGCACGATGGGATAAGTACACCACTGCCAACAAGTCTTTAAAACTAGGAGTGGGATCTGCAACAAGTAAACAACAATACAGAACTGTCACTAACTAATGAGGAACTAAAGAGCAAAGCAATCACTGGCAATAAAGATTGTATTTTTTTTAAATTCCAGTAATTTAATTGTGAAATTCAAACAGCAAAACTTCTACAGTTGTGAAAATAGTTCAATTAAAAAAAAAGTTGTCACATAAAGTCATAAACAGTACGGTATGCAGTGAAATGCTTATGCAATGACTTGTGACTTCAAATAAATAAATAAATAAATAAATAAATCTATATGTATGTATATATGTATGTATACTAGTATAAATAAAGTATAAATAAAATATAATTATAAATACTTTAAAGCATAAAGTGTAATTATAATTGGAGTAACAAAACAGCCAATTTTAGATATAAAGTTAGAATTATTAGCTCCCCTTTGAATTGTTTTTTTTTTTAAGGGCCAATAATTCTGACTGCAACTGTAGAAATAGTTATATTATATATAAAAATAGGACCAAATATAAAATATTTACAACTTTAAATATAAAGAGCATAGCCATAAAATATAATAAAATATGAAAAAAATCTTAGCTATACAAATAAACGTAGAAAACATAAAGTGTTTCTAATAAAGTGCCTGGTACATAGAGAGGAAAGAGTAAATCCTACAGGTGGTTTGTCAAGCCCACTCACCTAGATGGAGGACACTTAGAACTACACAATACAAAATTAAATTGGTTTAAATTGGTCATATGGATTTTCCACACTGACAACAGAAAGAGGGTTTGAAGGTGACTTCTGTGTGATCCCTGTTTATACATCAATACACTACTGAAAGAAATGGTCACTTTATTTTGATGGTCCACTTGTTGAATTTAAGTTAAATTGCATCTGCATGACAACTAATTCTCATTAGATTATAAGTATACTGTTAGGTTGAGAGTTATGGTTAGGGTTACTATAAATTGACATGTACTTGCACAGTTTCTTATAGTCAGTTAAATGTCTGTTTAGCAGCAGAATCAACAGACATTAAGCAGACAGTCTACTAATACTCAAATGGATCATCAAAATAACGTTACAGAAGAAACAACAACCCTTTTGTCAGAGACAATATATCTGAATTTAATTCACCTGTGGCGAGCACCTGCTCATACAAACAGCGCACAGTAGTCATGGTGATGGGGACGTCGCCAAAGGAGCAGACTAGCCCAAGATAGCCAGAGTCCTTGAGTTTTATGAGCTGTTTGTTGCGATCATGTACGCGCTCACTCTTCAGAACTTTATACATGACCTACAGAAGAGCCAGACAAATAAGTTTACTTTATACTTAAAGCACAGATCTTATCGTTTTACTTTCAGTAGCCATTTAAAGTGTGGGTTTGTTCTCACCCTGAATAATCTCTCTCGAGCCTCATCCCCATAGTTGGTTTTGAGGAGCAAATAGTACAGCTGCTCGACCCTTCGATCAAGAAGAACAGTCACCACCTGCTCACGTGGAGGAGGAGAACTCTTTAAGACGGTGTGCAACACATCTAAAACACTGATCACCTGCAGAGACAGAGAGCATTCAGTCAGCAACTAGCAAACTCTATTCATACCCCAATAAAATAAATAAGGTATCCTTAAAAGAAGACATTCTACATAACTAATCCACAAATAATTTCATATATATTTTTTTACATACACATACTGTATAATGTATATGGGTTGTTGACATGACGTTGTATTTATACTGTCACACATGACTAATCATGACAAAACATTTTAAATACAGTAAATGCTTAAAAATGTCTTTATCTTGCCCAGACCTCTTGCTTTAAAAACTGAAGACATGCACCTAATAAGATTTTGTCTCAGATGTTTAAACATATTTAATTTTTGTTGTTCTTTGGTGTTACACCGCTGTCTTACAGGTCCGACATGTCACAAAGAAAAAAAAATATTATTCATAATTTTTTATAAAATGAATAGTACAATATGAAGATAAGTGCAAAACAATAAAGATAAATCACTCTCATGCTATTTGTATATTTTTAAAAGTTGTTTTCTTGATTTTTCCAGGTACTAATAAGTTAAGACTCAGGATTCTGCCACTCTGGTCGTGTTAATTCTTGTTTTGGTGGCAGAGTTCAGACACTAGTCCTGTCTTGTCTTGTGCGTTGTGTTTGGCTCGAGATTTCTTGGGTCAAGTACTCATTTTCTGTCATTAGCTATGTTTCCATCCAATAATGCAAATTAACTTTATGCGCAAAACTGGATTATCACATAAAAGTTGAACAAATAATGTGGCGTTTTCATCCAACGAGTCAAAGCGAACAAAATCGTCACTTCCTGATTAACTGGCGCCAAATATTAACAGTAAAAATGAAATTTGCTGCAGTAGGAGAAGCTGCGTCAATCTTTTCTTGATCTAATAAATGACTTGCGCCTCAGAAGGCAATCCTGATTGGCAGTGAACGTGCGGTGGCGTTTGAAGGTATCAGACGCGGAGCACAGATGCTCTTGATTCTGGAGGTCAATAATAATATAATACTTAAAAATAATAACACTAATACTTAAACGGTAAGGCGTTTTAGAATGACCAAAACAACAGTTCAGATGGTTTGCAGTGTGATCAGCCTGCTGGTTTGACCATTCACACACGTTTTCATCATCACATGATCTCTTATCACACAATCACATGACCATTTTTAATGCGCATACTTAAATTTGTGCAGTAAAAGTGTTTCCATCATAGTTTATGCGCATCTTTTCTTATCGAATATAAAGGTTATCCTATAGTTATGCGCATAAGTTTTTTATGCACATTTTCAAAATGTATGTGCATCATGGCATTTCCATTAAATTTTTTTTATGCACATATGCAAAATGCGCATAAAAATAGGTAGATGGAAACATAGCTGGGGCGAAGCAGTGGCGCAGTAGGTAGTGCTGTTGCCTCATAGCAAGAAGGTCGCTGGGTCGCTGGTTCGAGCCTCGTTTCAGTTGCTATTTCTGTGTGGAGTTTGCATGTTCTCCCTGCACAGGTACAGGTGAATTGGGTAGGCTAAATTGTATGAGTGTGTGGATGTTTCCCAGAGATGGGTTGCGGCTGGACGGGCATCCGCTGCGTAAAAAGCTGCTGGATAAGTTGCGGTTTATTCCGCTGTGGCGACCCCGGATTAATAAAGGGACTAAGCCGTCGGGATGAAACATGCATATTGCATGTTTGAGTGCATGGTGAGTCCTTTCATTTATCGTGTACTCGTGTCATGTGTTGTCTTCTCTTGGTGTTGTGTTTAGCATGTAGTACTATTTTACATGTGCAGCGTGCTTTAGTGTCTCATGTGAACACGCGGTTAATGAGTTTTCATATTGGCTGTGTGTTCTAGTCTCGTTTTGTGTGAGCACATGGCTTGTGTTTCTTTGGCTGTTTCTCAATACACGTTCTTTTGCGATCTTGCGTCCTCGTGTTTTCGTGTAACGTCATCATTTAGTTCTAATACTTAAGACCGTAAAAACAGAGGACACGTGAAACTTCCCGCATGTGTTCTTAATATCGAGGATGCATGGATGCAGACTTGAGCACAAAACTCGCTCTAGAAGTCCCAGAAGTCATTGCGGCTGAAAAAAGGAGGTAGGAAGCGCAGCATTTTATTTTTAAAGTTAAGAAATATAACTGATTTATCTCAGGAGTTTCCCCTAAATAAAAAGGTGAATATAAACTTTACCATGAAAATCCTAATAAAATAATAAACACATTAAGGGTGTGTTTATTTGCTGAAATTTGCATTAAAATCGGTTTTATTTATATTGTGCAACGTATATTTGTAAAGTCTTTATGCATAGTATATATCTTGAAAAGGGGAAAAACAATAAATTGTTATATGAATGCTGTAATGTTTAAATAATTTTCTATTAAAAATGTGTGAAGTTCATGAGACCATCAGGAAGACCGCAGCTTGTCATTTCTCACGCGTTTTGTGTTCTCGCGGTCTCTCAAGTTTGTTCTTCCGAGGTGACCTGTGGCCTCACGCATCAACCCTACGTTTGCACAAAAACTTTGCGTACACCAGATTTCACGCTTATGTTTGGATTTACTAACGATGAAATTAACATGGGAATGTGCATTGGTTTACGCCAACTTCATGTCTGGCGTACGTGCATTTCTTGTGTGTGTTTGTTTTTTTCCCATTGGCGACTTCTAAAGGCAGTCATGTTAAATTGCACACTACAAAGTATCGCACCAACACATGTGAAAAACATTGCTATTTATTTATAATTGATAAAATGGGTTTATTCACACAGTATATATATATATATATATATATATATATATATATATATATATATATATATATATTTATATAAATTTATTTTTTTACCAATTATGTGATTTAGAACATATAAATGCATACAAATTTGCAGATGCATACAACCCTTAGTCTATGGCAATAGCAGTGTTGGCTTTGTTAGAGGACATTGTCAATGGTTAAATCCGAAGACTCCAAGGTGGCAGGTTGCGTGATGGGTGGCTTCTTGGTGAGTGATGTATTTAAAGATTTATTCCAGCTAAGTTTTTATTTTATTTTATTTTACTAAGCGTAATTATTTAAATGCATATCAGGAGACCGCGGTTATCCATTTAAGACGTGGCTGTTAACCCCCCTCAACAACAAACAAACTGACCAAGAGTGCAGATACAATGATGCCATTCTCGCACTCGGTCAGATGTCGAGCGGGCAATTGGGCAGCTGAAATGCCGGTGGTGCCGCCTAGATATGAGCGGAGGAGTGCTGCTATACCACCCAAACAAAGTGTTCCTCTAATACATCTGTGTCTCCCACAGACGTGGATACTACTCCAGACAGTAAAGTGTCGCCCACAATTGAGGCAACTTTCTCCTCAAAGGGTGTTAGTTCAGCATCCCCTGTTTCCCTGCCTGATCGGTTCACACTTTGCAAGTGCGCCGCTGTTCTCCTTTTAACCTGCACCTTTACATCGGACCATTTCTTTTTTTAATTCACTCACAGTGCAATGTTCAGACCACACTGCGTTAACTGCGTCAGCTAAACTTATTTTTTCCCACTTATTTTTTTTCTTTTGTTATTAATTTCGGAGGACAAGCTTGCAAATAACACAGTTTTCCTCTGGTCTACCTCCAATAGGAGCACCTCCAATTCACATTCTGTGAAGTGTCTCTTCTTGCTTGCTTTTGCCATTGCTTATTTATTTAGTTTTGCCGAAGTGGAGTCATTACCATGTTTATTAGGGGGAAGAGGCAGGGAGGGGCTTTGCGCTCGTGAACTCAGTTTCATGTTAATTCGGATGTACAAAGAGAATTTGCGTGGGATTGCGCGTACGCACTGTTTCATACATCTGAATTTTTTACTGCATACACACATTTACGGTTTTGTCCGTTCGCAATGTTTTAGTATTAATTCAATTGAGAAAGAGCCCTTCTGTCTATTGTCTAGTCCCACCCTCCTTGTTAACCCATTATTAGTTTATTATGTTCACCTGTTTGTTTGTTAATTAATTCTGCTTATATTCTCCTCATGTCTGCTGTTCTGTACCAGTTCATATCTTGCCTTGTTCCATCTTCAAGCCCTGATCTCTAACAGCCTGCCCAGTCTAGTTTGTTTATTTGTTTTGTTAATGTTTTCCCCCTCTGGGTAGTTTGTTTTGCCTTTCACTTTATTTTATTATAAATAAAAACTTATTTTTCTTGCACTTAAGTCGTTGCTCCTTATCCCCACCACCAACTCTGACAAAGATGCAGTTTTCAGTAAAAACCCCATGTTTTCTTAAACACTATATTTAAACTACATAAACATAAACTTTCTTCAAAAATTGTGTTTTACAAAAAAAAGCATTTTTACTGCCTGTCAACTACCCCTATATTTATTATATTATATATCCCCCCACACCCCCCAAAATTATGTGAACATAGCACCTACCCCAAATTGACACTAATAGTTAGGTTACAATGTCAGGCTAGTTGGGATACTGATATAATCAAAAATATGATATAAACAGCTAAACCTTGGACACTACATTATGTTTCATATTGTCAACATACAGTATGTACCAGTATCAGAGTACTTGTAAGTTGTCTGTGTCCATGTATTTGTATGAAATTGAATGGCAGATAGTATTCTGCTACAAATGGCAGTTGCTTCGTGAAAGTGCTTGCTGCAGAGCCACATGGGTGGATCTCCAGCTCCTCCTAATTGAATGCTTTTTTAACAGGTACACCTACCACACCCCTCTTCCCAACCCCCAGTGACACCACTTGCAGAGTGAGTGCAGCACCCATGTGGCTCTGCAATGAGTACCACCTGGTTGCCTCAGCTAGCGTGTTTGTGTGTGTTACCTGTTGCTCATCCTGCACTATAGCAGCGTAGGCCAGCACACTGTGCAGCTCTTCAGCAGTGGGAGATTTCAGAAGGTCTTTCAGCAGAGAGAAAAGAGAGATCTGCACCGTCTGCCTCTCATCAGACAGAGGACTGCCATCCTTCTCCACGCTGTGGGCGCATACAAAGCACAATTATAAACAACACAGTCTTTCGAGTTACAATTAATTTTAACCTTAAATTATAATATTCAGTTCTGGGTGCACCTGTAGTGTGTCCGGATTGAATCCAGGATGTACTGAACACCATACTTCCTGCGAGTCTTCAGCTTGCCTTCATTGATGACAGTGGTCAGGTACTGGACATGACCTACAAACCAACACAAGTATAGACAAGAGGGTTGTGATTGGATTATGTTTTATTTCTCACCAATGATAATTTTTTATTGCTCTTTAAATGATGAGCCTACATTTTTGAGTAAATTTTGAAAAAAATGGAGCTTGTTGCAAAAACATAGCCACTATGATGATGAGACTTAAGAGTCTTAAAAACTAGTTTGACCAGCTTGGATTTAGCAAAACGTAAATATGGCCAGTCTTAAAGAACAAAGATGACTAATTCATGAATGCTTACTGGTTCTAATCCAGTGTTTTCGCAACCACATTCCTGGAGGACCACAAACACTTCATGTTTTGGATCTCTCTTTTGTCTGTCTCAACCATTGCATGTCTTTCAGTCTACGACGATCTGAATCAGGTGTGTTTGGTTAAGGAGATATGGGCTGCCTCCGAAACAGCCTACTACTCAGTAGGTACTGCATTTGAATTTAAACATACTACTCAGCTGTTAGATAAGTATGTTCTATAATTCGGACATACTTTTCCGCTAGCAAACTGATTTGATTTGCACTGTATAGTATGGAAGTATGCGGTTTTAGACGCAGCCATGGGCTGTTTCTCAATATACCTTCTTCAGTGTTCTTGTGCCCTTGTGTTCTCATGTAATGTCATCATTAACTGTCAACTTGAGAAGTCCCAGAATTCATTGTGGCTGAATAAAGGAGGTGAGAAGCACAGCAATCCTATACCTGTTTATTATTAAAGTTCATGAAAAATTGCCATGAAAATCTTAATAAAGCCTTAAACACAATAAGGGTGTTTATTTGCTGAAATAAGTAGTAAATTTGTGCTGTTTGTTTTGTGCAAAGTATATTTGTAAGCCTTTTGTGCATGTTACATATATAGTGAAAATGGGAAAAACATGCTGCAGTGTTTAAATAAATTCTGTTGAAAATACGTAAAGGTCATGTGACCATCAGGAATAACACATCATCTTATTTCTCACAGGACGCGTTTGTGTTAACCTGTAAGGTAACCTGGCAAGACCGGTCCCTACAAGAACACAAGTCCATTCTCTGCTTTCTAGGAATTGAGAAGTAGCCGTGGAAAATTATCAGAGCTGGTGATCCTCCAGGAACATGGTTGAAAAAGACAGATCAAATCAATTCATGTAACCAGCAGCTGTTTTAAAAAATATAGGACTTACAATTCAATACTTCGATGAATTTACAACTTTTCATAGCTGAGACTAACAAAATTTTACAGCTACTAAAATTACCATAGCATTAATTAAGACTCAAGAATGTACTGAATTGTATTTTTGTCACATATTGTAATATTTATATATTAGGCTTCTATTGAGGTTTTAGAATTAAGCTTCAAATGTCTGTCATAAATTTTTAAGTCATTACCCTAATAACACAGTCTTTTTTGTAATATAGCCTATAATCACCACCCCTGAAGCTACATACGTCACTCTGTCTGGCAAGTGAAAGAAAAGATTTTTCACCACAGTAAAAATGTAATTTTTGAAAGCTTGAAAGACACATCTGAGGAAGTTATGTTTTTGTAAGCAAAAAGTTGCTAGGCAGGTATATCCATGAAGTATAGTAGTTTTAGTTTAATACAGTATAGTACATTTGTCGTAGTTTGATTTTCAACTAAACTCAGTTGCGAAAATCTGCTTATTGCAACTATAGTTACTTTCCAAAGCAAAACCCTTTCTCTCGTTTAAAGATTTTGAAGATGTTTAGCGTGTTTTTATCTCATTTAGATGAGACTATTACAAGTCACTTTACTTTGGCATTTGTCAGTCAGCTCTTTTCACGCTACAACTTGACCAAAATGCAGTGGCCTGTTTTCTGACAGGAGCTAAAAAGAGGGAGCATATTACTCCAGTCTAACGATGTTTACACTGGTTGCCTGTTCACTTTAGAGGTACAGTTTTTCACCTACGTAAGCTACTAACACTCTAACAGCGTACCAGATCCTTTGGTCCTCAAATCAGTATCTGCTATGCATCCCTAGATCAAACTTAAATATAAGAGAATATTTGCTTTCTGCATTGCAGCCCCCAGGCTCTGGAATGCTAACCAATGTCAATAAGACAAGTACCTTTCATCACCAGCTTTAAAACCAGACTTAAGAAATATTTGTTCTCACAGGCCAATTTGGCTGTTAGGAGGTATGATCATTATTTTTTGTCTGTTTGTGGTTGTCTGTCTGCATTCTGCTGATTTGTTGGAAAGCACTTTGGCCACAAAAGTTGTTAAAAAAAACCTGTGCTATATAAATAAAATTGTCAGTGTATAATCAAAGATGCAAGAAAAAGTAGTGAAATACATGGGGTTAATTTGGCCTATCAAGGTAGAAATACTCAGGACTCTTTTACTGTAGGTTTGTAATTTTACCAATGTAAGGTTAAAATTATGGGTCTCATTTGAACAAAGTTCAACAGACAAAATTACTGCCTCTGTAGTTCAAGTGTTAAAGCAGAAAATGTCATTTTTTTATTTACTTTTTAAATAAACTCAAAAACCTTGTTCTAAAATATTTCACGCCCATGGTTTGGAATGGCAGTCAGCTAAACAATCTAAATTTATTTGCATTAATTTCATGCAAATATAATATCTTAACGCTATAATGATGTTTTATGGTTGTCAAAGTATTTTTTATTACCCAGACAGACAGCGAAGTGGCTGCGGCTCCAGATGCGGAAGTCAAAGAGCAGGTACTGGTACAGCTGAGACAGCAGGGCGTTGTTGCCCTCATTGGACACCTGCTTGAGCAGGAACTGACAGGCCATTAGTACACTCATGTCCATCATACTGCTGGGGACCTGCAAGAGCAAACCAACATGAGACAGGAGAAGATCACAAAGTGTCTGTCATCATAATAGTCGTCAGCTCGTTGCAATGCTTAATCAAATTCATTAAATAATTTGACGATTGAACACCATATCCACACCAGACGTGACCACAGAAAATCATTTTTCCTTTGTGTCAGTACAGCATAAATAAGCATCAGTTTACTGTTGGAGATTTATCACAGTGCACTCAAAATTACCAATATAGCATTTTTTTTTTAGTATTGTCACATTGCACCATTCAAATTTAGTGTATATAGAGTGCAATGAAGGAAATGATAAATATGGAGAGTTCAGATGCAAAAACCGTTAAGTGCCCCTAATTTAAAATGTTGAAATGTCTAAAATGAGCAATTTTCTCAGCCTCCTATGATTATGTTCAGTTATTTTACTTTAAAGAAAATGAAAAGAACATATTTATTGCCAAATTGCTGAACATACAAACAGGAGCTTGAGAAAATTGCTCATTTTAGAAGAACATTTCAGACTGCTTTTACAATAGATCTCTTGAAGTTTATAGGTGCCTTTCTCAGCACTCAAAGCATCAAAACAACATATATACCTTGGAATTGTAAGGTTCTATCTGCATTCTAGCTGATTCTAACTCACACTTCTCTCTTACGTAATAGGCCAACTTTTGGCCAGCACCCAAATTTTGACTATAAAGGTGAGGGTTTCTTGCTGAAACATTGGAGCTCAGCTGTGGGATAAATGCACATCGCCTGGCATTCTTGGACACATGTGTTGGTTTTCCAATGTAACTGCAACAGGCTCCAAAGTCTTTAAAAAGATAAAAATGATGGCACATCTCTGAGGTTGTATATAATTATATTAAATTGCTTGAGGTCTCATTATGTCTTTTATTCATGCATTCCTTATTACTCATTATAAGCCTTTTATGCAGTTTTGTTGTGTTTCGATTAATGATGTTCATGGGTATGATATATGATTATTGACTATTATTGCGATAATTGATATCAGCTTTGTGTACTAGCAATAAACAATTACATTGCTTGATTAGTATGGTGTATGACGCATTATTGGTGCTTTCTCTTGTCGATTTGCATAAACCCAAATCTTTTAGGCATGCCAAAACATTTGACATACTAAATTTTGTGTTTCAGTCTGTCTATACTAAAACAAAACTCCAGAGGCTGCAAACTAAAACGTGGTCTTTGCTGGTGCCAGTAGCCTAGTGCACCAACATAGCAATGAGATCACTGAGATCGATTCCTGACTTGAGTTCCAGACTCAGACTCAGGCTCAACTTTATTATCTCGTTTAGGAAAACTAAAATGGCAGCAAGTTGCCATAACACAGGCAACGTTCCATGTACACATTAACAAAATATTACCCCACAACATACAATATATTTTTTGTAGCTGCATTTCCCTCCCCCTGGACTAATGGCCAAGAATATAAAATAATTTTTAGTTGTATTTGTCCTGTAAATAGGAACTCTAAAATGACATTCTGATGGCAGCAGCTAAAACACAAAGAACAATGGGTGATCTGGGGTGCATAGGATACACTGAGCTCTCTTTAAAACACAAGTATGGTAAATTACCATTGAACCAGTTTGGTTAAAACCGATGATCTTGCCTGCCACTTTACAGGCGACTCAACCTGTTCTTATTTGACACACTTAGATTACAGTACCAAGCTACAATGCAGAAAGATAAAACAGATTCAATAAATTGTTTATAAAGCAACATCATTATAGAGGTACAAACCTGAAAACAATCTAAGTTTCCTCTGAAAACTTTGTTGGACTTTTTAATAGACAGCCTGGGTGTTAGGTTGAAATGTTAACATATTGTCAATAACGACCTTAGATATTTTTGTGTGTCAACAATTTCAATGTCCAAGCCTTTAATATTTGTTATGTTGGGGGGACCCAGTGGAACAATACTGAAAGTCAGAAAGAGCACCATTGACTCTGACACACTGCAGACGTCCTACTAAAAAAATCCAGAATCCATCCACAAATATTAAGATCCAAGTTAAAAAGATAAATTAATTTCTCAACCAACAAATGTGGCTTCATAGTATTGAAAGCAGACGAGAAATCAACCAGTCCTTGATCAGCAGTCCTTTGCTGATCATTCCCTTCTCTATCTGCTCCCTATGCTTTCCTGTCTGTAATCTTCACTATTCTATCCCAATAAAGGCGAAAAGCCCCTAAAAATCATAAAATTCTAAAAATAAAATAAAATAAATGAAATTGGGGTCCTTAGTGCTTTCAAAATACAATGTCTTCAGCAGGCATAAATGTAACAAAATGTACAAAAAAACACTAGTGTATACTGCACCTGAGATTGCGAGCAAGAGAATGGACCGATAAGATATAGGAACAGTGTGCCATCTTAAACAGGTGCAACTAGAGTCTAGATTTAAAAATAGATGGAGAGTCAATGGGCCCTATCATACACCCGGCACAATGGGGCGCAAGGCGCAGCGCAATAGTCTTTTACTACTTTAAGCTTGACGCAAGGGTCATTTTGAGGCATTGCGCCACGCTGTTTAAATAGCAAATGCATTTGCGCTCAAATGTGCGCCCATAGGCATTCTGGTCTAAAAAAGCAGGCATGTTTTGGCGCGTTGCTATTTTGAGAAACTGTAAGGGCTCTATTTTGACGGTCCAAAACGCAGGGCGCAAATGCTTTCAGGTCATGTCAGGACGCGTTTTTGCTAATTAAAGGACAGGAAATCTGCCTTGCGCTGCAGCGCATGTTCTAAAAGGGTTGAGTTTATTTTCTTAATGAGTTGTAGGTGTGTTTTGAGAATAAAACCAATTAGAATCTTATCTCCCATTCCCTTTAAGAGTCAGCTAAGTCGCGCCAAGAGCGCATTCGTTATTTACAGGACGCAAAGTATGTCTAAGTGGAAAAAATGAGCATTTCACAAGCAAACAGTTAACAGTTAACAGTTTTTTAACAGAAAACTGTTAAACAGAGCATCTACTGCGTGAGAATGAGAGATAATGGATCACTTTCACTGTCGCACAGACATCAATTAGTCTATAAATGAATACCTTTGTTTGTTAAGTGCAAAAATTCATTTCAAAACTATTTCTAAATTCAGTTCTAATTTCCAGCAAACGAATAAATGAATAATAATAGCAAAATGTGCTCAAAAACCTATATAATGTGACATAATGTGAGTTATATCCTAAAACACATGCTGTGCCCCATATGGTCTAAAACCTGACAGGTGGGCAAATCTAAGCTTGTTTTTAATAAAACAAATATAAATATGGATATAATAAAAAAATACTGCTAATAATAACAACTGCTAATCTAAACTCCGGCGAGGCACAACTCTGCGCCGGAGTTTAGACCAGGTTAGTTTTGGTCTAATGAAAAATCTATTATAGATTCTCAAAGTAGCAACGCGCCAGCGGTCCGCCTCAGAACGCCTTCCTTTTTAGACGAGAACACCTATGGGCGCAAAAATGAGCGCTAATGCATTTGCTATTTAAACTGTGTAGCGCAACGCCTCAAAACGACTCTTGCGCCAAGCTAAAACTACCAAAAGACTACTGCGCCACGCCTTGCGCCACACTGCGCCAAGTGTATGATAGGGCCCTAGATCTTAGAAGTGGTAGATCTTTCTCATATCTGGCACCTAAACTCTGGAACAGCCTTCCTAGCACAGTTCGGGAAGCAGACACACTCTGTCACTTTAAAACTAGATTAAAGACACATCTCTTTGCTTTAGAATACACATAAAACACAAATGTTTTCGAAATTCAAATCCTTAAAGGATTGTTAGTCTGCATTATTTAAAGTCATTAAAATTTGAACGGCATCTGTGCGTTTGTTAGTTTGTTTTTATTATTCCCCAGGTTTTCATAATCCTGGACCAAGCCGTATCCTGATCAGCTTCTGTGATGGTCATGAAGGACTGGAGAGCATGAGATTGATTCCTGTAAGACCCCAGTGACAGAAGAGTCCTCGCATTGATCCTGAAGGGCTTGCTTGTACATCAGCCGTTGACCTCGCCCACCTGCAGCATCTCCACAATGGTCGTCTAGCGTTCTCCAGGCTCCCGTGCTTAGACTGCAGATCTGCACAAGAAGTTTGGCCAGAGGAGAAATAGTTGTGCCGATTCTGAGCCTGGAAACTCTCAAGTTTTTTTTCCCCTTCACTTTCGTCAAATTGTGAGGTTTGTTCCTCGCCACTGTTGCCACTGGCTTGCATGGTCCAGTATTTGTGGAGCTGTGTATCGATGGATTTGCTCTTCAGTGTTTGGACTTTCAGCAGTGAAAATTAAACCACACTGAACTGAACTAAACTGAACTTCAACTCTGAAAACTAGACTCACATAGTTTAATCTATTATTATCTTCTATGTTAAGCTGCTTTGACAATTTACTTTGTAAAAGCGCTATAGAAATAAAGATTAATTAAATGGAAAAAAAAGATTAAATCATATTATCAAACAATCCAGTAAAATCCAGTAAAAATTAACCCAAATACAATTTTTCATATAAACGTAACATTATTTATCCAAAGAAGCATGTTATATTTAAATTTTATACTAATATTTTTTACATTTGCATTTAATTGACAACCTAATTAATTATGCCTGAGCATGTGTTAGTGTATATATGTGTGTGTGTGAGAGAGAGAGAGAGAACTTTTCAACCCTAAATCCTGAGAAACTCTCTTCAAAGGCTTGTCAAGTCACGGTACATCAGAAGCAGATCTGCTATGGCGTATAACTGCGGAACAATTTAGGCCCCTGATTAGCATCTGTTTTTTCATGAACTTCATCAGCTGTTTAATTACATGCATAGACATCACTGTCACTTATCAAATGACCAGATTTACATCACACATTCAGCAACGGATCTTCAACTGCTCTCAAAATTCATGAAAACTCCGCATCATTCTACTGTGCGTTTAAAACTGTTCCTTATACTGGTGATACATGTCACTCACGCAAATACAGTAAATGTGCTGTTTTTCAAACGTGAATTCTTGGTGTGAACGTGTTTACAGCAGACACTTGAACATTGCTTACTCGTTCCTTTTCTTAAAACCAGCAGTCATGTTTCAAAAGCTTCCTAATCAGCATATGCTTTTATTCAGCAGGGTTTCTGTTTATCTACGTAAAGCTACTTTGACACTATCTACATTGTAAAAAGCATTACAGCTCGAGTTGATGTGACTTTATGGGGTGCACTGTAATATGTTCATGCTTAGTTTAAAACTGTCCGTTGAATTCCTGGTAGTGCTTCTCAAATCTTCAAACCATTTATGAGTCTTTTGTTTTGAATCAGTGGTTCAGAGGAATAATCAAATTGGCCAGGTCAAATGACTTTGGTAAACAGAGCTTCATTACCTCACAGGTTCAATTTTAACGATCTAAGCACATAGTCTAAAGCTCACAGCACAGGTGTAATTAGGGCATATCCAAATGCACTTTTGTTATTTCAGGGACAGAAAAAATTGTCATCATGTAAGGTACATTTATTGCCATTTGTGCGCAACACTCCCAGCAGGCACACAGCCTCATGTTTATATACGGTTGGATTTAGGTTGTGACATCAGGTGACCAAAATTCAATGTCAAGCCAACGTCTGAGGAAAATGTTATTTTGACTTCCAATAATAACGTCAAATGACGTTGATATTTGGTTGATTTTAGGTTGTGTTTGAAAATGACCAAAATCCAACATCGAGCCAACATCTTAAAGGGCCATGAAACCCCCTGTCTCAGCAGGGGGTTTTCACACCACTAGTTATAAAAAAGTCAGGAAAGTGGGTGAGTCCAGCTTTGTATAAGTGGGAGTGTCCAGTGGCTAAAGAAAGAAGGTTTGCATGAAAAGGGAAGTTTCATTACGTGCACTACAACTGATTTTCACAGCGGCAACACAAACACGGATGCAGGGGAGATAGACAGTGATTCGGAAAGCAGCGTTTGTTGCAGATCTAAGAGCTGTGTGTAAGTGGAAGACTTTTAGTCCATAATATTGTAGTGGTATTACTGTAAACTTAGCAACTAAATAATTTTGACTAATTCATTAATTAATTAATTCATTCATTTATTTTCTTTTCGGCTTAGTCCCTTTATTAATCCTGTGTCGCCACAGCAGAATGAACCGCCAACTTATCCAGCATGTTTTTACGGAGCAGATGCCCTTCCAGCCGCAACCCATCTCTGGGAAACAGCCACACACACTCATTCACACTGATATACTACAGACAATTTAGCCTACCCAATTCACTTGTATCACATGTTTTTGGACTGTGGGGGAAACCCAAGCACCCGGAGAAAACCTATGTGAACGCAGGGAGAAGATGCAAACTCCACACAGAAACGCCAACTGACCCAGCCGAGGCTTGAACCAGCGACCTTATTGCTGTGAGGTAATAGCACTACCTACTGCGCCACTGCGTCACCTTATTTTGACTAATGTATATCTTTAAAAACTGAATGCTAACTTTGCCATCTGAATAAACATAAACAAAGAACACTGATCACACACTAACCAAATCCGTCACATTTTTTCACAGTGGCAAATCCGAATTTCACCATTTCCAGATTCAAAAAGCTCTCAGGTAAAAAATCTTCTTTACCAACATATATATATATTTTGCTTTATATCAAACTACTGTAATCTAACTGCTTGAAACAAGCTGAGCTCTCATCTTGGGGAAATGGAAACAAAACCTTTGTTGCAGCATATTTATAAATGCAACACTGACGGCTCATGTCTCCAAACAATTCTTCTACTACCTGTTTGAATTACAGTTGGCAACACAACGTGGCATCTCTCTGAACACTGTAACAGGTAAAAAAAGTCTTCAAAGCTATATCATGCATATTAATGAAGATGCATCTCATTCACAATAGAGCGTGTGGATTGGTTCAAACCAAGTGTTTCTCATGAATTAATGAACAGATGTGCTAAAAACTCAATAACGTCAATTTGTACCCAACGGTACAGACCGTAGCGTAGCTTCAAATGTTTTTTTTTAAAGAAGACATTTTTTTTTCTTTTTGGGACTTTTTGTGAAATTTTGTTGGGACTTTTGTGTCCTAATAGTGTTTTTAGCAACCCTGCACACATATATGACTGTCAACATCTCAAAAAAATGTGTATTGGTCTTTTGTGACCCTTTAAAGTAATGTCATATTGACGTCAAATACTGACATTTATTAGTCAGGTATGGCAACCAAAATCCAACAATTGATAGACGTCAAAGTGGTAACGTCCACACAGTGTCTAGCTGTAACATCAACATCATTGATATTTGGTTGATTTTAGGTTGGATGTTGGACATTGATGTCAGCCCGATGTTGAGTTCTGACCTCAACCCATTTTTCATTTCCAAACAAAATGCAACGCCCCCATGACGTTGGCATAACGTCAAACTGATGTGATGTTGATGTCCTGTGCCTACTGGGCTCCCTCAGTGCTTTTGTACCATGCACTTTATAAAAATAGTGTCCATGGCATTTTGAGTTATTCAAAAGAGTGAACTAAAAGGTCAATGGACAATGGATCAGTTGTTTCAGCTTTGAAAAACCGTGTTTCTCCCATTATACACTTCCTGGTTCTGTGAAGCCCCTCCCTCAGAAACATGCAAAGGACTATGATTGGTCCGCTGGCCCAGTGTGTTCTAATATAGTGTCTCCATAGAGTGTTGAAGGAAACACATAGTGTGTTGAAGGAAACATCACACCCAGAGGTCACAAACTATAGAAAAGCTCACTGTAGTCTTTCCCAGGCATTTGTAGTAAGCCTTAAAAATGTGAATATATGCGTTGTAAGTTTGCAGATGTTGTTTAGGCTAAAAAAATAACATAATCAAGCACTACTTTAAAGCTTTCTGGCACTAAAACCCTCAATGATGTGAAACTGTGGTTTTGGTTGTGTACTATGCAATATGATGTGATTGTTAGCACAAGTGTTTCCTAACAGGATGTTACATCTTAAATCTACAAACACCAATATGTCTTGTAAGACCCTCAGGTGCCCTCTTGTTTGTGCACATTTGTGTGTGTGTGTGTGTGTGTGTACCTTCCCGAGCATTGCCCCGATAATGGCTGGCCCATGGCACTGGAGCAGACTCTCCTGATTGGCTGGATGGTTGCGCAGCATGTTCTTAATCATCAGCAGAAACGCTGCCACACTGTTCTTCTCTAAACGGCCCTCTAACACACACACAAACACACCAGCAAAGTGCACATTAGCAATGTGTAACATTGACAAATAACTGCAAAAACATTGCATGAGAATCGAAACCCCAAAGGTAATATAAAGAGCAATAACACAAGATGAAAAACATTATCTTGCCTGCAGCCTCGCACACACACACACACACACACACACACACACACACACACACACACACACACACACACACACACACACTAAAAGATGACTTTATGAATCACAGTAAAATCAAACAGCATGCTCAGAAAATATGAATGGTGACTCATACAGCAATTACAGAAAACCTGACATCATCAATGTGTTTAGCAGTTCCAAAAACCACATAACAAGCTGTTAATGTTTCAGGCTGTAATACTGCAGACTGTGAAGAAATGAATCAATTAGTAAATTTTATATTACTCAGAGTTATTTTAGTATCACTGATACACAATTATAGATGACAGATTTTCTATAATTATATTTTTATATTTCCAGCTAAAATGCTAGTAATTTCATTTAATGCAAGACAAAAATAAATAAATGAATGAATAAATGAATGAATGAATGAATAAATAAATAAATAAAAACACAGCAAACATTAACACCACATCATAAATGGTGTTTGTAGTTTGTTCAAACTACTTTTTTGTATTTTTTTTTATTTGAAATGAGCTGAAACAACACAAATGTTGACTTTTCTGGGCACAACTTAATTGTTTTAAGTTCAATCCACTTAAATTTGCAAAAACCTAAATTTGCAAAAACTAATAAGTTAACTTAATTCCTTCGTGTTGTCCTATATTAAATTCATTGTGTGGGACACAATGCATATTTACAGTGCAAAAATGGCATATAATAATGGTCAATTTAGCATTTCAGCCATAATTACTTTAGGCGTCAGTGAAAATAATATACAGCTACTCATACACTTGTGTAGGTTCTTGTTTAGCATTATACTTGTCATATTATTTTAATGAACGTATATTATATACTGCATTTACAGATTTTACACAACAAATAAAAGTGAAAGCAGTGCTTTTATTTAAATAAAATTTTAATTAAAAAGCAAATGGGTATATGCACACAGACTTTTAAATTCAGTCCGGTTAATTGTCATCCTATACAAATCGCCGCGTTTAAGGTCTGATTTCTTTAAAAAAAACAGCGGTCTTCACTGTCTGGCTGAGATACGATATAAAGTGGGAATCAGACCAAACAAGAAGCACTGCATTAAATTATATTTTTCCTTGCCTTATTTTTAAAATATGGAAATAATTTTACCCCAGTATTTTCAATGGAACTTCTGTGCTAGCCTGCCGCTAAGGACGGCACCTGAGCTTACACAGTCGTTCGTCTCTTTTTACTAGGGATGGGAAGATTAACCGATATGTATCGATACGCGGTCATGCGCGTGCACGATGCGAGTGCATCGGTTGAGCAGCAGAGGATGAATGAAATTTTGGAAGCAAATTGAGATACATCGGTTTTTGCGAGATGCATCGATTTTTCCGAGATACAGCTTATATTTTTAATATAGAATGTATTTTTTATTTATTAACAAGTGTTGTCAACCTGTTTTTGGCGCATAATTTAATCGACCTACATAAAGTAAGCCTTAGCAACGGATTTGCGGATGTGCACACACTACAACTCAGTGTATCAGGTGTGCGGATGAAGCTAGTGGAGCGCCCTCAGAAAGTGCGAGAAGCAAAACAAACATTTTATTCCCCACTGAGTTTTAAATCTAAAGTATGGCAAGCAACATTATGGATTTAAGGATGGACGACATGACAGGACAGATGCAATTTGCAAAATGTGCCGCGCAAATACGCGGGCAGTACGACTAATCTGAAATCTCACTTGAAGCAGCGCCACGGTGTTGTTGTGAAAGCATCTTCCAGTGTTTCTGCATCCCCGGCTTTCGCACTGCTTCAACCAGCTCCAAAAGTGGTGAGAAAAGCATTGCAAGTTTTTTTTCCGTTCGCAACAGTTCTGCTCGCTCTACGCCAATAACGAATGTTATTGCATTGTTCATCTGCAAAGAAATTCAGCCTAGTGTCACGGAGAACGAAAGTTTTAAACACCTCCTCCTGTTAATTTTTATTTAATTATAATAATAATAATATTAATAATAATAATGATAAAGATAATTGGGTGTCACGGTGGCACAGTGGGTAGTTTGACCACCTCACAGCAAGAAGATTGCTGGTTTGTTATATTTTTATTAGCCTGTTGTTTACAGTGACAGTGATGTTTCAACGCAGCATAACACTGCTAGTTCACAACCTTAAGTTTTGAATAATCAGTGGCAAAATATATCTTTGTAAAACTTGTTTTCATAGTTGAAAAGTTAAATCACAATTCTTGTTGTGCAATGCTAAATTTATTTATGTTGAAAGAGTGCAAATATATACATATTTTTTTAATATATATTGCACTTATACATTCTGTTTATCTTGAAAATACTTAAATAATATGTGCTATATGTTCTAAAATGGCCCTCTACTGTAAACTGACACTCTGGCTCTGAGAGAAGAGCCAGTTTGTAAAAAAAAGTCTTGGTTTTGCTTGGTTTATAAATAATCAAACTCATTCAATGGCACAGCATCCTCTTTCACATCATCTCATAAACTTGATCTAATTAGTTAGTGCTGAAATATCGCATCGTATCGTGATATGGGTGTGAATCGTATCTTGTTGCATCGCAATATGTCACAAATGTATCGCTAATATATCGGATCGTATTCTTTGTATCGAGATGCGTATCGGATCGGCATTATAGCTTAGATGCCCAACCCTACTTTTTACGCTTTTACAACCAAATGGATGTTTACATCTATTTAATTGATTATGTTTGAATTACATTACATTGATGCTGTAAAAGGAACCTTATGATATTGAAAATAGTCATATAAAGCTCTAACCGAAAGTTCATCATTGGCTGAAAAACACTAGCTGTGCATATAGCCCATAAGCAAGCATGACAAGCAGGTGTCTTTGTTATCAAATAAAACAACACATGAACAATGACATTTGATACACATAGCCAAAATAGAAATATTACAATATGGTGTAATGTTCATGATAAAAGTTAACATTTTACTATATATTACTGCTATTTACATCACTTTACGAATTCGCTCACTCATTTTAGTTCCATCTTTCCTCATATAATACACACAGCTGATATACATTATATAGGGATTAGTAAATGAGTGCACAAGAGAGCAGTTTCAGACACAGCTATAAAAGGTGGTCAAATCTGCCATTACCAAGGTGTACCTAATAAAGTGGCCGGTTAATGTTGCACATCAACAATACTAACCAGATGACTTCCCCAGAGGCAGCAGCATTCCGGCGGGACCCCTAGAAGAGGTGAGCTCTGGCCCAAGCAGATCTGAAGTCTCCTGACCCACGGTCTCACGCTGATCCAGTAAACACACCTGCTCCAGCAGGGGAAGAAGAGCCCCCATCCCACCAACTGAGCTCAGCACATCCTACACACCAGACAACATCATAAAACATAATTAGCAGATGCTGCTCCTGCAGGCACACAATTTATGAGGTCCTTCTAGACGCAAAATCATGTTGAATACACACATTTACACCTAACACAGATAAACACAAAAGACTAGCGTCAAGACTAGATGAATCATTCTGATCTGTCATGAAGCTCAGTGATTGATACATGCCTTAACGTCCCAGTTCACCACTCTGTGACCAGTCAGCCTGCCATCATACAGATGATTAGGGGACAGATCCAAGCAGATCTGGCTTTTAAAGGCCTACAGTGACAAAATAACATAGAAAATGCATTAATATAAAGGCTTGGCGTATATTTCACATTATATGGAGTGGTATTCAAAGTCAAAATATTAATGTTCAAATAATATAACATTGTTTAACAACATTATTATTTCAAAAATATATATAAAAAACGCCCCCACTTTATATTAAGTGGCCTTATTTAATATGTACCTACACAAGAATTAATAGTTTGTTACAATGTATTGATTAAATACCTGTTTGTAATTACATCTGTAATTAACTTTTGTAATTACATTTATAAATACACTGTTGACCATCCCTTATACCTTTACCCACCCTTAAACCTACCCATACCACCAAACCTGTCCATAACCCAACCTCTATCCCAACTAAAAATCACCACAAGTGTTCTCAAATACATTATAAACACAGTAAGTACATTGTATTTATTTTTTTGATGCAAGAACATAGTAATAGAGTTGGGGTCGAGTCCACCTTTGTCGAGTCCAAGTCGAGACCAAGTCCTTAACCAGTCGAGTACAAGTCCAAGTCCGAGTCCAAAAGGGGTCGAGTCGGACTTAAGTCCGAGTCCTTAACATCCGAGTCCGAGTCGAGTCCGGCCGAGTCCAGACAGTCTTAAAACTCATTTATTAATTTTTCTTTTGGCTTTGTCCCTTATTTATCAGGGGTCGCCACAGAACGAACTGCCAACTAGTCCAGCATATGTTTTACAGAGCGGATGCCCTTCCAGCCGCAACCCATTTACTCTCATTCACACTCACACACCACGGCCATTTTAGTAAATTAAATTCCCCTATACTGCATGTGTTTGGACTGTGAGGGAAACCGGAGCACCCGGAGGAAACCAACACCAACACACGGAGAACATGCAAACTCCACACAGAAACACTCCTGGCCCAGTCGAGACTCGAACCAGTGACCTTCTTGCTGTGGGGCAACAGTGCTAAGCATTGAGCCATGGTGCCACCTAAGTAAAAAAGTGTAAAATAATAATAATAATAATGAATCAAATATATTTTTCTATTAACAATTAACTGTTAAATGAAAATTTTAAACTTTTGGTACATTTTTACAAAATGCCTTGTATTTTTTGTTAGCTTGCTTCAAATTAAAATGAAAATTGGAGGATATATGTAGAATTTTTATTATTTTACAAGAGTCACGCGTTTGAGATTATTCTAATGCCACTTTTTCACATTTCTTGTTTAAATTACGCTTGCATTACCAAGCCAACAATGCATTTTTTTTACATTAATTCCAGAAAACTCTGTTATCAGCCCCAGTGTGGAAAATTAAACCATATTCATGCGGACTGACCCAGATCTGCACAGAACATAAAGGTTCAGCAAAGGGAAACCATTTGGCTTCACCGCTGTCTTAACAGGGAATCAACAGTCAGATGAATTTTGTTCTAAATAAACAAAGAGTAAATAAATAGCAGGGGCGATTAGGTGCAAAATAAAACCAGTGGGAATCAGACTGAAAAAATAGTCCAGTGCAGATTTCTAGGCACATGATCTGGGTCTATCTGTTAATGATAGCCTGAAACAGGGGTTCTTAATGTCTACATTAAAAGTTCCAAATCTGAATTTTTTTTATTAAGGTCAAAGGTATGAAACAATTGATATTACATAACTTGTTTTTAATAAACATCCATAAGATGCAGCACCATGGCGCAGTGGGTAGCACAATGGCCTCACAGCAAGAAGGTTACTGATTCGAGCTGGCTTAGGGCAAAATAAACACATACTTATCTGTTCATTCAACTTTGAACTGTCTATTCTCTTAATCAATTCTTTTCAGTGAGGCCGACATCTTCTTCCATTCAAATGATTGCTTTGCTGCAGTGTGTTAAAGCAGGCGTGTGCGCGCGATTATCCAGCATGATCATGATTAGGCCCAGCCCTAACCAATTTGGAGCCCTAGGCAAGATTTCAGGTGAATTCCAGTAAATTCCACTGCTAGTGTAGATATACTCATAAGACACTTATTAGCTTTGTCTTGGACATTCTTTCATTTTAATAAAGCAAGTGTACATTCCAAATACTTAGAAGTTTTTGCAACTCTGGGACACCTCGAAAAAATACGCAGCGATTATGCATTGTGAAACCTGTGTAAGTTTTGCAAGTGGACAAAACAAAAATTAAAACAATATGATGATGATCTTATTTTAACTAAACATGCTATGAAGCAGAAAAGAAGGATGAAGAGTCAGACAGGTAAAATTAGGCCTAAAACAGTTCACAATTCAGGTCTAAAAAGACAACAGATAATTCTCATTCATTCATTCATTCATTTTCTTTTCGACTTAGTCCCTTTATTAATCAGGGGTCGCCACAGCGGAATGAACCGCCAACAACCATGTTTTACACAGCGGATGCCCTTCCCTTCATATGCTATGGCCAATTTAATTCATCAATTCACCTATAGTTTTTGGACTGTGGGGGAAACCGGAGCTCCCGGAGAAAACCCACGCCAACACGGTGAGAACATGCAAACTCAACACAGAAACATCAACTGACCCAGCCGTAGCTCGAACCAGCGACCTTCTTGCTGTAAGGCGACAGTGCTACCCACTGCGCTACCGTGCAGCCCACAGATAATTCTATAAAACACATCTTTTTGTACCTTATGGAATTGTCAAATTAAATTAATATTCTTGCAAAAGACTTCTCAAATGATCTTAATACATCACTCCTGTTGTGTCTTTGTGTTCCAGTTACATTTAGGACAATTTCTGTTATTTATTTAGAATATTAATTGTATAATAATAATAATAATAATAATTTTCATATATTTAAAAAAAATTATATATATATATATATATATATATATATATATATATATATATATATATATATATATATATATATATATATATATATATATATATAATATATGAATGGAGGGTGGGGGGCTTTTGAGGATAGGTCATGGTCCTGGTCCTCAGTTCAAAAGACAGTGATGATGACATCAGCATATAACTATGCATAATTCTGAATCATTTTAAAATGAAACATTTGAGATGATTAATTATGCAATACACATATTCTTGCACTCTGTCATTGACTACATATAAATAGAATCAGAAATGTGTCATTATCAGATTGTCTCTTGCATATTCAACATGTAGGGCAGATATATACTGCTACTCACAATCAGTAATGTTTATTCTCACACAGATGACTCACAATGTGTACGCAGGCACCCCTAATCTCTCCAATGTCTCTCATCAAAATATTACCTGAATATTATTTTTTACACAAAGTCAAACCTCATTCTATCTTTAAAAATATTAAATTATTGCTTGAATTTGTGGACTTAGTCCAGTGATTATCCATTCTGAATGTTGTCTGGATTTGAATATAACTCTACATTAAATCCATTTGTGCTTATATTGACTTAATTTAGCTTGGAGTTGCATATTATATTATTACAACATTTTTGCTATTCCATCATTTAATTACTGTAATTTTACACACTCGTTATACTCTCCTAACCTTACCCTCAAAAGCAGAAGCTGATCTGGGATCTGGGATGAGTTTATTATACGGAACGCGTCCGTCAGTCAGCATGTATAGGCTACACTGATTCAGAAATGTGATGATCGACACATCTTTAATGGAAAGAAAGTGAATGCAGACGTTTTTGTATTCATTTTAACGTGCTTTCAAGCCAAAATAAAGCAAAAGCACAATTCTCTTGAACAGCTCTTGCAGTTCTATCGCATTTCAGATCGCTGTGTTGATGGTACTTTCACTTTTCATAGAAAGATTAAGCATAAGGTGGAAGAATTGGAAAATTAATCGGGATGATAGCGGGATGTCTTTACAAGAGTTACAGGAAAAATTTGAATATTAAGGAGTGCGGATTTGAGAAGCCCTGGCTTAAATCAAGCGCTGAACGCATAATTCTCTGGCTCAGAGCCAAAGCGCAAAACTTTGGATTTGGCAGTTATTTGCGGATATATTGACACACATATATATAAAAAAACAATATCGCCAGTATGTTTTAACATCATCCCTACGATATGAATGTACAATTCAAGTAAATAAGCTCTCACCTTTCTCTGTTTTCTTTTAACATGTCGGTAGAAGACAATTTATTGCTGATTTTGAAGACATTATTGTCCTAAACTTAGCCACGCATTGTGTGATATGGCTATTTCTGGTTACACGTTTAAGGTGATGACGTGCTGCTGCTGCCTGCTGGTACGGTGCGGTGGCATAAATAAAAGCTGGCATGCAGCCAGAGAGATCGCTAATTCTTGTTATAGTTTTTTGCTGTTATTTATTCATTTTAAATATCTTATATTTGTTTTGGAAATGATGTGGACTCGACTGGACTCGTGATATTTTCCGAGTCCAAAATGTCCAAGTCCGAGTCAAGTCCGAGTAAAAGTTTACCCAAGTCCGTGACAAGTCCGAGTCCAATCAAAACTGGACTCGAGTCCGGACTCGAGTCCGAGTCCAGGGTCGAGTACCCCAACACTACATAGTAATTAAGGACACTTAATATAAAGTGGGACCTAAAAAACACATTTGTAATAATAAGAACCTAATATATTTAAATACAACTTGGAAACGGAAATGTATACAATTTGTAAATGAGAATGTTTTAAATATTTGGGATATTTCATAGGATGTTTGATAGTTCATCTGTACTGAAATTATTGTAGTTGCTTGAAATGTAATAAAGTGAAATGAAAAAATATATAATGTATAAAAACATCATTGCATTAATATTATATTTCTTAAACTGACAACAATGACAATTATGCCACCATTTACTCACAATTCACTTGTTCCAAACCTGCTTGAGTTTCTTTCTTCTGTTGAACACAAAGGACGATATACTGAAGAATGTTGGAAAAAACACCCATTGACTTCCATAGTGTGTTTTGTTCCTACTATTGTTCCTGTCAATAGCTGCTTTTTCCCCAGCACTCTTCAGATCATCTTGTTTTATTTTCAACAGTACAAAGAAATTTATAAATGTTTAGAACACTTGTGTGTGAGTAAATGTGATAAAATGTTTTTAAATTTTTGGGTGAACTATGCCTTGACAAGATTAAAACATTTAACATTGATCTTCTAAACCAAATACCAAATATAAATATATAATCAGACCTTTTGCGCAAAAACAAAAAAGTTCACATCAGATTGAAAACACAACAGTGCTGACACTAAAATTAAAGAAATACTCTACTTTTTTGATAATAGACTCAATTCAGTAAAGATTAGTTTTACCATTTTTGAATCCATTCAGCTGATCTCTAGGTCTGGTACTTTTAGCTTAGCTTAGCATAGATCAGAGAATTGGATTAGACAATTAGCATCTTACTCAAATAAGCCTAAAGAGTTTTAATATTTTGCTATTTAAAGATTGAAGCTGCTGTAGTTACAATGTGTACTAACACTAACTAAAAATTCATTCATTAATTTATTTTCTTTTTGGTTTAGCCGCTTTATAAATTTGTGGTCACCAAAGTGGAATTTACCACCAATTTATCAAGCATATGTTTTAAGGGCAACAGATGCCCTTCCAGCCGCAACCCATCACTGGGAAACACCCATACAATGTAGCTTCCCAATTCTCCTATACCACATGTCTTTGGATGTTTGGGGGAAACCGGAGCACCCGGAGGAAACCCATGCGAACACAGGGAGAACATGCAAACTCCACACAGAAATGCCAACTGACCCAGCCGAGGCTCAAATCAGTGACCTTCTTGCTGTGAGGTGACTGTGCTACCCACTGCGCCACCATGATGTCCTGACTGAAAATGAAACATTGCTATTTTCTAGGCTGGTATGGTCAGGAACTATACTCTCATTCTGCCATAATAAGCAAAGAACAAGCACAGTTACAGTATGCAGATTCTAACGGGTAGTCGAAGTGTAGGGTTTGGTGCTAGAGACTTTTCTCAAGTGATGTGTAATATTAAGCCTTAAAATGGAATATTATATAAATGCTCTGGGCGAGATGCTAATTGTCTGATCCAATTGAATGATCCATGCCTAGCTAAGCTAGAAGTATTTCCACAGACTCAAAGACAGGCTTAATGGGTTAACAAATGGCAAAACTCCTTTAGGGCAGCTGTGAAATGAACCTATTTTGAAACAAAGTGGAATGTTCATTCACCTAAAAGTAATACCACAAAGATAAAATATGTTTTGTCACTTAAAATAAAGTTTAACGTCAAACAAATAAATAAAGTCAAAATAAATTACTTTAAAAACTAAAATAAAATGAGTGCAAACATTGTATGCAAGGACAAAGCCACAACTAACAAGCTAAACAATGTAAAAAATGTCTGAAAGAAGATATTTACCTTTGGAGTATAGTAAAGCACTAGTTTACTGTTGACTTCTGAAGGTTCTCCATCGGCTTTGAACAGAGAAACATTATTGGGACCTGAAGAGAAACAAATACAGCAACTCATTAATGTCTGTGTCCTGCTGGTTTCAATGTTTGATGCAGTTGAAGTCATAATTTTAGCCCTCCTGCATATTTTTTACGCATTTCTAAACATAATAGTTTTACTAACTAATTTCTAGCAACTAATCTCTTTTATCTTTGCCATGATGACTGTACATAATACTTGAGTAGATATTTTCAAGATATTCCGCTTAAAGTGCAATTTAATGGTTTAACTATGTTAATCAGGCAAGTTAGAGTAAAAAATGCAAGTCATTGCATAACAATGCTTTGTTCTGTAAACAAACAAAAAAAAACTGTTTAAGCCTGTTAGCTCTCTGCAACTCTCAAACGGTCGCCAACTGAAGAAAAGCAGATCAGTTACTAAATTGGAGACCACATTGAAAAACAAGGCTCCTGTCGGAAGTGGTGTTAGTGAGACTAATAGGGGGCACTCAGTCTGCAGTCTGTGTAGGTCCTAATGCCCCAGTATATTGATGGTGAGTGTATACTGCTCAGTGAGCCTCGTCTTTCGAATGAGATGTTAAACTAAGGTCCTTACTAAACCAATGTCCTTTTTAAAAAAGGAGTATGGGTTTAACCCCAGCATTCTGGCCAAATTTGCTTACCGGCCTCTGTCCATCATGACCTCTATACCATCCCCTAATAGGCATCATAACTCAGTCTCCTCTCCACCAATAAGCTAGTGGATGCTGCACACTGGTGATAGATGAGGAGATTCCCCAAAAAATGTATAAAGGCTGTCCAGAAAAGTGCTATATAAATGTAAGGAATTATTATTATTATTATTATGGACTAATATTGTCAAATGGTTTTTATTCTAGCCAAAATAAAAACAAGTAAGACTTTCTCTAGAAGGAAAAAATATTATCTGAAATACTGTGAAAGATTCTTTGCTCAGTTAAACATCATTAAGGAAATATATATAAAAAATAATAAATAAAAGTTTAAAAAATAAATCACAGGAGGGTGATTAATTTTGACTTCAGCTGTATGTGCACTATGTGTCTCTTTCATACCCGCAGTGAACAGGGCTCGAGCTTGAGCTGGCTGCAGAGCTTCGTGACAGATGAACGCCGTCGCTAAAAGGCCCCCCAGTGAGGATGGAGAGCCCCAAGCCGTGTCCTGAAGCCCTGCTTGGATGGTGTGGACAGGACTCTCGCGATTCCCACCTGGCCGCCCTCCTGCAGCTGCTGCAAAGGATGCTGGGAAGGACTGTGAACGTAAAAGAGTGGGCGGCCCAGTATGAGCTGCGAATGCCATCTCGGAGGGCGAGTGGGGCGGGTTGGGTAGAGTTGGAGAGGTAGTCATGGTGGTGGTAGTGGTCCGGTGACCAGCTGATCCTATGCAGCAGGATGTGAAAGGCTGAAATGTGGATAGGCAGATCAATAAAGCAAGTTCATTGAAATATATATTAAAAAATCTAATAAAAGCTAAAAGAAAATAAAACGCACCTCATTCAGAGAAGGGAAACGCAGGGGGGCTGTTTTACACTGCACTCCGTCCACATAAACAGTGACCACGTTCTGTCCAAAAGGTCGACGGCCAGGAACGTGAACGATGGCTACTGAGTGCTAGATTGAAGAAAACAAAGGCAGAAAGATAACAATATATAAAAATGTATTTGTACTTAACTATAATTTCTAAACACTTAAAATAAATATAATTATAAAGGTTATAAAATAAAAAATAAAGAAAGAAAAAAATTCAAATGCAAATATTAATCATTAAATATGAATTATCTTTAACTGTCATAAAGTGAATAAATATTTAATGAGTAATTTGAACTTTGAATATTGGTGAATGATGGAATATTTGTTTTTCTGTAACTAATAAATGAACTAAAATGCAAAAACAATTATTTAAAAAATTTAATCAAAAACAATCAAAATCACACAAAAAAATGTATAAAATGCAAAGAATAAAAAACAAAGATTTTTAATGTGCATATAACTTCATGAAATTATTATTTTCCTTTTAGTGTTTTGTTTATACAGTGCTAAGCATATATGATAACATCCCATTTTGAAAATGAATATTTTTATCCATTTCCCAGTGAAAATGGGTAATATATATTGGTTCATTTGGACAAAACAGATTTTTTAAACAGATATATTTATTAAAATAATATTATAGTCACAGATTTAGAAATGAAAAATAATAAATTTAAATTCATGCAAATTATTGCAAAAAAACTTTCAACAAAATTGTTTTATACACTTTTTGTTTCTCTTGATTTTTGCTACTTTTGAAAATTGTATTCAATATTTTACCCTAATATATAAATTTGGGCTACTAATTTCTAAACCATTATTGTAAGTTATTTTGTTAGAATAGCTCCAGATTTGGCCTCAGTACTGACTAATGTAAATGCACAAATATGATATTGTAAAGCATTCAAGAGATTTTTGGGGGGTGTACTCATATACAGTTTAAGTCCGAAATATTAGCCCCCCTGTACAACTTCTGTTTGACGGAGAGAAGATTTTTTTCAACAAATTTCTAAACATAATATTTTTAATAACTCATCTCTATTAACCATGATGACAGTAAATAATATTTGACTAGATATTTTTCAAGACACTTCTGTACAGCTTAACGTGACATTTAAAGGCTTAACTAAGTTAATTAGGTTAACTAGGCAGGTTAGGGTAATTAGGCAATTTATTGTATAATAATGGTTTGTTCTGTAGTCTAACGAAAAAAAAAATTGCTTAAAGGGGCTAAAAGTTTTTGACTCTAACATGATTTTTTTATTTTAATTAAAAACTGCTTTTATTCTAGCTGAAATAAAACAAATAAATTTTCACCTGAAGAAAAATCATTATCAGACATACTGAGAGAGTTTCCTTTGGAAATACTTTCTCTTACGTTTTGATTTTTCTTTGAACAATTTGCAAATCAAAAAATCAATTGACATTTTTTTAAACATAATTTACATATATTATTTAATGTGAATATACATTTGTATCACATAATTATTTTCCTTTTAACAATTTGTATTTTAATGCTCTGTAATTGATATTCTATTGGCAAATAAGAAAATCAAAAAAATTTCAAACCATAAAAAAAACAAAGCTACTATAACATCAAAATATATAAATTACTTTATACTGTACAAGTGAAAATGAACTCTGTATATTACCATCTTTACATTTATTTTAGTGAACAAAGTTATTCACCCATACTTCAACAGATTTTAACATTGCTAAGTTGGAGGGCCTATTGTAAAATGTGCAATTTAACAATGGCATTATAATGTTTGCTAATGCTAATAATCATAATAAATGCTAATGGTAAAGTGCTAGCACAAGCTAATTCTGCAGTAAAAATTTTATGAGAATAAAACGGTTACTGGATTATTTTATTTTTTTATTTTTTTACAAATTTTATTAACCACTGCCTATTTAGCTATATTTCTATAAAATGCAGTGTGTTGTTTAATTTGTTTAATTCATTTGATCTGGACCTATAAAGAAAAGGATACATTTAGAACTAGCTCATTTAGCTTTAAAGCTGTTGTTTTAATTTCATGATGTGTATTGTTTTTCAACTAAAACTTACTGACAACACACAAAAAATGCTGTATTTTTGAGATAAATGCACTTATGCTTTTGTAAATAATGTTACTTTTATCATAACACCATTGTTATTCATAAAATAAGGTGTGTTTGAGAATTCATTTGCAAAAAAAAAACTGCAGTAATTTATTGTTTAAAACAAAGGACTCCAACTCAATTCCTGGAGTGCTGCAGCTCTGCATAGTGTAGGTGCAATCACCTCCAACACACACCTGCTTAATAGTCTCTAGTAGTCTTAAACACCTTGATTAGTTTGATTAGCTGTGTTTGATTAGGGTTTGAGCAAAACTGCAGAGCTGCGGCCCTCAAGGAATTGAGTTTGAGACTTGTTTTTCAAATCAGTAAAGTGTATTATATTATATATTTTAGTATTTACAACCTTGATGTTAATGAATGCTACAGCATACAGTTGTATTAACTATAGTGAACTAAAAAACTCTAATAAATACTGTAGTATACTTTAGTTTTTACTACAGTGAACTGTGGTGTATTGTGGTATAAAATATATTCATTTTGGAGAATTTTGAGGATTAACAGCAGCTAAAATCACCAAAACAGATTAACTCAAGTACTTTACAACAGCATGTTTCAATAACACTATAGTATTTACTTTATTTACTATATTTTCAATTAAACCACACCACAGTTCTATCTTCTCATCTGTGCTTCTCTATTTTTTTAATGCACACCAGGGTTCAAATGGCACTTGTTCAAATGAATCACCATAGTGGAGCAGAGTTCATTTTAATCTATCCAAACAAGCCAAGTGTGAACACACCCTTAGTTTTATACAAGCGCTGTGTCTTTCTGCTGTGTGTAATGTGTGTGTGTGAAGAATGTGTAAATTCACTAACCCAAGCACAGTCATTGAATGGGTGCTCCGGTAAAGAAACGGCCATGTATTCCTTTTTAGTACATACTGCCACCACCAAAACTTCTTCTGTGGTGAAAAACGCCTCAAAGCCAGTTCCGCTTGCTGTAAAGAAACTACACACAGGACACGATACAGCTTTTTAAAAGGTAGACGTTCACTCAAAATAAGTGCAAGATGCTTAAAAGCACAACAAGTTGTCAGTATTCTTCACTAGTTATTACTAGGGCCAGACGGAATCGGTGGACATTTTTTGCTATTTCTGCGCAGAATTTTGTTAAAAATCTGTGGATTTATGAAGAATTGTTTTGGGAATATTAAAACTAAAACCTTAATATATAAAAAATAAAAAGTAATACCCTTTTAACTTGTATTTAATGCTACAATGCAAATCCAATTAGATCCACTTTATTTGGTAAGCAAAGCAAGTCTTCTATATAATATTTCTACTAAAGAGAGAAAAGATGACTTTACAAACTGTAATGTGAATAAATTATATTATTATTTTCAAATTTGTCAATAATATTACTAAAATTAATTTAAAAATGGAATAAATATAGATTTACACACATTTAGACAAGTAAATAAACAGAATCAATGATGGGCAAGAAATCTGCGGAATTCTGCGCTCGCAGATTCGGTGTGGGCCTAGTTATTACTGCAATTCATAACAAGGCCCCAGCAATATTCGTACTGAATATTTGTACTCGCATTGATATTGAATATTCGCTCACAATGAATTTATATACAATATTAAATTAAGCAACAGTAAAACTGCTGTGTGTCTTATTTTAAAAAGTAATATATTACAATTGAACAATTACTTGCAAATTGTAATCTGATTACATTACCAAGTACTGCATGTAAAAAGTAATCAGATTACTTATTACATTAAGAAATCACAACTAGGACCCAGCAACATATTGAACATTCCCTACTTGTTCACTATGATTTTATTTACAATTTTAAATTAAACAACAATACTGCAGTCAGTGTGGCTTATAGTAAGTTACACAAAAAAGTAATAAATTACGACAATTTACTACTTGAATTGTATTGAATTGAATGGTAATCTGATTACATTACTTAGTGCTGTTTGTAAAATGTAATCAGATTACTAATGACTTTACTATAATTCACAATTAGGCCCCAGCAACAAACTACATATTTACTAATCGCTCACTATGATTTGATTTAGAATATAAAATTAAGCAACAATAATACAGCAGTCAGTATGGGTTAAGTTACTCAAAAAAGTAAAAGATTACAAATGACCAATTACTAAGTGCAAATTGTGATCTGATTTCATTACTAATTAATGCATAAAACTAAAATGTCAAAATGGTAGTTCTTTTGTTAGTTTTAATATTGACCGAAAAATATTACAAAAGGTTGCATCACTTTATTCACATTCTTCTTTATTATTTTAAGACATTTAACAATCAATGAGACTCAGCATTGGAACAATATATTTCTAAACAGATCCAGTGATGCGTTTCTTGCATTGAGATTCATACAAGCACATTTCAGACGGTTCGCAAGGGTACTGTGTAACACATTATTAACCCTGATTGCAATTAATTTTTGTTTAAATATAAAGTTTTGTGATTTTTCTTTGTGGCCATGAAAGGTACGACAAGATATTTTAATGCCATCTCTGATTTAAACCCCAGAGGTAAAACTGTGAGTTATATTTATGTGCTAAAATGAATGTACAAATAATCAAATACTATCGATGCATATATAAACACAAATTTAAATATTACTGTACATAATGTTGATGTTGTGTTGCGTAATCCCACCTTTCTTAAACACAAAAGATCATTTTAGTTCATTAAACAGTTTGTACTATTAAAACTACAACAGTAACATTTGTGTTTAGTACAGTGTTAGATTTTTTTTTAAATTGACATAACAATTATTTTGCCAAGTTTGTGTGACACTGAGGACACTTTGCCATTACATTTCTGAATTACATTTTAAAATAAAAATCTGATCAAATAAATGCAGAGTGTAACAGACCATATATCTCAAATATGGCACAAATACTTAAAATCATCAAAAAACATACAGCTTTTATTTAGATTTTTGAATGCACTGAAAAACTCATTTTATTTTTTTATTCATAGCCTTTGCTCCCTTAACCACAAGTTTTACCTGTATGTCAGCAAGAAGGTTTAAATCATGAAACATTTTTAAGTAAATTTGTATGATCATCACCTATTTTAAAATATATCCCAGTCATAATAAGTAGTTTTATCATCTGACAGATAATCACTTGTTCGGGAATGTCTGGAGCACTCAACCACCATAGAAGGTTCATGGACAAAATACAAATATAGTAAAAATAGGGGACTCCAGCAACACTAGTGATAAAAGAAGAACATTTTAATGAAATAGAATAAATTTAAATGAATTAAATGCCTTCCTCAAGGCAATATTTTAACAATACCTGTCTGACAAAATTATTTGAAGCTTAAAACTACTCTAGCATTCAAAAACTTCATACTAACTAGCATAAACTAGCATAAAAATCCCTTTGTATTTAATTTAAAATTGTATTTAATGCGGACACCAAATATAGTGTGTGTGTGATTTTGTCAAATAGGGTAATATTCCGTATTAACATTTATGTTGAATCTCAAACACCATTTCTGTTAGAAAATGTAATCCACATAAAATATCTAGCCCTAAACCTAACCTAACTGAAAATCATTTCCAAAATCAGTCAAATTGATAGTTGAATAACAATTATGTAGAAACACAAAGCCCTAACTGCAAGCCTAAACTTAATATAAACTGTAAACCTATCAGGCAACGTGATCTGGAATTTGCTGAGTTTTATTTCAGTATGTTGATGTACTTCCAACTGAAACTGAATATTTAGTAGGGGTGGGGCTTTCTTTTGTCAGTCATTCTCATATCAAACTAATTTAAGAGCAGTGTGGCTAAGGATAGTCTTCTAGGAGCTATGAAAACCCTCAGGTTGACGTCAAGGACCATGTCCAAAAGCGCAAGCAAATGGTCAGACTTTGTTATAAGATTACCAAAAAGCATTTTTCCCCGGTGGATTAACTTGCACAGATTAATAATTACCTTAAGAATAACAATGTGAACAACTGAAACAAGCATAGAATTGTTTGATTTCACACAGACCTTAAATCTGATTTAGATTAACGTTCCAGGATCAACACAGATAGATGTTGATCCAGTAGCATGTCCTACTTGGTGAAACCTTCAAACAGTCAAATCAACTTTGGATATCTATGGCTAAACTAGTATAATAAATAGTAAATATACATTTTTATTTGAAAAACTGTATTTTTTATTAAAAAAAAATTCAGAACAAACCTGTAGAGCTGTTTCCTGCGTGGTCCTTTAGCCATGCGGACAGTATTATCCATGTTTGTCAGGTGTGATTCAGAGTAGTGGTGCTGTGGCGGAGGAAAGTCTGTGTTGAGGCACAGCCAAGCATGGAAAGCAAACGCGCTCCCTGGCCAGCGTTGTATTGCTGGCACCATGATACCCGCCATAGGGGGCGTAAGGTCAAAATACTGCAAGGCGCTGCAACCACCCTCCCCACGTGCAGCCATGGCAGAAAGCACCCTCACCACCCGACCGCAGTACGGATGCGGAGGAGCCCCGGGTTCAGTCCGCAAGAGCTTCAGCAGGCTCTTGAGCTCGCAGGGTCGTAGAGAAAGCGAGCCCAAATCTTGTAGCAAACCCAGGAGAGAGTCTGCACACTGCCGGTCCAGCCGCTCCGGGGGTTCTGACAGCACCTCCAGAAGGGAACCCACCAAACCAGCTTCAACCGAAACCGTGCGGCAGGACAGAGTGCCCCGACATACAGCCGCCAGCCACTGAGAAACCAGCAGCTGCAGAGAGCGAGAGCCCAGATCTGGCAACCACTGCAGCAGCAGAAGCAGAGGCTGTTCATTACTGATGCCCAACTGCATGGCCTGAGAATGCTCTCCTTCAACAGCCTGAAGAAAAACAACAACATGCAGAAGAAAACGTGAGGACACTGTACACTAGTCAACATTGGAAGTTTATCAAAAAGTTTTCCTACAGCAAAACTAGAATCAACTACTTTGATGAAAGGTGGAAATCCACTTCAAATGTTGACTAGTGTAAACTGAAAATATTATATGATTATTAAGCAGTGTTGGGAAAATTACTTTTAAAACAAATTTATTTTGCTTATCTTAACCTTAAAAAGAAACACTCGCAAAAATTTCACAACATAATTTTCCATTACTTTCCATAAAAGTTAAATATGTAACACAGTTAGTTACTATTTTTTTTAAGTGACTCAAGATTTTAATATTTGACTTTTAAAAGTAACTTAACCCAACAGTTAACTTAACCCAAGTTCATCAGGTTTCCAACTTAACTTTTTAAATTATAGTTCACCCAAAAAGAAAATTCTGTCATTATTTACTCTTTCTTTACCCTTATGAGTTTCTTTCTTCTGCTGAACACAAAGAAAGATAATTTGAAGAAAGCTGACACCATGCAAACATTGACTTCTATAGTAGGAAAAACAAATACAATGGAGGTCAGTGATTACAAGTTGAGCGGGAAACACCAAAAGTGGGAGTAAATAGTAAGTAAATATTTATTGATGGGGGAACTATCCTTTCAAATCAGTTTAATGTAATTTAAGTAAAAATTACCCAGAAGGTTAATTTGTTTCAACTTACATAATATTATTATACAAACAAGTAAAAATATCAAATATCCCATAATTTCTAAAAACAAGCATGTTATCACATTTTATCATATTTACTTACACCTAAACCAAATACACTATACATATACAGTATATACACACAGTTAAAGTCAGAATTATTAAACCCCCTGAATGATTCGCCCCCAATTACTGTTTAATGGAGAAAAGATTTTTTTCAACACATTTCTAAACATAATAGTTTTCATTTCATTTTCACTCATTTCTAATAACTGATTTATGTTATCTTTGCCATGATGACAGTAAATCATTTTTGAATAGATATTTTCAAGACATTTTCTATACAGCTTAAAGTGACATTTAAAGGCTTAACTAGGTTAATTAGGTTAACTAGGCAGGTTAGGGTAATTAGGCTCGGTCTTGTATAATGATGGTTTGTTCTGTAGACTAACAAAATATATATATAGCTCAAAAGAGCTGATGATTTTGACTTTAAAATGTTTTTTAAAAATTAAAAACTGCTTTTATTCTAGCTGAAATAAAACAAATAAGACTTTTACCAGAAGAAAAAATATTATTTGAAACATTATTTGGGAAATATTTTAAATAAATAAATAAATAAACGTGGTTTAATAGCTCTAATTTTAACTGTATATATATATATATATATATATATATATATATATTATTCATTCTTATTTTAACTGTAATGTAAGAAATATCTTTTTTACCCAATCAGTGTGCAAGGGTTATCTGACTAAATGCCAGAAGGGAAGAAAATTAAGTTCACTCACCATGTTCATCAGCTCCTGCAATAGTCTTTTGGTGGGCTGCCCTTGACTTTTCAACACATCGAACAACTGTGAGTAACCGATCCGTTCTTTGAAGACCTCCTGGGAAGACGAACCAAGCCACACAACAATTACATTACAAATAAATACAATGCTTTAAACTTAAATAGTGTTCTAGCGCCCTCTTCCCCAAAACCCAAACACAAAAGGTAAAAACTTCATAGAACCATTTTCACAATTTTAATATAAGAGGATGTTGATCAAATTTATACTTTCAAGAGAGTTTAACTAAAATTGACATTTGGTCATCATTTACTTAACCCTTGTTTATTGTTCATATCTACTACACTTTCGTAATGTTAGTTGCACTTTTTGCCCCATTGACTTTTTTGATTGCAAAGCCTATATCTCCTGCGTTACATCAGAAAAACAGCAGTCAGTGAAAGAGACAGACATGGATGAAGCAAAAATCCAGCTCATTAGTCAAAAATAACAAGTCTATTTGACGTATTTGTGGTGGAGCTTATTCAAGCCTTTCTGAAACGATGAGTCACACACAAATGCAGTTACAAAGTTTACAGTACACACACATTTACTGACACTATTCAGCTGTGGTGATTCCAGCGGTTAGGAATTACAAAGCTATTTTACATTGTTTATTACAAACACGCACTTTTTAAAATAACGCTTTAAACTAGTAAAACTCCTTCTTGAGGTGCAGCTTATCATGGATCAGTGGAACAGATCTTTTATTCCCAGTTTCTCCGCAAATTTTGTTCTGTGGACATGTGTATATGCCTTTCTGCAGAGACATGTCAATATGTGCCTGTCATTTATTTTGGTGGGCGAGGAAAACTGCACTCCTACATTTCGTTGTGGTGGGCCTCAAAGTCCCTGGGATTTGGATCTTATTTTAATGTAAGGAAATTTTAAAAACAGACTTGCGTTTATATTACTCCAATATGACTGTGGACACACTATACCTACAAACAGTTCAGCTTGAACAGCTTCCAAAAGTTGATTTAAAAAGTTCAGTCTGCAGTGTAAACAGGCCACCCAGAGTATTTACTGGAACAGTGTGGCATAAAAAACAAACAAATAATAAAACAAAGTCATAAAATTTCATGGATGGCCACAATATAAGGCAAGCTTTGAAAAGGGGGCGGTGCTAAAGTGTAGGTCAGCACAAATTATAACTGACCCAATAGCAAAAACTTTAGCCAATAAAAACAGTGTTTGTACATACACAAGCACCAGCAAAACAGCCTGTTTAATTGTAACAAATAATATGAAAAATTACATTATGACTGTTTTTGGTACATGAAAACTTAACTAACATGATCAATTGAGAAAAAAAAAAAAGTGATCATGGCATTTCTTATAAGTAAATACCATAAAATGAAGGAGGAAGTGAATGTTGTAACGTTACCGCAGCTGACCTGCTTCTGCAGCACCACATCATGCTGATAAGATTAACCACACACGCATAAGGGGCACATATATCATACGCAAGCACTTTGACTTATCACACTGATAAGACCAGAGACGTCTGCTGGCTGACCTTTTCAAGCCTTCAGGAGAAACATATATATGAGGAGCAAGAGGAGAGAAGGTGTGAGAAAGAGACAATGGAGGCATCTCATACCTTAGCAGAGGGAGAGTTACTCATGATGGCGGTCAGGACTCGAATGGCGTGGACTGTGATGCAGTCAGAGCCCTTTTCCCACACCTACACACACACACATACAAACAAAATATGTCATTTAAACATACAAGTATTAAAGTATTAGTTCCCCCAGGAGTTTTATTTAAAGGATAGTTCATCCCAAAAAAAATGAAAATTGGATGTTATTATACTCATACTCAGATTTTTATGATTTACTTTTAAAAAAGAGACTATTTGGATATAGCTTAGTAAATTGTCAGGACTTTATCTACTTTATCATACTGTTAATGAGTAAATGAATAAACAAACAAATGAATAAATGAATAAATAAACAAAGTACTCAGCATAAATGAATACACCACCTTTTGAAAAGTTATATTTGTATAAATTTCTCTCTAAAAATAGGCAATAAATGTTGGTGCATTAAAAAAAACTGTTTTATTGAAGAGTAATAAAACAAAAAAAGTTTTATTAAACAGCTATATCTATTAAAATAAGAGCTCAGTCACCTAAAATCTTTAGTACCACAAAGACAATTGAAAAATTCAAAGGAGTTACTGCTATTTATTGCTATTAATTTAACTATTTACAGTTTACAGTATACTACTATACATTAATACTGATGATATTACAAATAATGTTTCTTGTAAAAATGATAATATTGCTCAATAAGAGCTTTAAGGGATAGTTCACATCAAAATTCTGTCACATTTACTCTCACTTTTCTTTTCTATAATTAAAACTCTAAAGAATATATTTAAAAAAGAGATGAAAACCTGTAACCATTGACTTCCATAGTATTGGTTTCTTTCGTACAATGGTAGTTTCATTTTTGCAATGGTAGTCAATGGTATCAGGTTTTCAGGTATCTTCTGAGTGACTAAATAGTGAGTACATTTGAATTTTTCAGTGAACAACCCCTTTAGGTTATTGTCAGGATATGCATTATGAATTTAGTTTTGCTTGTATATATTTTAAAGCGCCACTTTATGAATCACCAAGTTTTAGCTCAAAGTCTTTGCTATTGCTACACCCAAAAAAAAAAAACACCTATCCTACATCTTGGAAGGTCTGAGGTAGAGTACATTAACAATACAATACATTTTTGGGTGAAGTTTCACTTTTTAAAAGAATTGTTTGAAGAACCAGTAATGTTTAATTATAAAATGTCTGAATAAAACAGACATTAGCGTCACAAATTTGACCCTGGACCACAAAAAAAAAAAAAAAAAAAAAAACAAGTCTTAAGTTGGTCATATGTGTAGGAATACTCAAAAAATATATATATATTTTTTTTTTCTTTTATGCCAAAATTCTTACATTTTTTAGCAAATATCTTCTTCTAAGAAGACACTTTCTTCCGTAAATATATATATATATATATATATATATATATATATATATATATATATATATATATATATATATATATATATATATATATCTAAAAACATTTTTTATTAGTAACAAGCTTAATTTTTTTTACTTTTCTCAATATTTAACATTTTTTGAACCCTCCAATTCAACATTTTTAAATCAATCAACCCATTATCCTATCCTAATAAAGTATCAGTGGAAACTTATCTATTTTCCAAAAAATGGTCCCTTATGGCTTGTTCTGGCATAGTGGTTCAGGGTCACAATTAAGACTTAAAATATACTGAATATTTCAAGTAATACAAATATTTATAATACCTTTATTTAAGTTGACAGAAATGGACATCATATACTGTATGTTGTCTGAGCTGCAAAGATTTTTCCTTTTGTTTCCACAAGAAAACCCAACAGAATGGGGGTTTGAATGACATTAAAATGAATCATGATATACATTACTGTTCAAAAGCATCTGTAAGATATTTTTGTAAATACGTTTTTGATCAAATTAATACTTTCATTCACCAAGGGTGATGTAAATTTCACCAAAAAATAAAAACTCTTACCATTACTCACATTTCACTGGTTTCAAACCAGTTTGTCATTATTCTGCTAATCACAAAATAAGATGTTTTGAAGAACGTTAGTAAGCAGTTGATGGTGCCCATTGACTTTAGTTGACATAGTATATTGTTTTTCCTACTATGGGAATCAATCGGTAAATGGTTACTAGCATTCTTTAAAATATCTTCTTTTATGTTTAAAAGAAAAAACACACTTGAAAAATTTTGCTTGTAAGAAAATGGAGGACAAGTTGGATTTTGGGTTGAACTAGCCTTTTACATTGATTAAATGTGACTTTTATGTAGTTATCATTTTGCTTGTTTTCCACAAAAATATTATTAATATTGATAATAATCATATAAAATGCTTCTTGAGCAGCAAATCAGCATATTAAAATGATTTCTAAAGGATCGTGTCACACTAAAGAGTAATGGGAAAAGAAATCACAGGCAAAACATTTTTTGTTTTTACAAAACATTTAATGAAAATTGAAGTATTTGATTATTAAAACAATTATTTGACATGATTAAATATTGAACAATACCATAACTGTATTTTTGATCAAACTACTAAAGCCTAAGACAGCTCTTTAGAAACTTTTTGAACAGTAGTGAAACCATTTTTGTTTGAAATATTCTTTTTAATTAAAGAGTTTCGGAGTGCAGCACACAAGGAGGATATATTAATGAATTATGAAGATTCCTCCCTGAAGTGCAGGACTTTATGAAAAACATGGCCTGAATACAAAGTACTGTTAAAGAAAAGAAACAGTTCAAAACATCCAACAGTAAATCAGTTTTCTCACTTTTAAACGTGAAATATTCACCACCCCTCCACCACAAAAATCCCACCATACACCACCATACGAAACAAACACCATGAGTTCCACCCACAGGACCACAACCGGGTGAGACATGCAAGACTCTAGAAACACTAAGCAAGACTACAGGCAAGATGACACGTTTATGCAAGAACAGCACTTTACGGCACACACACACACACGCACGCACGCATGCATGCATGCACACACACAAACAAACAAACACACAGCAGGATCCTCACCCTCCAACTCTGTGTCTGACACTGCATTAACATTCAGGCTGTACCATCAGACGATTATAGTTTTCATATTCATCTCAACTAAAATTCATGCTTAACTAAAAACTGTTTTTTATAGAAATGAAGCTGAAATAAGATTTGAATATCGATATTAGAAGTAAAATGTTATTTACAAATGTGCATCTTTAAGTTTAGATGACACTAAAATACTAACTCTGATGTAAAATTATAAAGAAGAATATAAAGAAAACCAATACAAATGATTAAACTACCAATAAATAAATAAATAAATAAATAAATAAAAATAAATCAAATCAAAATATGGAGTCAATTCAAATTGATTATAAAAATGGTCACACTTTTTAATAAGGTTCCATTAGTTAATGTCAGTATGTACAGTTAATTGTTTATGTTAGAATAAACAGTACATGAACTAAAGTAAACTTATTATAAAGTTTGACCAAAAAAAAAACAAAAAAAAAAACTATACAAATATTTTAAAAACTGGCATTTTTGAGCACAAAGGAAGTTGAAAGTGAACATGCCCTGGGGTGGGACAGGTTAATCTCCAGCTAAAACTGTTTCAAAAAGCTTTTTGGAAAATCTTTGACAACTGCATGCATTCCACTTTTATGACATCAAGAAGTATTTATACTACACTATACCAATACAATACCATCATCTTTATTTTTATTATGTAAAAAAATCATATTTAACAAAAGAAGATTGATGTTACTTTCACATCATTATTTTGATGTTTTTTATTGTCTTTCGTATAAGACGTTTGAGGTCTGAGGTTCTCACTCTCTGTGGTCATTAAAAATCCAAGGATGCCCTTCGAAAAAGAGCAGAAGTTTAATGCTGGCATCCTGAACAAATTTTTCCATTGCCCCCTGTCCATCATGGCCTCCTAACCATCCCCAAATTCTAATTGGTTTCATCACTCGATCTCCTTTCCACCATCAGCTGGTGTGTGGTGTGCAGGAGAGTCCCTTCAAAATATGTAAAGTGCCATAATAATAATAATAATAATAATAATAATAATAATAATAATAATAATAATAATAATAATAATAATAATAATAATAATTTATATTGGTTTTATCTGTCTAGCCCTCCTGTAATGCAGAAATAAATGGAATTTGACATTTTTTATTTTCAGTTAATATTGTAACTTTGTAATATTAAAAGGTTGGGCTAGTTTGGTAACAGCTAGTCTGTGCTTTCTGTGTTTTTACATTTTTTAAAAATATAAATAAAAAACTATGCATATATGAATGTAAAAATAGTTAAAATAGACCACACTAAAATAGTTCCACACTAACACATTTACTTAAAAAAACTGATTTTATTTAGACAATTAACAAACCCATTCTTGTGTTAATTCAAATTTTAATTAAAAGTATGTATTCTTGTTTTAATAAAAAAAAAACTATCCAAATCTTAAGAATATATTTTCAAACGACATTAAATTACTCTAGAGGATTTGACGTTCAATTAAAGCTACAGTTGAAGTCAGAATTACTAGCCCCTCTAGTTATTTTCTTTTTTTTTCTTTTTTAAATATTTCCTAAATGATGTTTAACAGAGCAATGAAATTTTCACAGTATGTCTATTATTTTTTTTTCTACTGGATAAAGTCTTATTTATTTTATTTCAGCTAGAATAAAAGCAGCTTTAATTAAAAAAAAAAAAACATTAAGGACAAAATTATTAGCCCCTTTAAGCTATATTGTTTTTCTATAGTCTACAAAACAAACTATCATTATACAATAACTTGTCTAATTACCCTAACCTGCCTAGTAAACCTAATTAGCCTAGTTAAGCCTTTAAATGTCACTTTAGGCTGTATAAAAGGGTCTTGAAAAATAACAAGTCAAATCTCATTTCCTGTCATCATGGCAAAGATCAAATGTGTTGAAAAAAATAATTCTAATAGAAATAATTCTAATTCTAATAATTCTAATAATCTAATAACCCTAAAATATTAATTCATGGTATCAACTACAGTACCATTAGCATATCATGGCATTTTATGGCGTCCATTCAAATACCAAAATACTATGATAAAAGCATAATATTTCAACATTATTTTCAACAAGTTAACCGTGTAGTCATGTGTTCTAGATATTTTGCTACCATAGAATCCCCCAAACTAGAATCTGCAGTTGCTCAGTCAGCAGTAGTCAGAGCGTGTATTGAAGTGTGTGCGAGTGGAGGGTGAGCTTCCTGCTGACGAATTACACACACACTGATCAGCGGTGAAGGGAAAGTACCTGCTCCACTTCAGACTCTGTGAGCAAGCGTGTAGTGAGGTCACACTGGCCCTCACACTCCAACTTAAACCTGTTACTCTGATAAAGCTGCAGGACGAACACATGTTCACACAAACACATTGTCACAAAACAGCAGTCTGTGAGGTCAAACGAGCAAGCAGAAACTCAACTCACTGACAGATAAAGCAAGAAAATATATGATGAAACCGAAAAGCTCTTCACAATTGTCATTATTACTCAATATGATGCTTGGTTACACATTCAGAAACCACCGTTTACCCAAAAGCCACTGTGATCACATACGTATGATGCAGCAGATGTATATTTCATCACAGGATGGAAACACTATGAACAATTATTATTCATCGATTTGACGCAGTGACATATAGGGCCCTATCATACACCCGGCGCAATGTGGCACAAGGCGCGGCGCAATAGTCTTTTGCTACTTTCAGCTCGGCGCAAGGATCATTTTGAGGTGTTGCGCCACACTGTTTAAATAGCAAATGCATTTGCGCTTAAATGTGCGCCCATAGGCGTTCTGGTCTAAAAAAGCAGGCGTGTTTTGGCACGTTGCTATTTTGAGAAACTGTAAATAGTCTGTTCTTTAGGCCAGAACAAAGTCGGTCTATTGTCTGGCGCAAAGTGCGCCTGGCTTACACACTACACACAAGATATGCAAATATCTTTACATATGAAAAAGATATAATATATTAAGTATATATATATATATATATATATATATATATATATATATATATATATATATATATATATATATATAATAAGGATATATATATAGGATATAAATATAAATTATTAAAATATCACAAAATATATTAATTTCTAGCCTACATGAATTTAAAAACCACTGCCTTACTTTCTTCATCTCGGGAGGCTTTTTCAGTTCATTCAATTTGCTTTTGTATAATGATATTATTGTTAGTAGTATTATTTATTAGATCCATATTTATATTTGTTTTATTAAAAACAAGTTTAGATGTGTCCACCTGTCAGGTTTTACACGATATGGGGCATGGCAGGTGTATTTGGAAATAACTCAGTATTTTGACCACATTTGGTTATTCTTGTTCATTTATTTGTTTGCTGGAAAATAGAACTGAATTTAGTTTTAGTTTTGAAACATATCTTTGTGCTTAACAAACGAAATTAATTATTTATAGGCTAATTAATGTCTGTGCGGTAAGGTTTCCCTATCCACGAGAGCAAAAGCGAAAGTGAACTTACTTTACGTCAAACTGCGTTATGGCGCGACGCAGCTGGCTCTTAAAGGTAATGGGAGATGAGACTCTGATTGGTTTATTCTCAAAACACACCTATTTTTTATACCTCATTAAGAAAATAAACTCAACCCTTTTAGACCATGCGCCATGGCGCAAATAGGATTTTCCCATCCTTAAGTTAGCAAAAATGCGTTCTGACACGCCCTGAAAGCGTTTCCGCCCTGCGTTTTGACATGGACTGTCAAAATAGAGCCCATAGAATGTCTTCTTGTTTGTTTCAATCTATCAGTTAAATACTGAGCCAGCTGAATATTGAATAAGTTCCCCAATGTCTATAATTAAGGAGTTTCGAAAGTATGTTCCAAGTTTGATTTAAAAAATGTGTACAGGTATTTATGCAACTGAAAAATATGTCATACATTTTTAAGAACATTTTAAATGTGTTCACACTTGTAATTCTGTTCTCTTGGTATACTTGTACACAATTAATATTATACATTCAGTTCTACACTGTGCAACATCCGTAAATTAGCAGTTATCCATATTTGGTGATTTATGTTGTCATTTCTCATTTTTTCACATTTGTTTATGCTTTTGAATTCCATTAAGGGACTTTAATGTTTCTTCCAACTACTTTTAACCTTGAAAAGTGACTTTAATGAAGATTTAAATGTAAAAAGATTTAAAAAGTAAACTGCCAGTACATTTTCTGTCTCTCTGTTTTTCTCTACACTGAAAAAAAATGAGTTCTGCAAAACTGTTGCAAACAGTTTATATTTGTTGATTTTAAACATACAAGTTAAATTTGTAATGTTTAACTTAATTTGTTTGGTTAAATTTAGATCAAATAAATTGTTTACAACTACTTAACTTAAAAACATTTAGTAAATCTAACGAGTCATGTGCGACACCTCCACATAAAAGACTGTTACAGCGGTTTCACAATGCATGAGCGGCCAACAACCAGACCATGAGCAGAGCAGCGCATCAACGTCAAGCAGGAGCGGTGCATGAGGTGCGTGGGTACGCTTTTTTATTTTTTTTTCTGCGCACATGCTCAGTTTGCGTTTTGATTAAACTACATTGCTACCATCAGCGTTGGTTCGGTCACTCTTAATAAATACACTTGGATTTAAAGTAAATCGATCTCAAAGTATTTACTGGAGCACTGGTGAATTTTACTGGGTCACGTGCCCCTAGCGACGTCCCTTGCTCTTACTGCAATTTTTCTAGAAACAATATCTTTTACTTGCCTAAGCCACATACCAACTTTTTAGTTATCAGAAAACACTTTAACTTGAATGCAGAATACATTTAAAAGTAATCTCTGGATGAAAGCATTACATATCTGAGGTTCAGATTAGTGAGCTCACATATGCAGTAGTCTGCTTTGTGTCTTTCAGAACAAACATCAACAGATCACCACATTTCCATTATGAACTGTGAGACTTATTTAAATTCTCAAGACTAATAAACCTGCATGTTTCTCATTGGTTTTAGAACAGCATCATTCTTACCTTGCTGTTCTGGATGAGGCGTAGGATGTGCTCAAAGCAGTTGTTATTAAGAAAGATGGCCTGCAACACCGGCCGGTCTGAACATTGGAGGATCTCAGGGATGGCATCTGCAAGGCAAAAACACAAGAACATTCAGTCGTTTTGACCTGTGCCTTCTGGAGAGATAAAATTGTAAGCACTGGGTCATCTGATTTGCTCATGGAGATGAAATGACACACATTTAGCAACTTCTCCATTTAAATAGTTTTCAGAGAGTTGGCTACAATTACAAATCAAAACTACTGTAAAAGGGTTGGAAGTTCAACACCAAACACAGTATTCATGCCTAAATGAATTACTTCAATTATAAATTATAAATAAGTATTGTAATGCAAACTTGTCTTGACTTTAATATGTTCATGCTGATCAACAGTATAAGACTTTGCATAATTTGCCTCCACATTATCAGCCTATACTCCTAGCCGTTATCTCCGATTCTAAGATTATGGTAATTTAATAGTACTCCCTAGTTGCTTAAGTTTTATGGGTGATCAAGCCTTTTCTTATTCTGCACCAAAACTCAGGAATTCTCTCCCAATGAAGAATCTTCAAATCTGTTCTTAAACCTTTTTTTTTTTTTGCACTTAATGAATTTTAGGTGGGCGTCACGGTGGCAAAGTGGATAGCATGATTGCCTCACAGCAAAACATTCTCTGGTTCAAGCCCCAGCTGGGTGAGTTGGCATTTCTGTGTGGAGTTTGCATGTTTTCCCCGCATCAGCTTGGGTTTTCTCCGGGTGCTCCCGTTTCCCCCGCAGTCCAACAACATGCGATATGGGTGAATTGGGTAAGCTAAATTGTTCGAAAGTTGGCGGTGCATTAAGCTGTGGTGACCACAGATTGACAAAGAGACTTAGCCAAAAAGAACATGAATAATAATAATAATAATAATAATAATAATAATAATAATAATAATGTTTTCTTAATAGTATTTATTTCATTAAAAAATATTGTTGGTGTTGACATACACAATGTAAAGTAATAACAATACTAATACTACTACTAATAATAGTAATAATAATAACAACAACAACAACAACAAAAACAACAACAATAATAATAAACATGTTGATTATTATATTAACAACAACCCAAATTATTCTTATTAAAATAATAATAATAATAATAATAATAATAATAATAATAATAATAATAATAATAATAATAATTATTATTATTATTATTATTATTATTATTATTATTATTATTATTGTGATTACTATTATTTAACTTTGTTTATTTAAAATTTTAAAATTTTATTTTATTATTTAAATTTGTTAGAGTTGACATACAATGTCAAGTATTTTTTCTTGTTGCAAAATTCTAGTTATTCTAGTTACAATTAGATAATGTAACATCACACTGACTACATTAAATGCTCTGGAAGACAGTGACAGATACATCTTAAAAAATGGTTTTATATTTTAAAAGTTTACCCAAAATTAAAACAAGCTTACCATTTATTTAAAAAAAACATTTGAAATTTCAAATTGCGCTCACATCCAAAGAGGAACAAATAATTGAAGGGAGACAATAGCTACCAGTTTTTAACATAACTTCCTTTGTGTTCAACAGAAGAAAGAAACCCTACAGGTTTGGATTTTCTTTAATTCTACTAAAGTCCTAACATTGAGAGATATAGATATTTGGTTTTACAATGATTCTTTCACTACAAGACCAAAAAAAACTTGTTCACAGGAAACAACCTCTAAGATCAAACCACAAACATGTTTTTCTTTCCCTCGTCTCCATATAAAGGTTAACATCAAACGTTAAATCGGTATTGATGTGCTTTTGAAATAAAAAACCAAGACATGGATCTAGATCTACTCTGATAAAGATCTAGACACATCATGTAAGCTATGGCAGAAAAAGCAAACATCTCTTCAGAACTTAATAACCTCAAATACAAAAGACTGTCTATATAGCATGCAGCTTATTAACAAAGCAAACAAGGCAGAGCAAACACAACATTATATTTTGTATGATTGGCTTAATGAAAGGACGGTATTCAAATATCAGCAGTCTTTCAAGGTTGTAAATTCTATGATAAATCAATGGCTGAACAATAAACATCAAACTACACTGGCTTCAGACACACTTTTCTTTTAAGCAGCTGAATTAATGATGCAAATTAAAGAGATAATTTCAGATGTGGCTAATTAACTAGAAGCAAGAAATTTGGAGGTGTTATGATGCACTGTAAAAGAAGTTAATTAATTAATGGTTTCCTGTATCTTGTATCTTATCTGTCTCGAACTCAATTTCAGGAAGGCCACAGCTCTGAAGATTTTAGCTGCAACCACGTTCAGATCACACTTGTTTAATAGTCTCTAGTCTTGAACACCTTGATTTTTTAGATCAGCTGTGTTTGATTAGGGTTGGTGCAGAAACTGTGCAGAGCTGCGGCCCTCCAGGAATCCAGTTTGAGATCCATGGGTTAATGTATTTAAATTGCATTATTAGGCCTTGATCTCGAATTTGACATATTTTAATGTTTGTAATTTAACAAAGTGAGTCTTAAATGCATTTTTAGCAGTTGCTGTTTGACAAATACTCTTAAATGCTGTACCTTTCATAAATCCCATAATGCTATAAAAAAAAATGGAACTCAGGAAATAATACTCATTAATATAATATGCATTACGTAATAACAATAATAAAAATAATATATAATTATTATTGTTATTACGTAATGCATATTATATCAATGAGTATGAGTACATATATATATATATATATATATATATATATATATATATATATATATATATATATATATATATATATATATATATAATAGATTATTATACATAGTATACAGTATATTTATTATATACTGTACAGTATATTTATATACAGTATATAGTGCGGGGCAGGAATTAAATCGCGCTAAATCAAGTCCAAAACAAAAGTTTGTTTTGACATTAAGCATGTGTACACTTTATATTTATTATGCATATATAAATACACACAGGTATGCATATATTTTATTTTATTTATATTATTTATATTCTGATATATACAGTTAACATAGAGTTAGTAGCCCCCCCTTTTTTCTTTTTTAAATATTTCCTAAATGGTGTTTATGAGAGCAAAGAAATTTTCACAGTATGTCTGATATTATTTTGTCTTCTGGAGAAAGTCTTATTTGTTTTATTTCGGCTATAATAAAAGCAGTTGTAAATTTTTTAAATAACATTTTAAGGACAAAATTATTAGCCCCTTTAAGTTATATATTTTTTTGACTGTCTACAGAACAAACCATTGTTATATAATAACTTGCCCAATTACCCAGACCTGCCTAGTTAACCTAATTACCCCAGTTAAGCCTTTAAATGCCACTTTAAGCTGTTTAAAAGTGTCTTGAAAAAGGTGAATTGTCAGTAGTGTATGAGTGTGAATTAGTGTGAATGGAAGTTTACCAGGGATGGGTTGCAGCTGGAAGGGAAATGAATGAATGAATATATAAATAAATGATAAAGATAAAATAAATCAGTTTTTAGAGATGAGTTATTAAAAATATTATGTTTAGAAATGTGTTGAAAAAAATCCTCTCTCTGCTAAACAGAAATTGGGGAAAAGAAAAAAACAGGGGGGCTATTAATTTAGGGGGTTTAATAATATATATATATATATATATATATATATATATATATATATATATATATATATATATATATATATATATATATATATATATATATATATATATATATATGAATGATACAAATTATTTATAAATTTATAAATAATAATAAATAGATATTAAAAGTAAATATAAATAAATATTAAAAATATATCTAACACACAAAAATATTATGACAATGTATGTATGTGATGAACTGGGATTAATCTTTGGCCAGCCCCTATTCATTTATTTATTTATTGTTTTAGTGTGTACTGACAAACAAGCTTTCTTTTCAAACAGAAATATTCAATGCGAGTTGGAGAGGAACTGTGGTGAAATGGGAACCACCCAGAAAAAAAAACAATAGGTGCTTCAAATGAGTCAAAGTAGAAAACCAAAGACTAGTCAGAACTAGCTAACTGCTGCCTAAAATATTTAATGTTTAAGAAAAAATTAATAAACAAACACACACGCATGCACACAAACATCTCCAGAACTTGCTTAAATAACCTAACTTGCCTAGTTAACACAATTAAAGGGGTGGTCTAAAGTGTATTTTTAAGGCTTGGTTGAGTTTATAAGATGCAAAGCAATGTGTGCTCAAGCTTCATTTGTAAAAAAAATCATGTTATTTTTTCCTATATCTTACTTTATGTATATACAGCTTCTCAGCTAATATGAACACGACTGTCATATTTTCCAGTTTTTCCGAAAGGCCCATCCTCGAAAGGCTTTGATTAGTCAGCTAACATAATGCGCTGTGATTCAGATAGGCTCCACGTCACCAGAAAGCGACATGCCTCTACTAGCACGTGCTATGCCTGTACTGTCCAAAAACTGTCAGTCAGAGTAGCTGTTAGCCATATCAGTTTAAGCCTGAATCAGGCAGAAAATGAAGAAAAAACAGCTGAACCTCATGCCTGCTCTGACCAGTGTCTTTATAAAAAATTGTATATATTCCCGTTATAAGCATGTCATGTTCCTTGGAAGCCTAAATACAGAAACAGAAGAAGCTTTGTGGAAATAACAACGCTTTGAAAGCATTTTAGCTTTCGCTGCTATAACATTACATCGCCTCTGACCAAGCCCCTTTGACGCATGGGGTGAATGTGGGTAACCTGAAAGGTTTGTGATTGCATTACCCGGATGTATTTTTTCGCTGTAGGCTTTGCTAAGCTAACTCTGTAAAAGCCAATGTCTCCCTCTGCATTGAACTTTGAGCGTCTTTCAATACATTCAGAGATGTTGTTTATGTTCACACAGCTACATTACAAATATATATATATATATATATATATATATATATATATATATATATATATATATATATATATATATATATAATCTTTTTTTTATTTTTATTTTTTATAAATTCACTTATATTTTATTTTGTAATAAAATATTAGCTTACTAAGCATATGTTCAAGAAGGGTAATGAGATTATCCTCCCAGGCGTGCATATCTCCCTGCTGGCTGTCCGGTGGACGGTTCCAGTTGAGCAGTTGGAAATAATCGTCCAGCGCGCTCCGGATCTCCACCTGTCTCTCGTTCACACTGCTGGAGTGCAGAAGATGAATCATTACAGTCAGACAGCGAAGGGCCATCCTGAGCAGCTGAGGGTCCCTGGGCTGCTGTGGGGATGAGGCAGGACAAAGGCACCAGGAGCGCAACACAGACATGAGATCCTTCACAGCCTGCGGGGTGATGGAGAGAAGGCCATTTCTCTGAAACACACGAACGGCAGCATGCAATACTGTTTTAGTAATGTTATACTGTACATTTAGAAAGCACTCATAGCCCCTGATGCGTTCACACATGTCAGTGTAAACAGGGCCTAAGGGTCTAATTTACCTTGCATCCACTGATTACAGCTCCCTGTAGATGCACCAGCCTCACCACCAGTGGTTCAGGGATTAGTTCACTGTCTTGGAGGTATTCTGTAGGCATAGCTAATCTTTTAGTCACAAGAATCGTAAAACTGACATTAAAGTTTTAAGGCACAGATATATGTAATGCATTTTGTCAAGAAGCAAATTTCATTCAAATTCTGTCTTAAGTTGCACAGATATGCTTTTGTTAACAGAAATTATTTGCAAAACAGAACAAAACAAAACAAAACTGAAAACAAAATGAAATGAAAAGACACAGAAAACAAAACTAAGAATAAACAAAATAAAAATTAAACATGACACGAAATTGAAAAGGCAACGAAATGAAACTAAATAAAAAGAAACAGAAAACAAAACATAATTGAATGAAACAAAACAAAATTACACAAAACAAAACACGAAATTGAAAACCAAAACAAAACAAAACAAAACAAAACAAAAATACACAGAAAACAAAAAAATAAAAAATAAACAAAACAAAAAACATGACACGAAATTGAAAAGTAACGAATAGAAACTAAATAAAAATAATAGGAAAACAAAACAAAATTAAATGAAACTAAATAAAAATGAAGTTGAAAACAAAACAACAAAAAACGGGTTATGTTTTTTTGCATTGATATTCTCATCAGAAGTGCATGCAAAGTGGACTTGCTTTTGTACTGCAGAAAAACTATTTGTTCTTGACATGTTGACAACACAAACAAAACTTCCTGCCAACAAGTAAAGTATTTAAAGGTCAAAGAAGACGCCAATGACGACTGGCATTATGCTAATTTGTTTCAACCCTGGTTTTGTGCAGAAATCAATGAAGCTACTGAAATCCAATTTTAGGCAGTTCAGAAATGGCTCTTTATTTGGGGAGATAAAAACAACATTAATCGTGTAATTCTATTTTTGAATCACCTATATTAAACACTGCACATGTCTTTAAAGTCAGTGTGGAACAATGATATTTGTCAGAATGTTCCTTTAGGCGGAAATTTTTTGTGAACTGCTTTTTATATAAAACTTTGCTTTTAAAGGGTCATAAAATGAGAATCAATATCCACAGAAAAACTAATGGCTGCTTAAAATTAATGCAGATCAGACAAATTCTTTTGTTCTCCTTCTTACTGCAACTACTATCAACAAATAAAAAACACAAAACAAAACTTAACAAACTTACCACTAAAGAAAAAACACTATAAAGAAATAAAACACTAAAATAAAATAAAATCTGACTAAAACAAAACAAAACTAAGCAAAGCAAAGCAAAACAAAGCAAATCAAACAAAAAATAAACAACAAAAAGCAAAACAAAACAAAACAAACTACTATTAAATATAAAAATAAACACCAAAATAAAACCAAAAAGAGAAAATATCAAAAAGCAAAACAAAACAAAAAGAAAATTAAAACAAAAAAAGAAAACAAAACTACTTTTACAAAACTATAAAAAAAAATAAAACTAACAAACAAAACACAAAAACTTAACAAAACCCAAAATAAAACAGATAAAAAAACACCTAAATGAGATTTTGTCTTTTATCTGAAAATCATCAGACACTCACTTAGGGCGTACTCAAATTATGTACAGTTGCCTTGAATTGGGCCAAAGCACGCTTGTCCCCACTCCCGTCTCCCCGGACGGCCCGCACTAACATTACATTCAGGCCTGGGCACGCTTACATCATCAATGATGCGCTGGTCAGAAGCGCTCTCGCTCAGCACAGTGGAGATTTCTTTAGTTATGTCGTTTGACATTCAGTGACATGCAGTCAAATATTTTGCCGAACAGATCAGCCGCTCATAAACAATCATAAAGTACTCGTGCTGCAGGAATTAGGAGGTTTGCTGAAGGTGCGCAGCTTTTCTGCATTCCATATACCTGATATGTTTTCATAGGGCCACCATTTATTTGGATTTTAAAAATCCCATGACACAATCACATTCTAAACAAAACATGTTGGTGAAAAACACCTTTGCAGCACAATAAACTAGTTTGCTTCACCACATGACCACATGCAGCTTAACTGTGAACCACATACACTGGAGGTGTGCAGGATGCTCCACAGAGCTTATAACCACTTGGGCTTGCAACACTCTCAGGATTATGTTCTTTGTTTTGCCCATTAACTGTAGGCTGCAATCTACAGTGCAGGTAATTTCTTTGCTACTACTACACAATTGTATTGCTAGAAATAAAGGCATAACTGGCCATTACTACACTGTAAAAAATGCAGGATTCAACACAATCAATTTGTGTTGGGACAACATGAAATAATTAAGTTGTTACAATTTTATTTTATTTTTTTACAAATTTATGTGGATTGAACAAAAAGCAATTAAGTTGTCTCAAAAAAAACTCAAGAATTATATTGTTTCAACTTATTTAATAATATTAGTAGTCTGAACAAACAACAAACTTCATGTTTTGATGTCAACGCAGACAAATGAGCATATAATATAAATGCTATAGGGATAAGCTGAACCCCATTTGTAAAAGCCTGTTAATCATTGTTTAATGTTATTTATGTTTATTCATTTATTTGTATTATGGCTTAAAAATGCATTTGTTTTCTCCTATAACAAGTTGACGAAAGCTGTGTTTTTAGTCAGGCAGTGGGGAGAGGAGATGTGGCCTATGGGACACAGTTTTGAGACTCATGCATTTACCTTTTGTTCGTAGGGAATAGCAGTCGACACATATTGGGAGCTGTGTTGAGTTTGCTTTCTTTTACAATTCTGATTGTAAATCTAATGAATGGCATGCGTCGACTGTAATTCGCCGTGGATGAAAGGTAAATACACTATTCTTTACAAAAAAAAGACATTTTGTCTCCTGAGAGGTAGGATGTGTGATCTCTCCTAGAATGCAACAATTAAGTCAAAATGCAGGACAACATACCATGGAAGAGCATAGGAAGCTCCTCTGGCAGAACAAGAGGGGAAAATTTGTACTTGCTTCTCTCCAGCATACTGACCTCCTCCCTGAAAAGCACACATATATGAAAGCTCTTTATGGAAATATTTCATGCATTCTTATTTCAGAAGCAATATGCTGGGCTCTGCAATAATTGTCAATCTGAATCATATAAGATATTAAAAGGATAGTTCCCCCTAAAAAATGAAAATTGATTTCTATATATATATATATATATATATATATATATATATATATATATATATATATATATATATATATATGTATATATGTATATATATATATATATATATATATATATATATATATACATACATACATACATACATACATACATACATACATACATACATACATACATACATACATACATACATACACACACACACACACACACACACACACACACACACACACACACACACACACACACACACACACACACACACACACACACACACACACACATATATATATATATATATATATATATATATATATATATATATATATATATCCTATGGAAGTCAACGGTTACCGGGTTTCCAACAATTATCAACAAAGGGTAAATAAATTATGACATGTTTTAGCTGCAGTGTGCCATTATTTTCAGAAAACTCATCTCGATTGAATGATTTTTTCTCATTATGAAAAACAACTTACTATTTATTAAACACAAATATTATTTAATTGTGGTTGTAATTTATGGTAATTTGAAATGGATGAATGGATGGATGGATGGATGTATAAATGGATGGATGGATGGATAAAATCACACTAACATATAATTGGATGGATTGATGAATGGATGAATGGATAAAATAATATTAACAAACAGACAGACATATAAATGGGTGAATGGATAAAATTATACTGACATAGACATACAGTATAGATGGAGATGGGTGAATGGAAGGATAAAACTATATTGACAGACAGACGATGGATGGATAGATGAGACTATATTGTATAAAACCATTCCAACAGACTGACGTGTAGACAAACATATGGATGGATGGATGGATGGATGAACAGATAAAATTGTGTTGATAGACAAACATATGGAATGGATGGAAGGGATGGATTGATAGATGGATGGATGGATAACATGATACTGACAGGCAGACATACAGATATATTGTAAGGTATAGATAGAAGGTATGGATAGATAAAATTAAACTGACAAAGACATGTAGATAGATTAATGGATAGACTTACTGTATAAAATCATTCCAACAGACTGACATGTAGACAGACATATAGATGGATAGAAGGTATGAATTGATAAAATGATATTGACAGACAAACATATGGAATGTATGGAAGGGACAGACAGACAGACAGACAGACATATTATAGATAGATAGATAGATAGATAGATAGATAGATAGATAGATAGATAGATAGATAGATAGATAGATAGATAGATAGATAGATAGATAGATAGATAGATAGATAGATAGATAGATAGATAGATAGATAGATAGATAGATAGATAGATAGATAGATAGATAGATTCCAAGAAAGCTGTACTTTTTCATAAGCTACATTAGTTCATGAGGTGCATTAATGGATGATAAGAACAGTGCTGTCTGAAAAGCTGCATCAGTGCTGTGAGGAGTTCATGATGTGTGTCATTCAGACAGTTGAGCAGAAGAAGACTCAAGAGCTGAAAGGTAAGGACTGGGTGTGTTATTAACTGTTAAAGTGGAGCTAAAATGACTCCTACGCATTCCTGTTGAGGTTTAACACCCTGCCCAACTCACAGACATACAATAACACACATGAACCCACTCACCCCGCCTGCCGTCTCCTCCACGTCTGATAAGGGTCAAAGAGATTTTCACACAGCAGCAGGCCATGTTGTACCACCGCCTGTAAAGTGCTCTGATCATCTGGCTGCTTCTTCAGCTGTCACACACACACACACACGCACATAAACAGGGAGTCTGGTGATTACACGTCTTACTCAAACATTCCTTTGAAAAAGCAGAGGTCTTCCACCCAAAGCTTTCCGATTAAACCTGTTCTGTTAGTTCAAAATCCTGCAATAACATCGCAAGCGCATTGTAATAATAACAATAGCTGCATTGCAATACACAGCTTGTGAACAAAAGCTTGATTGGTATGCTTAAAATATTTAAATTTGCAAGACACTTGAACTAGTTTAAAAATGCAGGTAACACCACAGTAGTTATGTTTCCATCCACATATTTTTATGCGCATATTGGATATGCACAAAAAACGGTTGCAAAAGAAAACACTATGATGCGCATCCGATTTGAAAATACACGCATAACTGAGTAGGATAAACTTTTTATTTGATAAGAAAAGATGCGCTTAAATTATGATGGTAACACTTTTACCAAACAAACTCCAGTATGCACATTAAAAAAGTCATGTGATGACAAAAAAAGTGTGTGAATTATAGACTGTAAAAGATTTGGACGTAGTATCTGTGACCTTACCCATAGGTTTCTGAATAACGCAAAAGAAGCTGCTTGTAGGCGTGGCCAACCATCGCCATTTTGTTCGTGCGTCATCGCACTGACCACAGGATATCAAACAAGGGCAAAGAGGCAGAGCGTGGGCGGAGCTACAGACACCTGCTAGCATTTAGCTTAGACAGGTTTTTCTTAAGGAAAAACGCTTACTACTTCATTATCTGCGACTCCTTTGTGTTCTGACCACAAGGTTGTACACTATATCAATAAAATGTTTAGTCTTTCAAAAACACAGTTGTAACACATTGAGCTACTGAACATTGTCATGACGTTTTTCTACAGGAAGAAAATGCAAATTACCTCCAAATACTTCAAATATAGTTTGTGTTAGTAAATGCAAAGCTATTGATGAAATCCAGGCATAACATTGTATGACAACGTTTCAGATGACTGTTCTAGAGCCTACGGCTAATCAATCTGTCATATTCTGGAGTGCATTACAGGTCTTAAGACAATTATAAGTGATAAAGGATCTTTAATAAAATAAATACATTTATAGAGATGGTGTATAAATATATAATTGCACACACCTGGAAAATGGAGGCTATGTGAATGGTCTGTGAGCACAATTAAGTGCACACAGCATGCTATAGTATCTGATAATTGCAGGAAATAATTTCAAAAGGCAACTGACTGTGTAAAGCCACATAAAACAAAAGAAAAATACAATGTATATGCAGAATTTAGCAGCTAATCAGCAAGAATCAGCGAGACCTAGCTGTCGCTCAAGTGGCCACGCCCTTAATTATGCAGACTTAATATTCATTTATTAATTTTAATTTTGGTTTGGTCCCTTTATTGATCCGGGGTCGCCACAGCGGAATGAACCGCCAACTTATCCAGCACATGTTTTACGCTGCGGATGCCCTTTCAGCTGCAACCCATCTCTGGGAAACAGGCTTAATATAACTTAATAAAAACAAAGCAGATGATTTATAAAACCATTCACCCCCTCACAGTTGTCATGAAGGGTAAAATTAGCTATATGCACCAAAGCCATCTTTTGTACCAGGCTGTAAACATGCTTTTATCAGCTGTAAAATTGGCCAATTTACCATTGCAGTCAGAAATCATCTGGATTTCGTAAAGCCAGCCCCCCAAGGCGAGTCGATAAATTGCAGTTTTAGTTACTTCCGTATTTGCTTCACGAGGGAAAGCAGGAGGTTGCCGCTTGGTGTGGATGGACAAACCAGCGGGCTGAGCACATTGTAAAACATCTGAATCATTGTTTTGGTCATTCGAAAACGCTGTAACCTTTTCAGTATAATTGTTATTGTATTATCAATGAACTCCAGAATCAAGAGCTCCTGTGCTCCACGTCTTACGCATTCAAACGCCACCTTGCGTTAATTGCGTGTTGGCATTTGTCTTCTGAGGCGCAAGTCATTTATTAAATGAAGAAAAGATTGACGCAGCTTCTCCTACCACAGTAAATTCCATTTTTAATATTTGGCACCAATTAATCTGGAAGTGACCATTCTGTTCTCTTTGACTAATTACATGGAATCGCTGCTTTATTTGCACATCTTTTATGCGACATTCCTGTTTTTGCGCGTAAATTTAATTTGCATTTTTGGATGGAAACAGCTAATGACACTCAAAATGATCATAAAAAGGAGATTCTTGAATCTACATTTCCCACATGGTTCAGATGCCTTACCTGAGCCAAACAGAAGTTCAGGAGCTTGATCGTCTCAAAAACAAACCCAGGCGTCTTTTCGGAGTCTATATTCTCCATATTTCTGTAAGCAATGATTTTAAACCAGAAGTGATATTATTGCATGCTTATAAATTGTAAAAATCGTATTAAACATCTGCCTTGTGGTATTCCTGCTGTACAACCGGGGTTTAATTCACCAGGGCACGCCACAAAGAGAATGATGATGATGATGATGATGGTTAAATCTGTGCTCGGCGAGAACTTACCTGCAGATGATGATGAAGAACTTGATAAGGAGCAGAGGATGTGGTGCAGTGATGCTCTGGTCCTGCCCTGACATGTGGAGGGCGCTGTGCCAGAGCTGTGTACTGAGGAATACCAGAACCTCCTTGGGGAGAAGGGGGACATCGGCACTCCATTCCTCCAGCCTGCATACAAGGAGAAGGTTGCTTTATTTTGTTTACTTGTTTCTTTTGCTTTTTGTTTACTTTCTAGTTTATTTGCTTTTGCTTGGTACTCTTTCAGCATTCTTTCAGCCGCAAGACAAAAAGGTTGCTTTTTATTGCTTTTGCTTTGTATCATTGTATCATGTTTTGTATTTTTGTTTGCAAACCTTTTTTTTTTTACTTTTTGTCTTTTTCTTGTTTTTTTTCTCTTTGTTCTCTTCTTTTTTTGTTGGCTTTCCTTTTAGTTTTGTTAGCATTAATGTTTTGACCATTTGTTTGTCTCATTTACTTAGCATTTCATTCTTCAAGCATGTTGAAAAAAATATTTTAATAAAATAAATAAAATAAAATAAATGTTTTGGCTCTTGTTTTTGATTGCTTTGCTTTTTGTTTATTTGGATTTTTGTTTGTTTGTCCTGCCTTTGTTAGCTTTTGATGTGTTTTGCTTTATTGGGATTTTTTTCTTTAAATTTTAACTTGCTTTTAGATTGTTTTTAACTTTTTTTTGCCTTTGTTTGGCACCTCATTCTTCCAGTCTGCACATGTAAAGAAAGTTGCTTTATTTTGCTGTTTTCTTGCTATTGCTTTGTGTTTTATTTGTCTTGTGTATGTGTGTGTGTGTGTGTGTGTGTGTGTGTGTGTGTGTGTGTGTGTGTGTGTGTGTGTGTGTGTGTGTGTGCACTTTGGATTAATTGCCTTTTTAGCATTTGTGTTTTGCTTTTTGTTTGAAAACTCAGTTATTTCAGCCTGCAGACAAACAGTTTTTGCTGCTTTCATTTTAAAAATGAAAATAAAAAATATGTTTTAATAAAAATTAATGTTTTTGTTATTTGGTTTTTGTTTGTTTGTTTTGCATTGTGATGCATTTTGCTTTCTTTGGCTTTAGTTTATAATTTGCTTTAAGATTATTTTAGATTTTTTTTGGCAGAGCATTCTTGTGATTTAAAGACAAAAAAGAAAGTTTTTTAAGCTTTATTTTGCTTTTTTCTTGCTTTTGCTTTGTGTTTCTCGTTTGCTTTTTGTTTACTTTTATGTTTGTTTTAGATTTTTGTATGCAAGTCTAATGATTATTTTACCTTTTTTAGCATTTGTGTTTTGCATTTGTTTGACACACTTAATTTTCCTAGCCTGCAGACATCATTTTTGATTATGTTTGCTTTTGTATTGTTAGCTTAATTGTTAGGTTTGACCTTTTTATTTGTTTGTTTGTTTGTTTCTTTCTTTACTTGGCATTCCATTTCTGCTTTGCTTTTATTTATTTTTGGTTGTATGTTTGTTTGCTTTTGTTGGGTGCTTCATTCCTTCAGCCTCCATTTAAGCTTTTGTTTGTTTGCCAATTTTTTATCTACTTGACATTCTATATTTTAAGCCTGTAGACAAAATTAGTTTTTTTTTTTTTTTTTTTTTTGTGTCTTCTGTTTGTTATGGCTTTTCTTCTTGTATGCTTTGCTTTAAATAATAATAATAATAATAATAATAATAATAATAATAAATCTAGCTTTTTTTGCCAGTCTTGACTTTGTTAGCTTTTAGTCTAGTAGCTTTTAGTTTAGTTTGCCTTTGTCTAGTGTGTCATTTTCCAGCCAGGAATTATTTTTGACATTTTGACTTTATTCATTATTTCTTTTTGATTTTGGTTCATGATTATTTTGATTTTTATTGTTGTGTTTTGTATGTTCCTATTGTATTGCTCTTTGTTTTATTTTTGGTGAATTGTTTAGTTTATGTTGTTGAGTTAATGAGCAAGCCATGGACTTTTTTTAAGCACATGTTAAAATTTTGTATCTGCTCTGATCTTTAAAAGTTTGTGTATGTCTTTAGGCATAGCATCATCCATGAACAACTTTTTGCAGACAGCCTCAAGTTATAGATTTTTATCAAAATTTGAAATTGGCAAACCTTGTTGAATGCAGCACTTGGCTGGAATCGATTCTTTATTTCAGAACATCACAGCTCAATATAACCTGAAGCATGTGTGCTAATCTTTCGATGGCATGTCTGACTTTCATTGCATGAACTTCAAAAATATCAATGCTTGCTTACTCTATCAAACATTGCAGGATGTGTTTTTAAAAGGTGTTTTTTTTTCTAACTGAACCACTGGTGACTGAGCAATTAAACAAAAATAGTCCACTAAATACCATCATAGACTGAGTTGCATCTGGACCTGACCACCTACATATCAACTCCCTCCGCATATGACATTTTGATAGGTCAGCATGAAACTGACTCACCGGCGAGGCTCAATCGAGTGCACATCAATGACCTTCTCAAAAGACGCCACGAATGCCTCCAACCACTGCTGCAGGTAAACGACATCTTTCTGAAAGACAGAGAGAGAGAGAGAGAGAGAGAGAGAGAGAGTGAGAGAGAGATAAAAGGAAAGAGTAAGATGCTGTAAACTGTCTTTTGACAAAACATCCTGAGGTCTAGGTCATGAACTAACACACATGACAAAGCCAAAAAAATGCTGTTAATCTACCCTTAGGTCATCCAAGACATACGGGACTATTTTCTTCAAAACATTAAAGAAGATTTTAAGCTAAGACTATGATCAAAGGCTACTAGCACAGAAAAATAAACAAACATAAAAGTCAAATACAGGCAAAACAAAATGAATACTTGTAGCTCTTGATGACACAATGATGTCTTGTGAAGTCTGAACATTGCTAAAAAAAACATTAGATCTATTATTAATCCACAGCTTCTGCAAATGTTGCTAAGCTCTATCATAAGAGATCACTTCTTGTTTTGCCAGCAGTAGTAATAGTTATGAGTAATATTTTGCCTAAAAATTGGTTGTTTTTGCGATATTTCAAACAAATTCGTCCAGATTCAAAATTTTTGAAGCTACCTCATGGCAATGAGATCCTTGTTTAAATTCCAACGTGTAGACTGGATGTCTGTAACGCCGGGTACAATGTGATGTCTTTCAGCTTTTAGCATTAATTCGAAAGAAGAACTTGGATCGAACCAATCAGCATGCTCTATTGTGTATGAGGTACAACTTCATTAATATGCATAATAGATTCGAAGTCGTAAGCTTTTACCTGTTACAGTGTTCAGACAGCAGAGAGACACCACATTGTGGTGCCAACTGTGATTAAAACAAGTGGAAGAAGAAGAATTGTTTGGAGGTATGAATTGTCAGTGTTGCATTTCTAAATGTGCCGCAACAAAGGTTTTGTTTCCATTTCCTCGCTATAAGAGCGCAGCTGGACTCACGTGTGGATGACAGTGGTCTGCTAACACACGACAAAAATATGTTTGTTAGAAACTTTTTTTACCCAAAAGCTTTTCGCATCTGAAAATGGTGAGATCCGGATTTGCCACTTGTGTCCTTTTAAAAAAAGACACGGTTCCAGTTGGTGATGATTGTGCTGTCTCTACGGATTTGGTAAGTGTGTGAACTGTTCTTTGGTTTATTCAGATGGCAAAGTTACTTAGTATCATCAGCAGTACTCTTTCAGTTTTTAAAGACATACATTAGTCAAAATGATTTTGTTACTAAGTTTACAGTATGTTAATATCACTACAATATTAGGAATTGAGAGATCTGGTATAAATGCTGCTGCTGTAAACACCTGTACACATGTAAACACCTAAACAATCTATCACCTTCGTGTAGGACTTTTGACGCATTTTGTGAAAGGATAGTCTATACACACACGGATCTGTTTCTACCGATAAATGTAGAGGTTTTTTTTTTACCATTCAGCGTGTAGTATCAAATTTCTTTAAAACAACACTCTTCCAGCAGTTCCTCACATCCAATATCTTGTTTGTTACAATGCATAAAATGTTCCTGAATGAAAGTGAAAGTGCCAAACTGCAGTTAAAGTTGATAAATTAAGAATGAAACACCAGAAATTAAACTCCAGAGGAAATGTGTAAAGTGTGGTTTCAAATTATGTGCAATAACATGTAGAACTGGATTTATTTATTTTTATTTGGCAGGGACAGTGTACATTAATACCCCTTTTCATGCAAATGCTTTCCTCTTTCGCCACTCAACATTCCCACCTGAACAGAGCTGAACTGCGGAGACAGGAGGGTTTCATAGCCCTTTAAAGTGGCTGTAGCTATTGTTACAAATATTATGAATTGTTCTACTAAAGAAAAAAAAAACTCACCAACATCTTGGATGGCCTGAGGGTGAGTAAATTAACAGCACATTCTCCTTTTCGGTAATCTATCACATTAACTGTAAGGCTTCATGAATAAACTGAAAAGTTTTACTTCTAAATGCATATCCAGTCTGCTGTTCTTAGTCCACAACCTTTGTGAAACCCCCTCTAAGAAACACACCTGATTAAGGTCAGGATAATTGCTTTGAGCTTCCACGAAGGTGTTATAGAATGTATTGATTTAATATGTAAAACTGTATTTTTGATATCATTATAAAGAAATGGTTTTACAGGTCCATTTCCAACATTAATCTGGTTAGTTTTGACCACATTTGTAAAGGTTGTGAATATTAATGAGCTCTGCTCTGATGCCCCGGCAGCTCATATCAGTACCTGATGCTCACACATACATACAAACTTACACATATACACAGTGTGACATACCCTGAAATCCACACCTGCAAAATAGTTATAGTTTTAAAAGTAGTTAAAAAATATTTAAACAAATTGAGTATATTCCTTGTTTGCATAAACAAGAGTCTGTATTTACAACATTTAAATAGCATCTCGTGAAAAAAAAAATAAAAAATGTATGTCCACTAAGAAGAATGGAGATGCTGCTTGCTGTCATGTCCGCTTCTGAAATTAAAAGGCAAATCCTCTGCAAAGAAAGCAGAGCCGACATGAACAAATGGAAGGACAGAGTAATCTAGGCTTTGAGGGATGCTGGGAAAGCATATTTGAATCAAAGAGGAGAACAAAAACAAGGATAAATCACCCGAAAGAGGTGAGTGGAAAAAATGTATATTTGACCCGATCTCTCTCTCTCTCTGAATGTGATGAGAATCGCTAAACAACACAAAAACAGTTAACCTATCAGAACAAACCAAATGCCATATATAATAAAGCTGTATCAATGTATATTTCCCTTGAGTCCTGTGTAAACTACATCAAGCAGTTTATTTGTTTATATATTTATTTATTTATATTGTGAAATGGAGGAGCATGAAAACATTGTGACGTAGCATTTACACAGGTTTAGTTGTCTATGTTTAGAAGGGTATGTATTGTGCATTGTTCATACTGTATTTTCTGTTTTTGAATAATAATAATAATAATAATAATAATAATAATAATAATAATAATGAACTTAATTAAATGAAATACTTCATATTAACATAAAGTTTCTGTTACTGTATTAAAGCTAAGATAAAGGAATCAGATCTTGAGTGACTTAAAGTGATATGACGAATTAGAGTTATAGGGCCCTATCATACACCCGGCGCAATGTGGCGCAAGGCGCAGCGCAATAGTCTTTTGGTAGTTTCAGCTTGGCGCAAGAGTTGTTTTGAGGAGTTGCGCTACGCTGTTTAAATAGCAAATGCATTAGCGCTCAAATGTGCGCCCATGTGCGTTCTGGTCTAAAAAGGAAGGCGTTCTGAGGCGCACTGCTGGCGCGTTGCTATTTTGAGAAACTAAAATAGATTTTTCATTAGACCAAAACAAACCCGGTCTAAACTCCGGCGCAGAGTTGCACCTCACTTACACACTGCTTAATACGCACAAGAGAGCAATAGGCAAATATCTTTACATATGAAAAAATTTAAATATTAAGGATATATATTTATATAGAGGATATAATAAGAATAGATATAGGATATAAATATAAAGGATTAAAATATTACAAAACATATTATTTTCTAGCCTATATAAATATGAAAAATCACTGCTTTTATGTCTTCTTCATCTCGGGAGGCTTTTCAGTTCATTCATAGCAATTTGCTTTTGTATAATGTTATTATTATTAGCAGTATTATTTATTATATCCATATTTATGTTTGTTTTATTAAAAACAAGCTTAGATTTGCCCACCTGTCAGGTTTTAGACCATATGGGGCAAAGCATGGGTTTTAGGATATAACAGGTTTTTGAGCACACTTCGTTAATATTGTTCATTTATTTGTTTGATGGAAATTAGAACTGAATTTAGAAATAGTTTTGAAATGAATATTTGCGCTTAACAAACAAAATTAATTATTTATAGACTAATTGATGTCTGTGCGTAAAGGTTTCCCTATCCAAGAGCGAATGTGAAAGTAGTTCCATTATCTCTCATTCTCACACAGTAGATGCTCTGTTTAACAGTTTTCTGTTAAAAAAAAAACTGTTAACTGTTTGCTGGTGAAATGCTTAGTTTTTCCACTTAGACTTACTTTACGTCCTGTAAATAGTGAATTCGCTTATGGCGCGACGCAGCTGGCCCTTAAAGGGAATGGGAGATGAGACTCTAATTGGTTTATTCTCAAAACACACCTATAACTATTTAAGAAAATAAACTCAACCCTTTTAGACCATACGCCATGGCGCAAAGCAGATTTTCCCATCCTTAAATCAGCAAAAATGCGTTCTGACACGCCCTGAAAGCGTTTGCGCCCTGCGTTTTGGCCTCTGCGCATGGACCATCAAAATAGAGCCCATACTGTTATTCCACACTAACTGGACATATACCGTTCTTCCACATTTGAGGAATATAAAACAGAATAACTTTTGGTTCTTAATACTGACACTGAAACGTTATCCGCTTAGAATTGAGGTTTTGTTGTCTATCTTCAAGTAAAATAAAAATATATAATGTAATGTTCACAATCCAAATGAAGAAAAAAATAAAACTCAAAATTTTTAAATATGGACTTTAGTTCTTCGTCTCAAGGCTTCAAATGACAATATTTCCAACTGAAGTGATGAAGAGATTTATTTTATTCTATGAACAACCTATTTGTGTGAGCAACCTATTTTGCTCCTGAGTTTAACTTATATGAAAGCAGGAATTATTATCAACCTGTGCGTAAACAGATTAGTTTATAAAGTTTATTAACATCATTTCATTCACAAAAAACCATGTAAGAGCAATAAACACACATCAACACTAAACCGCTGGAGTACATTCTACCTGCCACTGTTTTTTAAATGTACATATCTGAACTTTAATAAAACAATCTTCCCAGGAATTGATTTTACAAAAACATGCCTCATTTACATTTCCCAAACGTAAAATCTTTTTTTATATTAAACCTTATCAAAAAGCGAGGCGTTTATAAGCACCAGAGCGGGTCAAAATTACCAGTGCCTGTATTTATGCACTGCTTACAGTATGTTTAAACTTTCCTGCCAATGGCTTTCACTTTCATTCACTAAA